TACTCCTGCAATTTTAGAGATTTCTTTTCAAGAAAAGATGCAGCTGTACAGTATTACATACTCTTCTGAGGGGATGTTCAGAGGATGCAGTGCAAACCAATTTTGTTTCTTTCCATCCTAGCAATCACATTTGTACATGTTTATAAACTGTGCAGTACACTGATGACGCCAACCTTTTGTTATAAACTGACCCCAAAGAAACATGATAGCGGGCTACCATTCTAACAGGCTTTGGGACTACGATAAATGTTGTTATTCAGAATGGCTGCCAATCCTCCTTGTCTTGAAAGGCACAAATCTCAAAATGACAAACATTTCCTCAGTTGTTACCACATATGAAGATGCAGCATAAAGTTGTTGTCAGGAACAGTTGTTGTTCTCAGGCTGCAGATCTGTGGTGCCCACACAAATTACACAAAAGCCTACACAGCAGAGACAACACAGAAACCACATGGATTGCATTAACAGCAAAGAAACAGGGCACTGGAAGAAGATGGCTGTTATATCAGGCTTTGCTTTTGGTGTTAAAGCAGTCAGTCATCCAGGATGACAGGTCCTCAAAGTGAATAAAACAATGGTAAGCCTGTATCTAGTTTTCTGTATGACAGACTGGTGCAAAGAAGGAGTCAGTCAGTTTTTGTTGGCAAATGGCTGTGATGGGTACCCTGGGAAACATAGGGTCCTGCCATAAGCTCTTAGCAGTCAAACTAACAGTAAAACAATATGTGCTTTTAGTGCTGTCTTTGCTTCTGCTATCCTCATCTTTTGGTGAGCACACAAAACCAAGAAAGTTTCTTAATGCCTGGCAGATCAGTGTTAATTAAACACTGCTAAGGATGTGTAAAGAAGCAGGGTGGGTGGCAGTGGGAGTTAATAACGAAAGCAGGGAACAGAAGAGATTAAATGATAACATCCTACCCTAAAGGAGAAGTCACCTTGCTGTGCAGCTCAGGGGAAGGCAGATAAACCAGATCTTGCAAATTAGTATCAAGTCATTTTAGCCCTTGCAGAAACAGTCTGCATTAAAATGGAAATGGCATCTGAATCATGTGATTTTAGAGCAGGGAATTTAGACCAAGCTCTGCCGATGATCACTAGGTCTGGACCTTCTGCAGAATGCTGCCTAGCATCTCTGACTGCTGTGACAGTTTGTCTGCCTTGCCCTAGAGACATCAACTTTTTTCTAATCGGTAGCATCCCACTGACTGCAGTCCTTTCTTCTGTCTGGCATCTGGGCAGTAGGAGGTAGCGGTGTGTCTAACATTTTTGTATGGTGCAGAATAACGGAAGCCTTGGCACAAAAAAGGGATGAGGATAAAAGAGAGCTGAGGGTGGACTGCTGGGATCTAGGCCAGAAGTCATGACCTCAGACAGCCAGAAGAAAAGATCATTAGAGAAAATAAAATAAAATTAGTTTTTAAGTATTTGAACAACCAACAGTAATAATTCTTTTTAAAGAACTACCCCTGCTGTACTTACTAAAAAATACAGAGACAATTGTTTGGAATTATAAAAACAAATCAAAATAACTTTGAACAATTAAACCTAACAAGAATACTTAATATATAAGGAGAGTGTTCAGTGCTTTGCCTGACAGCAGTTTCCAGGGAATTCAGTTCAGCTTAACCCCGTTCCCGCGGGTCCTGTCGCTGGTGTTAATGGAGAAAAGGTCTCCTGCCTCTCGACACCCCCTTACGAGGAAGTTGTAGACTGCGATGAGGTCTCCCCTCAGCCTCCTCTTCTCCAGGCTGAACAGGCCCAGTGCCCTCAGCCGTTCCTCGTACGTCTTCCCCTCCAGGCCTTTCACCATCTTCGTAGCCCTCCTCTGGACACTCTCCAACAGTTTCATGTCCTTTTTATACTGTGGTGCCCAGAACTGCACACAGTACTCGAGGTGAGGCCGCACCAGCGCAGAGTAGAGCGGGACAATCACCTCCCTCGACCTACTAGCGATGCCGTGCTTGATGCACCCCAGGACACGGTTGGCCCTCCTGGCTGCCAGGGCACACTGCCGGCTCATATTCAACTTGCTGTCTACCACGACCCCAGATCCCTCTCTTCTAGTCAGCTCTACAGCGTCTCATCGCCCAGTCTGTACGTGCAGCCAGGGTTTCCCCGTATATCTTCGTTAATAGTATAGATGATGGGGCAGAGCGTACCCTCAGCAAGGCTGCAGATGACACAAAACTGAGAGGACTGGTTGATGCACCAGAGAGTCGTGCTGCCATCCAGAGCAACTCTGACACATAATCTAGAGAAGGAGGCAGACAGGAACCTCACCAAGTTCAAGAGGAGAAGTGCAGAGTCTTGAACTCGGGGAGGAACAACACCAGGCACCAACACATTCTGGGGGGCACCCAGCTGGAAAGCAGCTCTGCAGGAAGACACCTGGCGGTCATGGTGGACACCAAGTTGACCATGAGTCCTGGGCAACCAGCTCTGAGTGGCCCTGCTTGAGCAGGGGTTGGACCAGATGATCCCCAGACTTCTCTTTCCACCTCAACTGTTCTGTGATTTTTAGATGTTTTTATACACCTGCTAGCATTACTTCTAACCCTTGTAGTAGGAAGGAAATAAAGTGAAAGATATGAAACCAGGAATGAATGACACACTAAACTGAAACTCAAAACAGATCCCAAACTTTGAAGATCGTTTAAGATTATTCAATAAGACATATGTGGATGACACTTTATGTGAGAAATATTAAAAGATCACTCTCACAGCAAAAAAGTTTGTTTTTTTTTTAATCCCACTGACAGAGAATGGCCCCTGTATATAAATTACTGTTGTGCTGTAGGAAAAGAGTTCCCATCCTCATAAATCTCATACTAGTTAAGTCCAACCACATAGCCTCTTTAATGAAAAAAATAAATAGTTGCCTAGATAATGCCCGATAAAGTGTATATATAGTATATATATATATAATGACAGTCTTTCTTTCCCCACTTATTTTTAAATAAAATCACAGAACCTGCTTGGATCCAGAAAGCACAAATTAACCAGCAAGATTTATTAAAAGTGCTAAAGAGAACAACAACTTTACTTGGTTCTTATCTCAGGTAGGCAGTGCCTTACTCTGAAAGCTCTCCTATAAGCAGCAACTGCCCCAAAAGGAGTAGTACCAAAACATGGCACGCAGATGTTTTCTCCACATTTGCTCTGCTTTAGAGGTCTCAATTTACTACTTCTAACAAAACTATAGAAGCATCCAGGAAGTTTCTTCAGACACAATACATACAAGATGAGATAAATAATAATAACAATAAAAAAATTAAAGAACCAAATGGAACTTGCAGAGACATTACAATCTGGCATTATTAACATCATCACTGAATGCAAATACAATACAGTGACTCACTGAGTACTAGTAGTATGTAAACATATCGTACATTGATTGCGGAATTGAAGTCCTGGAAATGCGGTTAAGAGCAAACATTAAAAATTTTATTGGAGTCCTTGATATAAAGGTGACACTGGAGATTGTTATCATACTCAGAATCCTGAAGTCCAGACATAGCAAAGTACATGTTGTCCCCCACAGATTTAAAGCAACAATACTTATAGCTAAGAGAAGGAGGAAGAAAAGAAAAATAAATAAAGACTGGTCTACAAAATGAAAAACAGTTTTAAAATTTCTATTTTTTATTTTTCTGCTCTTTGCCTAGAGCTCAAGAGAACATACATTCTTAATGTGCTTAATATAAATTACACCAAAAAGATGCTACTTCTTGATATATCCCAGGTAAGTTGATTTTAAAGCAAAACATACATACTCTTGAACAAATTACAGCAAAGAACTTAAGGAAAATGATAATTAATACTTTAATAATCAAAATAGACTACATCAATCCCATTACTGAATTCTGTTTGACTCTCTATATCTATATGCATTGCAATAAAAAGCTTCATAATTGCAAGCTACCAATAAAGAAGCTTTAGGGTCAAATCAAACTGAACAAATGTGGCTGGGTGGGGTTTTTGTTCACAAGAAGGATGTACTGTCCTTGAAATTATGGAAATACAGCTGTAAATACAACTAAACCTTTGATAGATGTCAGAATTTATTTTCTATCAGGAGACACTTAATGTTTACCAAGTTTATTGGCTTTTTTTTTTTTTTTTTTTTTTTTTTTTTGAGATATCTAAATATTCACTGAGTTCAGAACTGATTTTAAAACCACAGGAGTAAAATTCGGTGTTAAAATCAGTCAGGTTGCTGCACTTGAGGTGCAAAACAAACAGAAGTGTAACAGCAGTGGCAACGCGCTGTGGCTAAGAAAATAAACCCAGGCCTGTAACAAACTTCCACCAGCTCACACAGGCATCACAGATGGACATTTTTTTAACCAAATTTAGACATTTTAGACAAACTATGATCTTGCCCAATGGTTATGTGCCATTCCTACCTTTGCTTAAGCAGCCAGCCAGGGTATGCTCAGTGACACTGCAGACTACTTGAATCACAGCAAGTGTTCCCTCTGAGTGATGGCTTCAAGGAGCTCAGACAGGCATTATAGATGAAATGATGACCACTGACTGCAGAATAGCCACTTGTGGGATATGCCAGTGAGCTGCCGCTGAAAGGAGGGGGCTCAGAGCATGGTCACTTCTCAGGGGAGCACCTCGCTTGCCCTTCAGAGGCCAGGAACTTCCCTCAGGGACTGCTTGAAGCAAAGTCACATTGAGACAGCTCCCCATCCTCTGACAAAACATTAATCCTCTCAGCATACAAAAACAAGAGGCAGATTTTAAGGCTAACCTTAGCATGTTTCCCTACTGAGATATGCTGTCAGGGACCCCTGTGGTATTTGCAGGTGAAGCAAAAAGTCACACAATGCCTCTGGCAAACCATTTCGGTCCATCATCACCCCCAATCAGTTTTTTCAAACTACATGGAACAGTACAAATTTTATGCACTTGTCTGCCATTTATCCTGAATTTTATAGTATGCAGCCCTAAAAGAGGCTGGCTGGCTTCCTCAAGGCAGCTATGATCCTCAGGAAGGGGTGGGGCTTTCCCTGAGGGAAACCAGGCATGTGTTGGGTTGTGGAAGGGTCTAGAATGCTCCTGTGCTGTGAGGAAGCCCCTAGTGCAAGGCTTAGGGTGACTGTTGGGAAGAGTAGGAAGCAAAAATAACCCCTGAGCCTCAGAGGGGAGAAACTTGGGAGCACAGAGGCAACTGCACAGAGGGCAGCAGAGGCCAAGAAGGTTTCCTGGGGGGAAAATGTGCCTCAGGGAGAAAGGCTGGGCCGTGAGGATGCTGTGAGTGAGGATTTGTTGCAATCCTCTCCATTCTTTTTAATCAAAAACATCTGGAGCCTCCCCATTTAATATTGTAATTTTTCTAGTCACTTTTTTTTTCATTTTTTTTTTTCAGGAAAACTTGGTTTTAATGAGGAAGTCACAATGGCAGTCCCACAGCCTGCTCACAACATCGGCAGCTCAGACGCAGCTGGTGCTGGTTAAGTCCCAGAGCCCATGAGGTGAAGGCACTGCTGTTACCAAACACACCGCCCTGTGAGTCACTAACCATAGCTAAAGGATTTTTGAAAAGATGCTAAAATCTAAGTTATGACAAGTAAAATTCTAGGAATATCAGGAAGTTTGGGGGTTTTTGTTGTTTGTTTCTTTTTTTTTTTTTTTTTTTTCTGTTAGAAGGGGCCTATGAATTGTTTAGAATCGATAGAAGTCTTTCTTACGTGATGAGGATTTGGATCATTTTCCAGAGGAATACTGAAAAATAAGTGACTCATACACAGTATCTTGGAAAGTTATTTTGTTGTTTATCACTTCCTCTGTGCTTGCAGTAGTTCTGACTTGGCAGGCATAACTTCTGGCTAGAAACTTTAATTTGCATCATGTTTGGATGTGGTGCTTTTAACATAGTTTAAGTGATTAGCCACCCTATTTGAGGATAGCTTGTGGTAAAGGTACTTCATTATGAGTTTATGGGTTAAATTATTTTGAATTCACCAGATGTTTTCTTAATCAGGCACCCCTTCACACCTGCATGAGCCTACTGTACTTTTTGAAATTGAGTAATTTTCAAGAGTTGAGTCTGCTTGAATATGTCACAGGAGTCAATCCGATACGTTCATGACTGATTATATTTATTTATTTATTTATTTATGGCTTGTAAGCAAGCATGCAATGGAGTACATATATTTCGTATAATGTTCTATAGCATAAAGACACAACTGGAAGAGCTGAGTAGGCCTTGGGGAGAAAGAAATTTACTCTTTAACACTGTATTTCACTCCACACTAACTTCAAACAAGCTCCCAGAACCACAGTTACAATATTTGTTTTATTTTAGTATTTTTGTTCAGTTCACATCAGTGTTCTTGGTTAGTAAGATTTAAGTACATCAGGCTTATCTAGTTAGGAGAGACTGAGAGCAGCTCCAATGTCAAATTGTCACAGATAATCACTAAAGATCTTGGATTGTCATACTAGAAAGAGTAGAACCATATCTCAGTCAGTTTTTGATGTTTTTGAATGCTTCTGCCTATTTTTGCATTGATATCCATGGAACTCTAGTGTCAAAGAGGCAGGGGAGAACTTCACCAACTTCTGTAATTTGAAGTAGGAAATTGTGATAAAAATAGAGAAACACAAAAAACGTTTGAACTTAATGCTAGGATTTTGACTTCAGGACATTACAAACTGAGTTTACCGGATCTACTCGCAGGTGAGTGTCATATGTTTCAAGAACTTTCTGATGATGTTCAGCAATTTCATTCTCAGATGATATCAATGTGAAGATATCAACAAAGCACGGTATGACACTGAAGTTTTGAGTGCCCCATGAGAAGCAATTTCCAAATTTTTTTAAAAAAATAAAGAAGAAAACTCTGTTTTGGAGATATATCTCCAACTTGTGATTTCATGAATGTCTTTACTAAAAGTAAGTTGTTGGCATATTTGGACACTTGATCCTGGCAAAAGCAGCAGTTATTTGTTAAGGTCACAAGTCACAGATGCTTCCAACCAGCTCGCTAATAACTTGTGTAATTTCCCAGAGTTCTTGTGCTATCATTTTGCTTTTTTGTTGCTACGCTTGGGTACAGTATCATTTTGTATGGGTGATCAAACAAAGGATCCCTAGTTCATTGAGGCATTCAACTGTACATCAATCTTTAGCCACCTCAAGGTAAGGTACTGTCTTTATGTGGATCATCATTGTTATCAAATCTGGAAAGTCTTACCTCGTTATTTTTCCTGTTTCTAATTCTGTTAAAGATAGTCTGGGAGCTGTCTTAATTACTGTTCCTGAATAAAGTGGACATTTTAAATGATGATACATAACAGTACATAGTCTAGTGAGAGATTTTCTTCCTTCACTCTTTTACAGTATCTGTGACTGAACATTTTTTTGGTTAAATTGAACACATGACTGGTCGAAATCTAATATGCTTCAAAATGGATTCAATATGTAGAAAGGCAGTATGGAAGGAACAGGACTGCATATCTTTACTGACAAGAAGTATTGTGAAGTTAACTTCCATTCTTAAATTGTTATATTTGTACGCATTGGTGAGCATTGCAGTTGGTATTTCAAAGCCTCTAACACTTAAGGATATTCTGATAAGATGAATTATGTTTATGTCACTGTTGAGATACTTTTTGATTTTTATTCTTGCCTGCAAGAATTTCAATCATGGTCATTTTCATGTACTTTTTTTTTTTTTTTAAAAAAAAAAAAAAGACCTTGGGAATTATAATCTCAGTGATGCAATTCAATATAGTAATATAGAAAGCAGTGTCCTAAGTGTACTGTTCTTATCTGTGAAATTGGAAAGAACCTTCATGCAGTGTACCTTCAGCAGTCTGGTGGCTTTATCTCATCCGGTATAAGGCTACTAAACATCTTTCCAGACAGTAACATGTCCTTATCCCATTGCTTCCAGAGAAAGAATAAATATATCTGGACATAAAGTTTTTAGTACATGAAAAGTGGCAGCCAATGCACAATGCTGCAGAGCACCTCCTCATCAATCTATTACAAATATATCATTTGTTTTACATATATGTGTGTGTGTGTGTGTCTGTATTAGGTAGTCCTTTGTTATCTGTACTGTCTTCCCATACAATTCAAAATCTGGTTGCATGTCCTAGTCCTTATCTTCAGCAGACTGCCTTATCTGAAGTGAATATTCCTAAAAGTCTCTTGAAAGCTGTGGAAAAAGGCTGTAGTTATTAGCAATGCTCTTCTGGCAAATGTTGGTAGTCTTTTCAATAAGCCTATGGGAGGAATAAGCTTATCCAAGAACCTATTTAATATGGCAGTGAGAAGGACTGCCTGCTACTTGTGTATTATCTGCAAGGCCTTGACCTCAATGTTTCTATTACATTTCATGGTCTTTGTAAAACAGCAGCTCTAGACAAGAACCACATGACAAACATCTTTCTTGCCTTTGTGAAAGAATAGGATTGAAGAGTAACTTTGTTTCTTGATGCATTATAGGAATAAAGTCAAACAGTCATGAAAGGGATGTAGCAGAAGGTATGATAGAGCACTTGTGATTCATACAAATGGAATATGCTGTTTGAAGCTGAATTTGACTTAGTCCTCAGAGTAAAGGTGCCTTCAAAGCCCAGCTCCCTATATGAAGCCTAACAAAAGTCAGTAAGGATGCTCTAAGGATTAAATTCCCTTACATATATATTTGTGGTTCTTGCAGGAGAAGACAGCATAACAGTCTTCCCATCCTTTTCTGTCTCTGTATAGAACATACACTTTACAATGTCTGCTTGTCTGCTTACTGAAAACTTAGAGGTTACCAAACCCCAAAGTAACCAGAAACATAAGCTTCCACAGTGGGGGCAAAGAATACATAACAGTTCTTTAAATTCTCATGTTTACATAGACACCACTTCGCCACACACAGTGAGGGGCGTCGTAGTAATTGAGAGTATATGCAAACGTTGAGGTAAGATCAATGAAGCACAAATAAAATGGGTTCTACTGGGAAATGTGTGGAAGATAGATAAAGATGATAAAAGAAATGCTTAAGTTCCCCTTTTGTTTTGAAAATGGTCTTTATGTTCTGGTACTTTTCAGATACGAATTTTCCACTGCTTTTCAGACTTACAGAATAATATCTTTAAAGAGCTTGGGAGTTTTATCCCAGACTTCAACAGCTGCCAGTACTCCTCATGAGAGTATTAGTTTTGTTTAATTAAAAATATGTAAATACAGGAGCAGTTCAACTTGCCAGATTTCCCACAGGCAATTTCAAGTTCTCATATACCACATACTCTCAACAAGCAAGTACTCTACTGATAGTTCATTGAGAAACTAAGATAAGTATATTTTATACTGGTTAGCAGCCACAGGCCTTGGAACAACTGTGACGTTAACTCGAATAGAATTGTGGACATCATGCCAGAAATACATCAGGGAAACAAAATCTGCCTCTGATTTTTTTATTTTTTTTTTCACATGTGTTGGGCCACATTAAGCATTTGGATTGGTCAAAGTTTTCAGTCCTATATAGGGCTGTCATCAAATCTGACTGCAGTGCTGTTTCTTGGGCTGGCCAGAAAAATCCAAAAGAGCAGTGTGTATGTGTGCATGCATACATATGTTTGTTTATATAATACAGTAAGTTTTAGCAGGTGGAAAATATGTTAAGCTTTGTTAAAATAGTTGAAGTGATCTAGTTTATTTGGAAAAAAATCTTAAGCAGATGAGATCTTAGATGCATTTAGTAATAAATGATCTGACTTCTTCGGGAAGTAGCAGCATATTGCACCTTAGAAAGCACATTTGGCAGATGCTTTGTTTGTATTGTATTTCAGTTATATAACATACAGGCATGTTTTTGTTATTCCTCCTGCTCCTTGCTCTTACATTGAAAACAATGAGAAACTGGAGATTCTGAGTCAAGTAGTGGAGCATGTACCTGAAAGGAAAGCAAGTCTGGACTAACATAGGTTGAGAACAAATCATTGAGAGTACCTACTAGTTGTGTAGCAGTTACTTTAACAAAGAGTGCAAGGGAGTAGTCATACTCACAAATGCAAGGACTGTAATTAAGTAAATCCTACCTAAGCTCCTTGAAATATTTTTTACATGTTGCCTGTACATATGCGTGTGAGACACCCATGATCTGAAAGGGAGTAAATACAAGTTTGAGGAATTAGAGATGTAACTTCATGGCACAATGTAGCAATTCAGTAATACATTGTGCACAGTTCAAAAACTGAGAAAGAAAACTGCAAAGACAAGACAATTTGATATTTAGTTCTCACTTTCCAACTGATTCTTCCTACATTGTTATGTTTGATCTGCTATAGGAACCTCAGAATATGAAAAATGAATGTGCATTTACACAGAATTTTTAAGTTGTGTTCTTTCTTCCCCGTGAGAAAAACTCTTCTTAGTATAACTGTGTGACTGATAATAGCATATAGATTACATTTCGTCATACACAGAAACAAAGAGCTTTTACATCTGAATTTGTTGCATGTGTTAAGGTGAAACATAAGAACAGAAATTGGCACATCTTTGTGAGAGGATGTGGTGCTGACATCCTTAATCTACATGAATACCAGCACAAAATGGCTGCCAGTCTCTCCCTGCAATGAAGTCTTACTACATTAAATGATCGGGTCGTGGAAGCAGACATGACAGAAACATAGCTCTCAGGACCAGGGGATTAGACAGCTGTAATCGGGATGCAAGTTGCCAGCTGATGTATCTGTCATTCTACTATTCAAAAGTAGAGATATATAAAAGTGATGTAAGTTGTTCATTCTTGCTGCAGAAGAGCTCATGTTTGTATGCATGCATTCTCTTTACTTTTCTCCTTAGGTAGTGCTTTCATGGCCATAGAAAAACTGCAATGTTGGCATTTGTTCTTGATGCTGTATGCGTGAAAACTACCTTCAGTAATCCCTTTACACTTTTTACATCCTTAGCTTTGCTTCATTCTCTCCATAACTTCCTTTATTTAGAACTGGAAAGAGGTTTCGATTTCAGAAGCAGATATAAGTCATATATAAGTGAAATCTCTTCTAACATGATTTCATCATTCAAAGAGCTTTAACAAACTGAGCACCTTTTTTTTTTTTTGTCAATCAAAATGTGTATAAAAACAAAAAGGATCAAAATATATTAAGTAAAGGGTAAACAAAAGTATATGCTCAAAGGTATTATCTTAGCAGATGCATTATAATAGCATCAATTGGAGACTAGCTTTTCTAAAATGCACACACATTAAAGTGCAATGTAAACATGCGATTACTACTGACTTCCTGTTCCTGGCTCTTAATATTTGTATAAATACAAGTTTTATTTTACTTCCTTACCAGTAGAGGTCAAAGCGTGTACTTAATGGATTCCTGGTACACACAGTATATTTATTTTTCATTCTTTATCTGACAATAAAATCTAATTATTTAATTAATAGAGTTGTGATGTAACAAGTAGCAAATAACTTTATTTTGCCTAAATCCAGTTTGAACTTTAATTGCAAACTACAGATTTAGCATGGCAATTATGAGGCTATTGGTTAGGAGAATTTGGCCTTCTTTTTGCTCATCTGACATATTTAACTGAGTTCTAACTAAGCTAGAAACATTTGAACCATACCTGCTTTCATGTTAAATGGTTTCTGTTCCTTTGCTCTGTTGTTGTATGGGATCAAAATGCATGGTGCCCAGGAACATTGCTGATATATGATTCATGGCAATCTCCGAGCTTCCCTTAGAAGAGGAATACAGATTAATTGCTAAAGCCTAAAAGCTGAAAAAACAGTTACCTGCGCCTTCTCAAATTTTGATCACAGGATAAATGTTCTCCATGCTAGTACAGCCAAGAGGAAAAAAAATATATAAGGAATCAAAAATGTAGTTTGTGACATCTTCTGTTTGGGGAAAAAGAGGAACACACCAAGTCCATCATAAACTCTAATCTGGCTGTAGAGTTGTGACATCATCACAAATGATCTCACGTGAAGCAATGGCAAGGAGTGCCTTTATTCCCACTGCTGGAAGTAAATGAAATGAGAGAATTATTATCTTCTTCCACAGACTAGTTAATTGCTAGAAGATGAATTTGTTTTTAAGATATTCTGCACAGATTTTCCTCATAATGATAACATTTGAAGGAAACTTTAAAAAGCCATATGTAGGTATCAGGAGAAAAAATAAAGACACAAATAATGGAGATGTTTCCTCTACAATTTCTCTTTCCACAGTTGTATCATTCATTCCATGTTTTTCTGTCAGCACCATCACTAGATTGACTAGAACTAGGTGTTAAAGAACAAACTCTCCAGCCCAGACTACTTCAGCAATCAGAATACAAACTGCTTTAAATCCATCATCAACAACATGGAGTTCAGGAATAGGAGACAGAGCGTGGGAGAAAATGAAGCTTGCCTTGTATGCCTTCCTGTGCACAGGAAGGATAACATGGTATCATTTGAGAGCTCTCTCTCACAGTGGCAGGCCTTGCTTCATTGTTGGTCGGCTTTGGATTTTTTTTATTTTTTTTTTCCCACGTGTTTTACTCAGGGCTCAGAAACACTTCAAATATTTTGTCCAAGTTTGTCTTCAGGCCTGCAGATATGCTTCAGAGAGCTGTGGGAGTGGCAGGCTTTCCCAGCCTCTTGTGCTGGCAGGATACAAAGAGTGAATGACACCAGCTGAGGTCCCCACAGCTACAGTATTTGACATATTCATCAAAGTGAATGCCAGAGGCATAAAGCCAACACGGGGAGGTCTCTGGCCATTGTCCCCAAAAAGCTGTAATTAAAAGTTAAGTTCCAACTGATGAAGTTTTTACCACTTTAGAGGCATGTATTTTAAATGATTTTCTACTTTGTTTTTGTTTGTGTTTTTTTTTTTTTTTCTAAACAGGTATATGGGAAAGAGTTGACTTTACAGTCATTGAAGTACAAGAGTACTTTTGGAACACTGAAAGAACACTTCCTGTTTTTCCTACACACACTCTGTGTTTCTTAGTTTATATTCAATTTCCATCTACATACACTTTGAAACAAGAAATGAAATCCTGCACAACACCCTTAGCCACTATATCTCTGTACATTGCAACAAAGCATAACTTACATTCTTATATGAAATTTATATTTAAATACCTATAGTCAAATGCTCAAAGACAGAGTTGGCTCCAGGTGAATGTCAGCCCTAATGGTCCCCTCAGTGATATTTTTTCTGGTTGTAGGTGACGTGTCTCATGTGTTTTGAAGACTGTCTGATGAATTCCAGAATTGAAGAACATTGTGTAGATACCAAGGAAAATAATTCTTGTGATTTTGGTGACCAGAAGGAAAGCAGGAAGCATGGATTTGTACTAAAAGCAGAAGGTGGGTTATATAGTCTCTAATGGTACAGTCACACTAGGCTTCTCTTAGGTGCTACTTGGGGAGGGAGTTGAAGGGTGCAAAGAGCACAAAGAGATGCGAGTGGAAAGGCACACAGAATAATCATAAGTATCAGGGGATTCTAAAGGTGTGATATAAACTGATGACAAGGCCAAAGTTGGTTACAATTTTTTTTTAATTACCACTTTTGGAAAGTTCTCTGAATATGCATCTCTTTTAGTGTCAGTTTCTTCAGAAAGCAGCTTGGCAGCAGGGGCAACCAGCTGGCTGCCTGCCTGATTGCCTGCCTGCTTTTTGGACAACCACATAGGAACCTTTGAGGTGTGCAATAAGCTTAGCAGTGTATGTGGTCCTTTGTTCCCTGACTCAGCTTTGTGAAAGATGAGAAACAAGCAGACCAAATGGGAACTTGTCTTCTCCACCTATGTTGATTTTTTGGTTAATTTTGAAATAATGGATTGCTGATGAAATTTGTATAAGGTAGAACACAAAATACTTTGCCTTCTCATTCTGACATTCTTTGCATTCCTCTTCCTTCCTGTCATATGTTTGTAATACTGATATTTTTGGCCTTTATTCAAAAAATCATATGTAAAGTACTTAATACTCACCATTCACTGTTTTCCTGTAATTTTTCAGTTATTTTATTTTATTCTATTTGATTTTATTTTTGCGAGAGCAGAAGATCTCTTACATGGCAGTATGTTTTACAGTCTAGGAATATGTCCTTCTAACTCCTTTCCACTGTAGTAGAGAAGTCAAAAAATACCCCACCTTTGTCTACAACAACACAGAAACAGCTACTTATTTCTTTTTTGGTTGTCCATGGCTATGACAAATTTTTCATTCATTTACTCCTTAAAGCTTTGTTCAGTGTGTAGCTAAATTCTGTTTACATTAATAATTTGCAGATTTTTCATGGCAGATGCAGTCAGCATATATTTAGTTGTCACAATAGGCATTTAGTGTTTCTGTCATAGACAGCAGAATTGGCCTGAAGTCCCTTTCATGTGGCAATCCTATTTTCCAAGTTTTGAAATTGTATATTTTTTTTCTGAAATATTTCAAACATTTTTTTCCAAGTTTGTATTCATACCAGATATATTCAAACATGTATATATTTAAGCTACGATAATAGAACATGGTGTTACCTTGGCACAATCTATACCAAAAAACCTCTACAAGTTAACCATTTCCATTAATTCTACACACCAGTAGCGTAGGAATGCCTTTTGACTCTTCATAGCAGAGTACGTGCTACAAAACATTGCCAGATACTGAATTTTCCCTGGAATGACAAAACTTCCTTATCTGCCCTACTAGTCATAGTGAATGTCTCAGTCATCAAGAATAAATATAACCCTGTTTTGTTCAAAAGCCTTATTTTACCTTATTCTGAAACTGCATGTCTGAGATATTAAAGGTTGTATTCATTGAGCATAAACGGTGCTATCATCAGAATTCTAGAATATTTGTTTAAAGGCCAGTCATCTGGAATGATTTGGAAGTTAAAATATGTATGATCTTAATAGTCTCGTGTTAAACTGATGTATCTTATGATGATTCAAAAATTTAATAATAAGGAAAAATAATGCACCTCAAAGAAAAAACATAACAAACAGAACAGATCAGCTGCTGAGTTGGATTGTTACCAAGCTGCAGCCAGTATCTATACATACTAAAAAGAACAATGGAATTTCACAGGCACAAGCTACCAAGTTGGAAATTACTTAAATACCCACAAGGCCTAGGGTCTAACCACATGGTGTATTTTGGTTTGACACTTTATAAAGATACACAGTAATTTATCCAAACATATGCAGGGCTGCTAAAATGATACACAAAAAAGGGTATATTACTGAAAGTGGAATGTTTTCTTAGCGATCCTAAAAGCATCAAAATATCCTAGAAGTAGACATGTATAATTTTCTAGTTAAGTTGTACAGTGCAAAATGTTCTGTTACTTAGCTAACTTGTTTTGGCTCTCTCAATATGTATAATTTCTGGTTTAACATATTTTTTTTTGATATTTCAAAATATTGCAGAATTATACATCGTGCTGGAAAGTGAACTATAGCTAGCTACTGAGAAACATTTACTGAGCAATATATATGGCCAGTGTAATCTTGCTCACCTGTATAACATTGATTACTGTGTATTATGATATTAATACATTATTAATTTATTAATAATTTTCAATGATGATGTGGAAGAAAATACAACATTAATTAAGGTGTCATCCTCTCATAAAAGAAAAAAAAAAAGAAAAAAGAAAAGATCCCCCCTTAAAAATATGGATAAATACCTCTAAAATAGCTTTTTTATATGTAACTGGATAGCCATTTTCCACTAATCTGTTCTATATAAAATAATTATCCTGTTATTGAGGACTTAGAGCATTTGCTGCAGGACTGTGAGGAATATTTTTGACCAATAGTCCTGACTTGACTGATGAAATATATTTGTAGGTGCTGCTATAACCTTCTGCATCCCAGAAGGGAGCTCTCTGAAAGCCCCATACAAGATTTAAATATTGGAATTTAATGGTGATCCTCTTATTATTACATTTAATTTTAAATGTTCAATTATTTTAACTGTACTGAGGTGAAATTCGTGAAAAGGATCTGTAAAAAAAAAAAAAAAAAAAAAAAAAAGATGGATCAGGTATCACAGAGTGAAAGGTGATGACATTCTTGCCTTCTGATAGGTGGATGCTTCTAATACTACAGGTTCACCGTCCAGCTGAAATCATGGGATATGTTAATGATCTGTATATAGATATGGCCAAGTATAAAATTCTTTCTGAAATGCGAAGGTTTTGACTAAACAGGATTTTTTTTCCCACTGGAAGTATTTTATGTTAATCTTGTTCATTTACTTTGTTTCATCATAATGCAGATACAGAAAATTTTCAACAGAAAATGGAATTTGGGCTTTCAATTCTATTATGAACAGACACTTATTCTACCCTCCAGTTGAAAGGAGGGAAAGGGAAAGAAGGAGCAAGAAAATGAAGCCAGACCTTAATTTCAATTAAAATTTAATGTTTCTATTTTAATTACAACTAGGCTGAGCCAGGTTTGCAATTACATTAAAGGATTTTTTACCATCTCTCCTGCACATCTTCCCATTAGTCAGAAGGGGTAACTCTAAGAACATGGTGAGGAGCCACTTTTTAAGCAAAGGCGTAACACCAGAGGAGGACAGAACAATAGGAACCCAGAAACATAATGAGTTGCATAAAGTATTGCATAGGTAAAACAGGAAAAGCTGAAGAGATTCGTATGGAGAGGTAATCCATATCTTTTGTATTTTATGGGAAAAGTTATTTTTTCCTGAGATAATGACTGTGCTAGTGAAAAATGACAAGCAAGTAAAGTTCTGTCTGTATTCTGACAGTTTATGAGTGGCAGTCATACAGCAGACATATCCAGAGTGTTCAGCGTTTTGACTCTGATGTGGTGGGATCCAAGCATTGTAACAGAACTGGAACCGTTCTTTTGGATGTTGGAGAAGATGAACTTGCCATATGCCAGAGCACTGCAATGCAATGGCTTTCCCAATTCTGTGATAAGGGTTGCCCTCTGTCCTTGGCAGTGCTAAGGTGGTACTCAAGAACTTTCTGAGATTCCCCTGCTCCCCAAGCTCAGGAAAGAATCTGTGCTTGTACCATGGACAGCCCATTTTACTGAGGCAGAGTTTATCATTCTGCTTGAAAAGTCACACAAGGGAGAAACGAACACAACCAGCAAGGAGAATGAATAAAATTTGATGGAAGAATTAATTAAAAAAAAGAGAGAGATCTGGATCTCTGTTCATTCATGCCATTGTTTATCCAAACATTCTTTGCAGCAGTTTTTAAACTCCTGCAGTTCATTCTTCCATTTTGTGTGCTTGTCCAATATTATTCCTGTCCTTATCAGATTGCGATCATAATTTGCGTATTATTGATCTCGATTGCTTTGGGAGTATGACTTCAAATTTGTTCAGTAAATTAAGCTAAATGTATTTGAGCTTTAACAAAGAGAAGTCATTATAACAGTGTTGTAAGAATGATAACAAACTCGAGAAGGTTTGGTGGTTGTTTTCTCCCCCCCCCCCCCCCCCCCCTTTCTAAATGGCATTTAGGTGTGTTGAGTTTGATAAAGAGGAGATCCTGTTTGGCGGGTACTCTGCTGCTACAATTTCTGAAAGCCATGGAAATGAGGGAGGGCACTGCAATCCTGTATATAAAGCATCCAGGCTTGAAGAGAAGCCTTGAGAGTGGCAGCAGCAGTACTGCCCATTTTGGAACGGAGGAAGGTACTGGAAAAATCCTCTCCAGTTAGGGCATGCATCATGTTTCTGACAGAACTGTTGCTTGTCTTCTGCAGTTTTCTGCAATGTGCTGGTAAGTCTAAGATGTCTATCCTCCTTCTCTGTATAAGATTTAAAGGAAAACACACATGTATTGAAACAAAGTGGGAAACTCCATTGTAATATTACAACATATGAGGTTCAAGTCTTCTCGCCTTTCTGATGAGTAGCAGAATGAAGTTTACACATTTTCTTCTACCTCACTGCATGTTAGTGTGACCGCATATTTAAGAAATTCATGATGGAAATAGAACAATTCTTTCCTAACTTTCTTTTTTTTTAAAAAAAAAATATAGTTACTAGTGGTTCTGTTGGATCATGATCTAAAACTGGTATGAAATGCAGAAATTATAATACACTTCCTGGATACAGGAAATATTTTTAATACACTTATGTTTTGCTTCTAAGCTGCAGAGTGCCTTCATCTTTCAGGTGTTCATGATTCAGTGCCCTAGTGATGTCATTGGGGAAGCTGTACAGAAGAGACTATAGAATTATCAAGATCTTTTTCCTTTGTTATGCAAACTGCAAAAAGTTTTAAGTATGAGCTATGTTGTGGCATGGTTTGGAATAGTTGGAAAATAGGCAAATCATTCCATATATTAGATTTTTACATGACTCTTAAGTATCCTTTCATATATTATTCAGTATAATTCTTCAGTCTTTTAAAGGGCTCCTTTTTGATCCAACCCATGTGAGTATCAGATGACCTTGTAATTTTTAACGAAGACTTGACAAATAAGTTCATTGAGTCTGTAGTTACTCTACCTTACTCGTTCCTCTTCCTATAGCATTTTCAATTGATTATTTGAGAGTGAGCTGCCTTTGCCCATCGTTTGGCATTGTCTAAGATAACATTAGTTTTTTTTTTAATCTCTCCTCTAAGTTCTCTGTAATTATCAGTTGTTACAGTGCTAATTTCAAGAACGTGTTGCAAGCTGCTAAAGAGCATTCTTCACTTACTTTACTTTGAAAAAGTTAAGTTTATTTCTTCTGTATTGTTTTTACTACATTTAATGGACCATATAGTTCTAATTGCTTGAGGGCACCTATTACTCTTAAATCACTGCAGCACTAGATTAAAAAAAAAAGCAACTGAGCCCTTTTGTAAACTCTCAGAGCCAATTTCTGATCTCAGTCATATTGTTATAAATCAAGTTTAATTCCATTCCCTTTATTAGCACCATTGTATCCAAGATCAAGTCAAGCACCTGAACACTGGATACTAGCCCCAAATGCCAGTGCCTGCAGGTTTTTAACATACATGATTTCATGTATTAGATGAGTAGATATATTTACTATAAGCATTAGTCTTCACAATCAACTGGAAAATTACTATAAACCCCTACTCAACCCCAAGCTTTCTTTGTAAAGTTAGCAGTTATAAATAGGGCCTTACCTTATAAAGGATTGTGTTGTCTAGGATGGAACTTCAGTTGAATTTAAACATAAAAATCTAGAAAGAGGATGTAAAGTAGCAAAGCAGTCTTTTTACTTTGGGAGCTATCAACATTCTTAGGCTGTGAAATAGCATGGTAGGTTTGAGACCATGAAAACAAATAGATTTAATTTTGTTAAGTAAGCTCTGAAATCTGACCATTTTTGGACGCGTATATGGACCATAAGATGTTGATTTTTATGTTCTAAAATCTGCAAACAGGCAGGATGGTCATTGTTTCCAGCTATAGATTCAAGTCCCGTCTCTTTAGCATGAGTTAAATTAAAGCAAGGTCTCCAGTTCTTCTCTTCATGGATCCAAATTCTGCATCAGGAGTGTATCTCTAACTAGAAATGTAAAAATTCATTTTAAGAGCATATATTTCTGATGTGAAGTCTCATGGAAGACTGAAAACCTACTTTCTCTTTCCCTTGATAGCTCAAAAAAGCAATAAACATGCATTAGACTAATTAAAAAAAAAAGAAAAAAAAAAAAGAAGGGAAAGAAAGAAAAGAGAAGACATTTAAAACCAGATTAAAATTGTTAGTTTTATCTTTTGCTTAAATAGATGCTAAATCGTTAAGTTGTGACTTCATCATTTTAACTGTTTCAATAGTTAAAACTGTGCATGGATCCTTAAGAGATGTTTATGTACAGTCAAGGTATTTTTATGCACTAAGTATGTAACCAGAAAGTTACCTTAATTTATGCTACTCAGCCACTGTGCATTGCAAGAGACAATTTTATATTGAAGAGGAATAATCATGAACACATGCAACTGATTACTGGTAATACAGCTGACTTTAACACTGCTCTTGCTGTTAAATTTCATTTTAGATTTATATAATTTATCTATTATAAATTATAATTTGTATATTATAGATTTACATAATTTATTTTAAAATAAATACCTCTTTTAAAATCTTTTTTAAATTTAAAATTTAATAATAATAATAAATGTATTTAATATTTTTAAATTCTCTCTTTTCCAGAATTTCTGATATTTCAACATTTTATTTATTTATTTATTTATTTATGTTATGGTCAAAGAGATGCCTGTTATGGTCAAAGAGATGATAAAAATTAAATCCTTTAAACAACAAAATTCCCAAATTGTTTCTGTTTTGAGATATAAAAAGGGTTTAATTTTAATGTTTTTCATCAAATCAAAATGTTTTGTTTTCATTCATTTAGCTGATATAAAATACTTCAAGTTGTTACAACATCAAATTCTATTTTTGCATAGGGATGTCTGATAGTAACCGGAGGATAGGATCAAAATGTCTTATTTCTTCACAGTAAGTCAGGTTCCCTGCCTGGATTACATTCCTATAAAGAAACAGACAGGCTGCCTGCACAGAAACTGTGCTTTGACAGATTCAAGTCTCAAGGAAGTCCAACCAACTAGAAGAAAGTAGGAATTGAAAATAAATCTTCCTTTGTCTAGGAAAAGTGAAAGTCTGTTTAAAGTTCTATTGAACTAATTCAAAATGAAATATTTCACGACAACTGAAAATCATCCCCTTTCTCAAAGGGCAATACAGTACTTATAGTAAAATGTCAGTAAGGATCATTCTAGTGGTTTGGAAATGTCATTTACTACCAGGAAAGCTTTTTCAATGGGGTGATAGCACTTTCTGCATCTCCATTTCATGTGGTTGTGAATGATTAATAAAATTGCGAGGATGATTTTACTAATCTCCTCAGAGTTAAGTGTGGTAAAAAGAACATAAGTGCTTAGAATATTTACTGTACTGTAATTCTTTTAATAATTGATCTGACAGGATGTGGACAGATTGGCAGGTAGTCAGCACATGGCTCTGTATTTGTTTTACTGGCTATTCTTTCAGCAAAATATTAAGGTGGATGTCATAGCATTAGGTATTTTTAATGTAGACCTTGCACACTTACATGTAATCTGGGATAATTATTACATTCTCTCTTTTTTTTTTTTTTCTTTTTTACTAACCCTGGAGTATTTGTAAAATTTTGCAACAGTTTGGCATGCTTAGACTTATAAATTTTATGCTTGAACAGCTAAAAAATAAGCTTTCTAAATCAATACAGTGATTGTTCTGATCTAAAATATTTGCCCATAAAGTTTTAGATGTACTGTTTTACATCAAGTTCTTTAGTTAAATTTCACTTAAAATAATGCTTTAGGCATATCCAATTATTGTAAATCAAATATCCTCTGGTATATCCACTCGTATACCCCTTGAATGTAGCATCTGTAGTTTGGGATTAAACTGCAGTGATAGCAAAACTGTTAATCCAACAATAATAGATTGGACTATAATAAAACAGTAGAACAATAATAGAAAAAATGGAAATATCAAACTTAAGGGGTTCAAAATATACAACAACTAATGATGTGGTAGTGTTTGCTCAACAGCCATGCAAACTCATTGTCTTTTTCTTTGAGGTGTACTAAACTGTAATGCATGGGTCACTAGGAACATGTAAGGACAGAGAAAGAAGCATGCTATGTGCCATATTATAAATATTACCTCACATTCAACAGTGCAGTGTGAAATTGCCTAGAGAGTCTGTTACAGTTGAGGAGCTCCATAAGGGCTTTTATTCTCTTCAGTGTTTCCTTATGGAAACAACAGAACTCTGCAGTGTATAAATGTGTGTAGACCTGGCATGGTATCTGTGATTAAAGAAGCCTTTTGTCATAATGTACCTTCATATTTTCTCTGTTGCAAAAGATTTGAAACATATAATGAAGAATTATGTGCTTTCTACAGGATATTTGCTTCTATTATCCAAGAAATACCAGACCTGACAAACTTTAAAAAATGCGTAACACATTTCTGAAGCATGCCTGGGTCCTTTTTCTTACAGTTTCCTTTGTTACCATCCAGCTATTGACTGTGTGAAAGCTGGTTCCTTGCATACACTACCTGTGTACTCGTGCAGGGAGTGGTGCTTATTGATGGGCTGTAGGAGCAGTTTTCAACATCTTAGACTCTTGTTAGTTCCTTGGCAGGAAGCAAGCTGCTAGTAGAGAGAACCTTTGGGTATGTATGAGGACACTGCTGTTCTGCACATGCAGGAAGTCTCGTTATGTGACAGAAAAAGGATCATACACCACGTTTGCTAAACATTCCTTGGCTTTTCATAACTAGACAGACTGTAAAGAGGTATGTGGAAAGGAGCAGGTAACAGCTTTCATCGTTCTGCCTGAACAAGAACAGCTAAAGAAGCAACTAGGTCTGGGGGTTTCTCACTCTTCAGCTGCAAATCCCATGATACTTGTGAAGAACACATGGGACGTTGTTTTTTCCATATTTTTTCCAGTTTTGGCTCTTTCCTCCACTGCTTCTGCCCAGATGGTGGACTAAGAATTCAAAAACATGCAAAAAGATTTATCCCATGTGTTTTTAACAAGGAACACAGGATTTGAGGCTTAAGTACAGGAAATCCCATATTACATAGGATTTCTGGCAGCCTTTGGTAACATTTTATCAGTTGCAGAAGAATTTTCTATTACAAGCTGAAGTATGTGGTTTTCCACTAGAATTGCCTTTGGGATTTGTGTGTCAAGACACAATTTGTATATGCTGCCCCTACTTTGACTTGTATGGTATTTAAAAATAAAGCAAAATAAATGTAAAGAAAAATCCTTGTGCTTAGAGGACAATTTATCTATATTGTTTTTCCCCTTACAGCTTTTGAAGGAAATTATTGGCCCCAATATTTTCTCCAAAAACAGAAAGAAACTCTGCAAAGAAGTAAGTGTCTGACCTATTATTTAATGTTCATGTTGCAGCTATGAGTAAAAACTGCATTCAACTACAGTTCAATATTGCAAAAGACATTGTACAAAACACATTAAAAATAAGTCCTTGCCTTGCCTCAAGGAGCATTTGTTTTAAAGTATTATTTTTTTTAATTATAAATGAAATATTTGCCTACGAAAGAGGTGGTAAAATGTTTCATCTGGCTACGGTAAGTTTGACACTAATTGGAAAATGCTGTGGTCTGCCATACTGAGTTTGATTCCTAAGGATAGAGGAGTTATGAGCAGTTACAGTGACTTTCAACTGATGGAATCCAACTTTCTAAATTTGCTATTGAATTTTTGTTAGCTGTTTGATTTTCCTTCCTGCAGTTCACTGTCTAATATTATCTAAGAATTTAGGAAATTGATTCTTTTGAATCATTTCCAAAATCTTGCAAGTGAGAAAGTTGATTCTACGTATACACTTAAATCTATGAGATTATTTTAAAGATTGTAGATTACAACAAATTTATGCACAAATAAAGGATCAGAATATGGGATTGTTCTTCCTCACTTCTGTAGCCAGCAGGGTATCAGAGTATCCACTGATCCAGACAGATCTCCACTCTAACATTCAACTGCAGCTATTGTTCCATGAGTCCTGATTAATTTCACAAAAATTCCCCCTTAACTCCTAAGAAAGTTTGTGTGCATGCATCATCTTCTCTAAGCAAAGTTAACTCCAGCCACCTACTTACTGCAAATTTGTGCTAGTCCTTCTGAGTCTGAAAACTATGAAAGATGGTAATATATTTGTGCCAAAGCGCAAAGCAAGTAGTATATTATAATTCTAATTACTAAAATAATTAGCAATCAGAACTGCTCTTACAACAGTTGATATAATTAAGATGTTAATTTATAATTAAAATTGTATCTTTTGACAACAGTGGTATTTTCAGTTACAAAGAAGTTTCATTTGGGTTAAAGAGGGGGCTGAAACAAGTACTTGAAGCCAGAGTCCAAAGGGAATATGCAGACAAATTCCAGTTGCCTCAGAAAATCCCCCAAATTGAAAATAATTGGAGACTGAGAAAGTACCTAGGGAACTATATGTGAATGACTTGATGGTACTGTTCCCTTGGGCAGTCTCTTAAAGATCACTACTGGAAAGAAAATACTGATCTACATCAACCCTTGGGCAGAACAAGTGCAACACTTCATATGTTCTGAAGAAACGTGAAGCACCGACTTTTTGAATTTACATTTCATTCATTAAACATTTAGTTTTCTGCAACTCTGAAAAGAATAAATACATATCAACTTGCTGAGATGATGGACTGTATTTTACATGAGGTGCTGTTCTGCTAAGACAGGATACAGAAGGATATAACCCTTCTGAAAACACACTTTCTGAAATAAATGTGGGTATCAGTTCTAATATTCTGAACAATTTTTCCACCATATTCTGTTTACTGACATTCTTCCTAGTAATGATCTTCACGCCTTATGTTAAAATATGATGCTTTTCTAGTACCTGCTGTCAAAAAACAACTTTGAGTACTTCCACAGTTCCTGCATTTCAGTGGTTGACAATGAAATTCTTAATCTAGTTTGGGGAAACTGCAGAGGTGTAGAACACCAACAACAAAAAAGAATGATATAAAATGCAAACTTAATAGGAGAGGCATTTTATTTAGGCCAAAGCAGCAAAGAGTGGCTTGTGCTGTGTGGTCTGTCTTTCAGCTTGTAAATGGAAAAGCTGTATGGAAATCTACATTAGTTCATGCTAAAGGGAAAAACAATTAAAAGAATTCAGCAACTATTCCCTGTCTTCTGTCAGTTCATAAAACAAGATGAAGAGTAAGGCACAGATATACACAAATTAAAAGAAAATCCCTAGATATTGCTGTAATAAAAACTGAACTCAAAAGACAGAATCACAGAATTATCTAGGTTGGAAGAGACCTCAAGATCATCGAGTCCAACCTCTGACCTAACACTAGCAAGTCCTCCACTAAACCATATCACTAAGTTCAACATCTAAATATCTCTATCATCTAAAGACCTCTAGGGATGGTGACTCAGCCACTTCCCGGGCAGCACATTCCAATGCCTAACAACCCTCAGTAAAGAAGTTCTTCCTAATATCCAACCTAAAACACCCCTGACACAAATATATATAATTTCATTTGAGGCTTTCTTGAATTATTCACATTCCCATTTGTTACTTTTCTCTGATAAGATTTAAATAAAAACAAATAAACTACATTCTGAAGGTACTCCTTTATGTATAGAAACAAACACCTTTTGCACTCTGACCATTGTATAACCCCAGGTAATCATTCCCTGGCACACTCTGAGAAAGCTGGGGTTTGTTGGTCAGTATCAGTTAAGCACAACTCTGAATTGGCTAGGTTTGAACGTGAAGGATCAACGATAACAATTAGCCAATTCCTATTTTCCAGTTAGACGTTCTGGACAGCACAGAAGTATGGAAGAGGAGTACTTTTTGCCGGCAGGTAACAGCTCACTGGAAAATAATTTTTTTTTCCACACGACCTGAAGTAGCATTCTGCAGAGATTTCATCACTCTTTAAAAAATATGTTTCAGCTTTGAAACAGTGAATATAAATTGCAGGTCGACTTTGTTAAACTTACCTGATAGTTTCAACTTCAAAGATATAATCTAAGATACCTGTGCTTAATAAACCTGCATAAGCAAAATTATTAAACAATGAAAAGCAATGATGTAAGTCTGGAAATGCATAACAAAAGATATGGTTTTACTTACTTCAGTAGTTCTTTCAGCTTCAGAGGGACTGCTCAAATGCTTTAAGTAGGTATAGAAGTGTCTGTAACATCAAGTGCTGGAGTTGTATCTCTCCTTTATGATTCAATTCAACCTCCTTTATGCCGTCCCTTCCGACATATAGTGATTACTTCTTAAAAATGAAAAGTGATTAAAACGTTCCATGTATTTACAAAGCTGGCTTGAACTTTGTCACACAAAAAGAGAGCAGAAAGAGTGGGGACTTAAAGTGGAGCTTTGTATACTGTCTTTGGATATCTAATGATCTGACCGTACAATTATTCATGATGCTTAGATAGCCATAGATATCCCCATAAATGGTGTATCTGAGATGCTAAGATGTCTCTCCAATAGCAAGCTGTTGCCTTTACAAACATTGTGCAGACTGCAATAAGATAGTAAACCTTTTTATCACCCAAGAAGGAGATGGAATGGTTTCTCCCAAGCTAAAAGGAAGCCAGGGAGTTTTGCTTGCGTTCAGTGAAAGGGTAATGCTCTTACTCCAACAATTGTTTCGCTTCCCGAGTTGAAATAAAATTTTGAGGTTACAGAAGAGTCACTAGTTTGTTGTTCACATAATTAATATGGGTAGAAACTTACGAGCTTTTCCTGCTAGTATGTTTGAAATGGCAATCAAAATGAATAAATGTACTGTAAGGAGACCTAAATATGTCTTTCTTGTTTATAGTTATGAGCAAGGATTCCTGTTCTACCTGGGGTGGAGGGCACTTTTCGACCTTTGATAAATACCAGTATGACTTCACTGGGACCTGCAACTATATCTTTGCAACTGTATGTGATGAATCCAGCCCAGACTTCAACGTTCAGTTCCGCCGTGGGCTGGACAAAAAGATTGCGAGGATCATTATTGAGCTGGGACCTTCTGTCATCATTGTTGAGAAAGAAAGCATTTTTGTCAGGAGTGTTGGGTAAGATACTGAGATGAAAGCGGAAGTAGTGTTTAAAAAAGGCAAGGAGCTATACAGCAGTTTCAGTGCAGAAGCGTATTGGAAATTAATGAAATTATAGAAGTTAACACAGGTTACTCCCATTTCTTCCTATAGAATCTAAAGTATTTCATTTCAGCAACTATTTGAATCAAACATAGAGTACATTTGTATAGGCGAAGGGATAAACTAACCAAAACAGTTTTCTAACCAAAGCAGTTCTCACATTGGAACTATGGTCGCCTCACTAATAATAGTCTACTTACAAGAACTTAAGACTTTACTTTAAGCACAGCTGAAACAGCTTATACGCTTTAGTAGGTACTGAAATATTTAAATTCCTGTGTTATGCATTTGGTTTGAGACTTAGGTAATTCTGAGCCCTCTGTGCTAAAGGGTAACACATATCTAGAGTACAAGAGAAACTGACAAATGTTGTTTTCAACAAAGTGAAAAGTATTGAAGGGGCTTTCAAAGAAGTTCTTGTGTATGAGACCACTGACTGTTTATATTGTCCAAGGATTACTGTCTTCAGAAAACAGCTGTTTTATTGAGGAATTGAATTGATGGGAAACCTTGGGTTCCACATTGCTCTTTCTTCTAGACAAATTGTTCCCAGACAGGAACACTCATCCAGGGAAGTTTTCAGCACTTTTATCAGATAGGCAGCATTGATTTATTTTATTTTTTGGTCTGTGGGTACATGCAGATATGGGAAATAGTTGCCTAAGGGTTGTCTGTATTTTGTTATACTCACTCAGTTAAATACAATAACCATCAGCACAAAAAGATGACTTGCAGCTGTATCTTAATTTTAGCAAACTGTATTTAGAAGGATGTCCTCTATTAGTTTATTTTCCAGGAGAAATATAGAAATCTCTAGGTCTAACCCAGTGGTCTGCATTTTAAATTGTTGTCTTGCATTCACAGCAACTAAACACAATGACTGACATGGCCTAATGTCGCTGACAGTCCTGCTTCAGGTGGGAAGTTGGCATGGGTAACCATAGAAGGGCCCATACAACCTATGTTTCTGTGATTGTGTCACATATTTACCAAGTACTTAGCAAAATAAGTTTTTCTTTAATGTTGTTGCTTTGTAATGCTAGAATTCAGCTGCAAGGCTGAAAACCTAATTCTGCTACAGTATCCCCATTATGGTTTTCTTTAACCTTGTTAAGTTTGCAGACTTGAAATGTTACAGTTACAAAGGAGAAAAACTATTTCTTGTTGCTACAAATACTAGGATTGCAATGTGTACTATGTCTAAAAAAGAGACATCCAACACCAGAGGTATGAGAGAATCGGTTTCTCTTCTCCCTCATTACAGTGCCATTAAGTTGCCGTATGCTAACAATGGAATTCAAATAGCCCCTTACGGCCGCAGCACCCGCCTCGTGGCCAAGCTGATGGAGATGGAGCTAGTTGTCATGTGGAACAACGAGGACTATCTCATGGTTAGTAAAATGCTTTTGTAAAACAAAATAGAAAATTCTCATGGACTTACTGGAATGACAAGCTCTCTTTAGTTTTAATAGGTGCTTTTTGCCTGTGATCACTTTTTGGGTATTCTTCTCCTGTTTCATCCATTAACCTTGAAATAAGCAACTTTGCTTTTTATGCCTACATATCCTTTCACTTCCAGCATTGGTAGGTAACTAAAGCCACCAGTGTTGAGATCTGTGGACATTTCTTTGAATTCTGTGCATTCATCAGTCTATTCCAATAGCTTAAATATTTTGCTAAAGGGAAGTTGAAGTTCTTTGAAGTTGAATTGAAGTTGAATTGAAGTTTTGTAGAATTTAACAGTGTTATGTTATTTACAGTGTGCTTCCCCTGGACATCTTTTGTTTACAAACATATAGTGCTCATAAGAGCTCCCTTGTATTTGTCCTTTTTTTCTGAATCTTTTCATATTTTGCCCCCAAATGCTTGATATATTTTAGAGAAGAGAATAAGTTCTCTCTGCCTGAGCTGTAATACTAATGCCACAAAAGACAATTTTGAATTGGTAAATCTGATAAAACAGGTTAATGTGTAATAAATGTCTGCGAGATTTACCACCATTGCTGTCACATATACAACAGGAAATACTTCTGTGACAAGTATATACCATATTCTACATACAGTCAGAACCTGGAATTTGTGCTCTGTCAACAAACTTACAATGGGAAACTTTTATTTTCCTTTCAGCTGCTTAGAATATTATCCTACCCTCAGTTTCCTGCAACTGTCTTAGAATCTTATTATTTTATTAAATAAATCAATAAATAAAATCACAGCAGGCACTATGTGCTCATCAGGAAAATAAGTTACTACTTCCAAAACTCTCCCCCTCAGTCAAGTGATTGAAATTAATGAGAAGGAACTGCTTTAATTGGATTCTTGAACTGCATTTGTTTCAGAATGGTAACGCTGTGTAGATTATTTTAATTAGTGCAATTCTTATAAATGTTTTGTTTTATTTTATTTTAGGTTTTGACTGAAAAAAAGTATATGGGAAAAACCTGTGGAATGTGTGGAAATTATGATGGCTATGAACTAAATGACTTTGTGAGTGAAGGTAAGATCTAAGGGCAGATCTAACTAAATTAATATTGCCAAATGCAGTACAGTGTTCTGTATGCAAGAAAGAGTTCTGAGAAGGCTACGATATTTTTCAGGTTGTAATGAGTTTAACCCCACATCTAGGGGGTTATATAGAATAGCGGATAGGGTAAGGAGGCATGAGTTAGTAGCTGGCAATAGATTGTGTAATTGGCAGAAAAACAGTAGCAGCTGCTGTCTTGTGAGGTAGTAGATGTGCTAAATTAAGTAATAGCCCAGAGAGATGATCAAGGTGGTAAAAGTATGTTTTACTGAATAGAATGCAGGTAAAGGACGAAAGAGATAGTTGTTATCAGAAATTAGACTTAATAGAACCTTTTACAGCCAAAGAGTAGTATCTGGATTTTACTACATCACAACAAATAAACAAATCCACATGGCTTTCTCCTGACAAATTATAACCCTTCAATTTACAGGAAAATTGCTGGATGCATACAAATATGCTGCATTACAAAAAATGGATGATCCATCAGAGATCTGCCTGTCTGAGGAGATACCAATTCCTGCCATTCCCCACAAAAAATACGTAAGAAAGATCTTGGATTTTCTGTAGCAAGATTTTCAAGAGGGATGGAAAGACAAATTAGATACTACCAATAGAGAGGCAATGGTTTCATAAAGCTCACTTTCATTAAAATGGATGAAGTTAGAAGTTGTATAGCATGATACAGTAAAGGAAAGGAGTTCTTTGCATCAAAATACATTTCAAAAAAGGCCCAGGGACATTACTGAAGCTGGATTTATATCACTTGTATAAATCCACCAGCATTCAGCTCACAGCCTTCTGAAAATCAATGCAGGTCATCACAGGAAATTCATGGAACTCAGTGAAGCTTTAATGAACTTCGTACTTAACAACTAACAACCCGACATTATGAGCTGTACAGACATGAAGACATTCAATAGTACTTTAAACATACATGTATTGCCAGGTAACACCATTCACAACAGGGTCAACCACTATCAGCTGTATCACTTCCAGTCTTAGATGAGAAGAAAATCAGCATACCTGCAACATGATGCATCCAAATAAATATGGTTTGACCAAGGGCACTTGGTAGCAGCAAAGAACAAAGTGCTTATATTTCTTTGAATTTGCAGATACAAGAACCAAGTCTTATTTAGTAGGATGATCTTCTTAAGTTGTTTGACCAAGGAAATTCAAATCATAATTTCCACAGAGAACAGGAGTTTCTGTGGGTCCTGCGAGGACCAGACCGTCCTGAGCCCTGTGAAGAACAGCTTTACCAATATTACTTGTATTCACACTGAGAAAATTACTTTGATCTGGTGAATAATTTCTGTTGGATAACAAGTTTAACCTTTTTATGTTGTTTCTTTTTGACATGTTAAACTTCAGTAGGCAACATCAGAGGTAATACAGAGGTATCAGTTGCATGCGTAACGGAGAATGCATGTTGCTATTTCCATATATTGATGTTTGTCCTGGAACACATTCCTCTCCCTACTGACTCACCATGAGACAGCATATTGCAATGTCTCAGCCATTTGTAGGGAGATTGATGGTACTGAAACAATGACTACTTTTCAACTTAATGAGAAGTGGAATTCCACATATCAAGATTTTTCTATTATACAGCACATTTATATTCCCTTCCATTTGTGAACTTGTAATGCATTTTAAGCCAAATGCATATTACAAAACAATAGGGGGGAAAAAAGGCAACAGTAAAATGATAACTAGCAGTGATTTCCAATTGTGGTTTTCATATGGGAAAAATACTACTAGGAACTTTTTTTTTCTTTTTTTTTTTTTTATTTAGGCCATGATCTGCTCTCAGCTACTTAACCTAGTGTCACCAACCTGCAGTGTGCCAAAGGATGGGTTTGTCATTCGTTGTCAGCTTGATATGCAGGACTGCAGTGAGCCAGGACAAAAGAATTGTACTTGCTCTACACTGTCAGAGTATTCAAGGCAATGTGCTATGTCCCATCAAGTGGTGCTCAACTGGAGAACTGAAAACTTCTGCTGTAAGTGCAGATATTTTATTCACAGAATCACAGAATCATAAAGGTTGGAAGGGACCTCTGGAAATCATCAAGTCCAACCCCCTACTAAAAGTAGGTTCCCTATAGTAGGTTGAGCAGGAAAGCATCCAGGTGAGCCTTTTATATCTCCAGAGAAGCAGACTCCCCAGTCTCTCTGGGCAGCTTGTTCCAGTGCTCTGTGACCCTCACTGTAAAGAAGTTCTAATGCATATTCACATTGATTGTACTTAATCTTGCTATGTATTACACAGAGGGAGAATGATTCTTAACTGGAATTCAAAATCAACTGATAGAAAAGTCTCTTCTGTCATAAATCAAGCAGAAAATATTTCCTTAAAAAAACAAAAGTGGTATTTGGTAAGACATTGAGAAGGAAAACATGGAAATATCAAAGGAGAAAGAGGAAGTATGAAAAGTAGCTCCTAGGTGTAGATCAGTGTCATAAAGGAGGGAAATATCCACCATGTGAAAACAGTTGAATTTATGACAGGAGGCTATTTTAATATAGTGCTTTGATTATCCTACTTGAAAAAGTAGCCAATGAACAGAGACAACTTTTAAATAAGCCCTGAAGCTTTTGAACTTTTTTGCTAGCAATTGCTATAGCCCTTTTATTCATAGCTTTTCAGTAGTCCATTTTCAGGTTTTCAGCCTTCTTAATTACAATTACTGACAGGAAGCAAATAGAAACTAAATCTTCCATTATTCTCCGAGCTGTACATGACTGGACACACTTTTGTTTTTTCAAATGCCTGTTTGTTATCAAAGTTCTGATTCACTTTTTACAAGATCTACCTGACTTAACTTAAATCTATAGTCAGTATTATGGAGCAGGATTCATTGTTTTATAAAAGATCATTATGATCACAAAAGAGTCAAAAGTAACTGAAACTGATGTTATTATTTCTAAACTAATTCACATACTAAACTGCCTGAGATGCAGCTCATGCCAACAAAGAGGAACTTTTAAAATGACCAAGCTTAACGTCATATTGTCCTTCAAGAACACATTATTTAATCATATTTATATTTATTTTTTATATGTATTTATATCCAAAAGTAGGAATTGGTAAAAATAAATTGCTTTGGTCGGAACATACTTTTCTTTACCCCTTGAAAAAATCAATTCTTTTGAGAAAATCTTTGAGATTGGCTACCATTATGATTTTAGCATAAGAATGGTGAAAGCCCATTTTTCCTTTCAAGGCCTCGTATCATTTTGCCCTACCAGCATCTCCCATACTGTTTTCTTCTTGATCTTCATATGCGCTGGCATGACTCTTCATTTTTTGTTTTCTATTTAACAATGAGATTTTTTTCATTCTTTCCTCTTACTGAAAACTTTCCCTACTCATTTCCATTATTATCCCCAAATCTTTAATATGCCCTTCTTTCTGAAATAATTTTTTTTCTCCTCCTGTCCAACGTTATCCCTCATACATGTTGGTAACCCATTTTTTTTTGTTTGGTCTGCAATAGGTTTTAAACCTCCAGAATTATTAATTCTTCAGGGGATTTTGTAGACATTGATAAATATTAGTAAGGCACTATGTAAATTTACAGAACTGTACAATAAGTCTTAATAATCACAGTAAAATCACGGTCTTCTCAAAGTCATAGCAGTTTTCATACAACCAATAGACCGTTACAAAGATTGGTAGTAAAGTGATAAAATGCAAAGCTAAAAAAGGAAGGAAAAAAAAGGGGCAGGGGAGTGCCAGGTAGTGACTGTGAACCTTTTTTTTTTTTTTTTTTTTCCAAAAACGAAGCTGAGAATCTTCAAATTTGCTAATATATTCCAAACATACAAAGTTAATGAACTTCTTAGTTTGAATTGTTTCTTTGTCAACCTTGTCTCTAATGCCCCCTTTCCCCACCTCACTTTCCTCTTTCAGATGGTGAAAAATCTCTGCTTGAATTTAATACATAATAAAAACAGAAATTAATAAAGGCTAGAATGGTGATGATGATGAAGAATATTCCAATGATGAACTGAGTACTTAGGTGGGGTAACAAGACGTTAATGCTAGTAATCACAAGGTCTTCTCCATCCTCTGTGGCAGATGAGAGATTCTTCTATGTTTATACTTTAGAAGCCTTAACACTTGCACTGTTGGTTGTTGCAGCTGTGGGAAAATGTTCAGCTAACCAGATCTATGAAGAGTGTGGTTCTCCGTGTATTAAAACCTGTTCCAACCCAGAATACAGCTGTTCCAGTCACTGTACCTATGGCTGCTTTTGTCCAGAAGGTATCATTTTTGTATTCATCATAAAAAACCTAAAAGACCCATGCAAATATTTTTGGAATATATCTATAGTCAAATGGAAAAGACTTCTGGAACAGTAAACTGGCATTGTGCTGCTAGAACTGCCATTTCTGAGAGAACATGATTTAACTGGAGTCTTGAATAGTCATGGTCATTAAAGATCCTTGGTCACTGTTTGCTAGAACAGTCATAAAAGCATTTTCCTCAGATGACCATAGCATGCAAAGGGATAATTATATGCTGCCTTCTTATATTTCTGTAGTATATTGAGTAAGCAAATAGAATAAGATATGTAGCAAATTGAGTAAGATATAGTTCATTTCCTCTCCTAAAGTGGTATCTATCCTTTCAGAGCACCAGCAAGAGGCAGAGTACCTCAGAGAAATTCTGCAATATTATAGGCATTTTATAAAGCTCCTTTAAAGTAGTTCAGGATGAACAAGCATAGAAGAACTGTAATTATGACTATCATGTTCATCATTTCCTGAAGCTGAAACCAGAACTGAATTTCTGGGACTGAAATATTCCCCAAGGTTGTTGTGATATGGGTATTTACATCGTTATCATCACTTTATAGTAGTGATAAATAACATGTTGTGATATACACATTTAAAACTAGATTTAGGAACTAGATTGTGTCCATCCCAAAATTCTCAACCTAGTTAGAGCACCATAGCGAAAATTTGGAAAAAATAAACTTCAGGCGTAGTGTTACTTTAGGCTAAGTTCAAATGAAGACAATTACCTGCACTTTCATGTAACAAATTAGCCAAAGTCCATGATCACTTGTAAAGAGTCAGTTTTATTTTAATTAAGGGAAAATTTCCTCCACGTTGTATTTCTAACTATAGGCAGTGGCTGTGCAAGAATAGCATTTGTGAGCTGATTTTGGAAGACATACAAGTTATAATAGCTTTAGTGTTAAGTAATGATACAGAAAAGTATTTCTGTTGTTTGCCTTCTTTGGCAGGAACTGTTCTTGATGACATCTCAAAGAATCGAACATGTGTTCACCTTAGTCAGTGCCCATGTACACTGAATGGGGAAACATATGCTCCTGGTGAGACAATGAAAGCAGCATGTAGGACGTGGTGAGTAGCAACGGATTCCAAGTGACTGAAAAATGTATCCTAACTCTTCTGAAGACAGCTGCAAATGTGTGAAATCATCTCTGAGGTCACCTTCTTTGAGTGTCACAAACTACACATTTTTAATTTAAGATGCACATGTTTTATTTCATGATTCATCTGCAGAAATATAAATGCTTGAAGGAGGCCACACAAAACAATAACATTACCTCCTATGGAAGTGGAGGTTAAATTAGTTAGTACAAAACAAATATAAAAAATTTACTTCTTCCTCGCTATCTCAGCAGTTTTAATCACCAAATCAGTCCTTAAAACTGTATTTTGGTTCTGCAACAGAAAATAATTATTTAAGACAGTATTTTTTAAATTTGGAAATTATATTAAATGCAGAATGACATTTTTGTAGTGTTACTTCTCTTGCTGTCATCATTCAGATAAATAAAGTAGAGGATAAATGCTGGAAAGTGGCCTCAGAACTAAAAAAGTGTGCTTTTCATGGGTAATCCATTCAGCAAATTTTATAGCATTCCATACCAGAGTTCAGCAGCTTTAAATTCAGATAAAAAATTTCAGCTCATATAGTTACATGCAGAAAATCAAAGCACGGAAAGTGTGAAGGGAAAAGTGATTAAAAGTTTTTGTCTTCCACCACTGGCAAGTTGCTGAGATTTTAAAATGAAAGTGACGAAAAATTTCAAAATAGTGGAAATAAAAATTCAGTTTATATACATATGTTAGATAGTGTATACAACTGATTTATCGTGTTGATCAGTTATAGCAAAACTTCCAGAACAGATAATCAAATTCTCTTTGCTTATAAACAGTATGGTTGCTATGAGAATAATGTTACGCCAACTTTCTTTTTTTCCTCAGTAAATGTACAATGGGTCAATGGAATTGCAAAGACTTGCCCTGCCCTGGAAGGTGTTCATTGGAAGGAGGCTCCTTTGTTACCACATTTGATTCTAGATCATACAGGTTCCATGGAGTTTGCACTTATATTCTTATGAAGGTAATTTCCTGAAATGTGGAAACACACAAAATCAAATTAATATAATTTTAGTCTACCTTCAGTATCTTCTTCGAACACAAGCTGAGGTGTTTCTATGATATGCATTTGTTTCACGAATAATTTCTACTCTGACAGACTTACATTTTCTTTATTTTCCTTCAGAGTTCAAGCCTTCCAAACAATGGAACCCTAATGGCTGTATATGAAAAGTCTGGTTATTCTCATTCTGAAACATCACTTAGTGCTATAATTTACCTGTCTACGAAGGTAAGCAATCCCTCCACAGGTTCTATCCAGCTCTTCAGTAACCAGGATAGTAAAATAAATATGTAAAGTCATTGCTAGTAACCTGAGATGAAAAATTATGGGAAATAGATATTATACATAAGCTCCAGTGTATGCATTGAAGATCTGTGTTGCCAAATCAACTTAAGGAATTAGAGTTGCTGTGAAGAAAACTACAGTATTTTCAAAGTGAAAACTGAAAGCAGTATGGAATAACATGAGAAAAAGCCCGAATCAGTCTCTTCCTAATATGTAGGTCCTTGACAACACACTTGCTAAAATAAAGAAAAATATAAATACCATCAGTATAGCTATTTGCTTCTGATTCTATGTCCTTTTCATACAGGACAAAATTGTGATTTCTCAGAATGAACTCCTTACTGATGATGATGAACTTAAACGGCTACCTTACAGATCAGGTAAAGAAAAGGGAATATAAGTAAAATCTGAATTGTATTAAATATCTGTTTTACAACACACAACCCAGCTTCTTTTCTCTAGTAATTGCCAATAGCAGTTGTTTTAGAGGAAGGTTAAAATCTTTCCCTATTCATCTGTCCCTCTGTCGAAAGTTGTATGTGGATGGAGAAGATGTGTAGACAGAATGCTAGAACATTTATATATGCATTAAAAATATATGCAATATATATATATATATGCATTAAAATCTGTAGCAGTATTCCTATGCTTCAAAATCTCTATTTAAAAATATTCTTATCCTTTTAGGAGACATCACTATTTTCAGACAGTCCTCGATGTTCATTCAAATACATACAGTGTTTGATCTGGAAGTTCTAGTTCAAACATCACCTGTGTTCCAGGCCTATGTGAAAGTTGGATCACAGTTCAAAGGCAGAACCCTGGGTAAGAAATCGAGTCCCCATGTGAAGGAGAGAATATACAGAGTGTAATTTTGAAAGCTCAGTATTCAGCCTTTAAGGAATAACCATTCTTCTCTAGATTAAAAAAAATAATAATAATAAAAAAAAGCTGCATTGGGAAACAGATGTCAGGGAAAAATAAATTCTTAGCACAACTTTAAAAATAAGCAATGGAGTTTGATGGGAGACATTTTTCATGTGTAATATAATAATGTTCTTGAGAGGTGGGTCTATGTGAACCTCATCAAGTTCAACAAGGCCAAGTGCAAGTTCCTGCACCAGGGTTGGGTCAGTCTGAAACATAACTACATACTGGGTGATAAATGGATCGAGAGCAGCCCTGCAGAGTACCTTGTGGTACTGGCAGATGAGAAGCTCAACACAAGCTGGCAAGGTGCAGTTGCAGCCTAGAAAGCCAACCATATCCTGAGCTGCATCAACAGCAGCATGGCCAGCAGGGCAAGGGAAGTGATTCTCCCCATCTACTCTGCTCTCCTGAGACCGCGCCTGAACTACTACATCTAGGTCTGGGGCCGCCGGCACAAAAGAGACATGGACCTGTTGGAGAGCAGGTCCAGAAAAGGGCGAGTAAAATGATTAGATCCAGTCTGTGTTTATTGTGCAGCAACATTAACTGCAAAGGCACAACCTGCATTCTAGTTTTCTGAGGGGAAATAGAGAGGCTTTGAATGTTTAAAAAAGTCTAAATGTATATTATTGTCATTACAGATTTTATATACAGAAGAAAACATGCAAAAGTATTTCATGACCTTTCTCTTTTTTCTAGTTTAAAACCACTGAAAATGCTTTATTCCAAAAACAAGACAAAACTTTTTGTGTGCTTTGGTGTCATAGAGCAGAAGTGGATAACGTTAACCTGAGAAGTTAGAGAGAGGCTTAGTGACTGAATGCAAACGTAATCAAGATTCTGTGGCTACTTGACCTAAAATATTCAGTGACATGCATCTAGAGCTTCTGACAATTTTTTTTCACTATTGTAGAAGAATGAAACATAGACCATTGTGTACACATTTTTTGGTGTTCAGTCATCTTTTGCATTTCTAATGTTATTAGGTTTGTGTGGCAATTACAATGGAGACACTACAGATGACTTCATGACTAGCATGGATATCACTGAAGGAACAGCTTCCCTGTTTGTAGATTCCTGGAGGGCAGGAAATTGCAATCCTGCTTTAGAGAGAGAGACTGACCCTTGTGCTTTGAGTCAACTGAACAGTAAGTAGATGATCCTGTTGTAACTGATCTCTCCAGCTAGCTTTGTCTGCCACTTCCATAAATCCAAAGAGGATTTGAGAGAAGCATAGGCTGAGACAGTTGAACATCACAAATTCTGTCGCCAAGAAGACATTTCTGATTTGTGGAATATATATCTAGTGAAAACTCACTAGATCTCATTCTAGAGATCTGGGATTGAGATAATGAATGAGACTTTTTGTTGATATTTCCAGTGAAATTGTAACATCCATGAATGTCTTAGACTGTTGTTCAGCATTACAGTATCTGAAATCCAGGCTTTACTTTCTCAAGTCCCTACAGCTGTTGGTATTAAAAGGCACCCAGCTGAGCTGCTTGAGCTAAACTATAGTCTTGCAAGACATTTGAAGTTGTCCTTTTGTTGAATCCATCATTGCCAACAGCTCAGCTAGAGTTGCATGCCTACTTTTGCAGTTAGAAAGTAGAACTATGGTTTGAGAAAAGCAGAACCAGCTATAGGAAGGGAGTCCAGAGAAGGCCAGCAAGAATAATCTGTAGTCTAGAATGTGGGACCAAGGATAAAAGGGGACAAATACACTAAAAGGAGAATTTAACAAGGAGAAAAATGAATGGAAATTTAGTAGTTTTCAAATCTGCTAAAAATAAAGTAATAGTATCCTCCACATCACTGGTAGAAAAGATAAGACATGATCTGCAATACATTGTTTTTCTATTAGATAAATTTTCTAATCATGAACTCATAATTTGTTTGTTGAATTTGATGATCTTGAAGGTCTTTTCCAACTTAAATGATTCTGTGATAACAAAGCATTTTAACAGATTGCCTGGGATGTTAAGAAATCTGAATTACTGGAGGTAATTAGTAATAGGTTAGTCAAATGTTAGTCAACACTAATGTAAGCATTCCTGGTGTTTCTTGGCAGGGATATTGACCAGATGAGCCTTTGAGATCCCTTCCAAGCCTTGAATTCTGTAACTAGCAGGGCAAAATCTCCTACTCACCTTTTTCCTCACTTTCACTGGTGTTTAATGTCCATGGCTTTGTTTTTCTTAGAAATATCTGCTGAGACTCATTGCTCCATTCTTACGAAGAAAGGTACAGTGTTTGAGAAGTGCCATACTGTGGTGAACCCCATTCCTTTCTACAAGGTAGGAATTACTATCCATGGAGTACAGAGGGCGTCCAAATATGGACCACATTGTGCTTACATATAATGTGCCACTCATTGGGATCAGCAATGCATAAAGGCTAAGAAACAAGCATGTTTTTGTCTCCACTACACTGGAAGTGTGTTTGACCATAGACTGCCAATCTCATCCCTAAGATTATATGGACAGCACTCTCAGACATATTGTTTGATTTTTGGGTGGTCCTGTGTGGAGCCAGGAGTTGGACTCCATGATCCCTGTGGATCCTTTCTCACTTGGGATATTCTGTGATTCTAAGAATAAGAAAATAGTTTTGCTTATGCTGCAATTTTCCATGTCAAAGACTTTAACTCTGTAAAGTATTGTTTTTCCCTGGTGCGTAACTGAGCTCATTACATTTGCCAATCTCTGTGAAACATTTTGAGAATTAAAATTGAAAAGCGGTGAATATACAAAAGTATCTTCTAGGTACTGAGTATATTTTCTTCATATCAATCAGACAATTAACCCGATCGTTTTCATCAATTTTAGTTATGCAATAATATGTGTTTTGCTTGAGTTACTTGAATAGTTCAGCATGTTTAGCACTTCCAAATGTCTGCTTCTCAGTAACAGAATAGTTACCATGTGTTGGGTTTCAGAGATGCGTCTACCAAGCCTGTAATTACGAAGAGACCTTCCCTTATATTTGTTCTGCTCTGGGATCGTATGCACGAACATGCAGTTCGATGGGTTTAATCCTTGAAAACTGGAGAGAGAGTATGGACAATTGCAGTAAGTAACTGAACAACCTCAGGTCAGTCATCAGATTATTGCATGCATAGAGGTCTATTTATTTCCGTTTAAGTGATTCAAACATGAATTTTCTATCACAAAAACTGAGAAAGGATGAGAACATATTTTAAAACTACATTAGTCGTTAGAAAACAACTATATACTGTTTAAGCAGACCAACTAGTATGTACAAAAGCCACGTTCATATGAACTGGTGACTTCACAGATGTGTCAGAACACAACAAAAAATCATAAATGATACAACAGTATTCTAAGCAGTGTCCACATCATCTTAAGAGTAATGCAGAAAGTAATTGATGGAAAAAAGAAGAAAGCAGAAGTGGGTTAGCAGATATCGAACTTACAAATACCCTGCTAGTCTGTTTCAGAAAAGGACTGTTATTTTAAGACTTTTATCAAAAACTTTATTCACATGCTTTAAGATAAACATGTGAATGCTTCCAGGACTTGATAGTTAAGTGGTGGAATAGACAGATAAAACTATACTGTGTCATAGGGTTAGGAAAAACAAGGAAAGATTGTTTGCAGATGTGATTTTGGCTATTCTGCATCTTAGAGATTGACACAAATTTCACAGTTGTGTAAAAATACATTGGTATTTCTGCAAAGCTTCCTTTTGCATCATTTCATTCCAAGACACAAAGAGGCAATAAGATATTTAACCTTGAAAAAAACGAAACAGCCACATGGCTGTTGTTAAGCCTTGCTCTGTAATACTGTTTACTACAGCTCCACATCCTCAGGAAGAGAAGCCATAGGTAGCCTTAAGCATTGAAGCTATTGATAGAATATATGTTGTGGCATTTTACTCTGAGTGCAGTGATCTTTCACAGCAAAGAGGATAAGAAAATGAAGTGTAACATACACTCTTCTCCTGTTTTATAGCCATTCCCTGTACAGGCAATCAAACATTCAGCTACAACACTCAGGCATGCGACAGGACATGCTTGTCACTCTCCTACCGAGCCCTGGAATGTCATCCAACTGACATCCCTATTGAAGGCTGCCATTGTCCTAAAGGAACGTATTTGAACCACAAGAATGAGTGTGTTCGTAAATCTCACTGTCCCTGTTATTTAGAAGATAGGAAGTACATCCTACCTGATCAGTCAACAATGAGTGGTGGGATTACCTGGTAAGTGTTTAAAGATCAACTAATTTGAAATGAAGAGATGTCTTCAGGTGTCTCTGTGGATTAACCACAGTAAGAAGCTAAGCACTAAAGAGCTGCTCATTCACTCCTCCTTAGTGGGATGATGGAGAGAATCAGAGGGTAAAACAGGAAAACTCATGGATCAAGATAAAGACAGTTTAATAACTTTCTTTGCTATTAATAAGCAAAAATAAGCTTACTTAATAAGCAGAGTGGTGTGCATAAGCAAAGCAAAATAAGGAATTAATTTACTACTTCCCATCAACAGGCACATATTCAGCAGTTTCCAGGAAAACAAGGTTTTGTCACACATAGTGATTATTTGGGAAGACAAATGCCATAACTCTGTCTGTCCCCACTTCTTCCTTCTTTCCCCCAGATTCATTGCTGAGCACAGTGTCATGTGGTATGGAATATCTCTTTGGTCAGCTGTCCCAGGTGTGTCTGCTCCCAACTTCTTGTGTACCCCCAGCCTACTTGTTGGTGGGGCAGGTTAAGAAACAGAGAAGGCCTTGAGATTGTTCAGCAACAGTTATATAACATATATATGTGTGTGTGTATATATATATATATATGTATATGTATATGTATATATATATATATATAAAAAATAGCTATATAACAAACTAGTACATTGGTCAGTTATCAACACTATTTTGATCACAAATCCAATACATAGCACTAAACAAGCTGCTATGAAGAAAATGAATTCCATCCCAACCAAAAACAGTATGGTCTCTGTTATTTTAATAGCAAAGGAGTATTTTTTAAGATATCTTTTTTGTCACTTCCTAAAATGAAGAGATTCTTAAACGGAAAATGTTTGACAAACCTTAAGCTTGGAAATGGTAGAAAATTAGAAAATAATAGGTAAAATCTGATTATTCCTAGTCAAAGATAGTAGGAGACTTTGCCAACCACATTTGTACTGCTGTATACAAACAGCAAGATGGCTCACCCTTCACTTTCTAAACTGATGCTACTGTGCGCTAAAAGCAAAAAGGGGCAAACTGATCCATGTTCTGTTCTGGAGGATGGGGAGGTACTACTAACACAAATGAAACACCTTCAGTGGTGAATAACAAGTTGTCATTTTGCAGAAAATCTGTATTTCTTTCTTAGGAGAGAACTGCATTGAAATTTTTTTTTCTATTTGTTTTTTCCCCTAGCTACTGTGTTAATGGGAGGCTCAGTTGCACTGGCAAACCTCAAAATCCTGCAGGTATGGGTCTGATTTGGTTTACTTTGTAACATATTCTTTTCTGCTTTAAAATTGCTACTTCACAGTTTCCTATGTTTGTTTTTCTTCCTTTTTGTATAGAAAGCTGCAGAGCTCCTAAGAAATATATATCATGTTCTGACAACTTAGAAAACAAGTATGGAGCTACATGTGCCCCTACCTGTCAGATGCTGGCTACTGGAATTGAATGTGTGAGTTTCACAGCCCTGGGATATTAATCCTCTAGGGGAGAGGAAGAATGTTCTGGTAGTTACCTAGAACGTGAGAAATCTGGGCAGGATTCAGTTCCTTCTAGAGAAATGAAAGGAAATATTTCTTCTAACATATATAATTGAGCACCAAACTTCTTTCTATGGACAATAGACAGTAAAAACATACACACATTCAAAAAGGGATTAAGGGAATTAAATTAAATGGATTACTGATTTGAATTATATGAAACAAATAGAATAAAAATCCATTAAGGATAATATAATCCTTCACTATCACCTCTGGCTCCATAAGCTACATGTTGCTAGAAACTGACAGAACATGTAGTATATGCTTTCTGTTCGATTCTTTCACAAATATCTGGTGTTGACGGTTTTAGGGTTCAAGATACCTAAGCTAGGTGGACTTCTGTTCTATCCTGATAGGGTTTTCTTTTGCTTTCATACTAAGGAAAAAGACTGACTGGAACATTGTAATGTAATAGTGTTCCGTGGTATAAAGAAACTTATATTGTGCTCTGTTTGTCTGAACGGAACAAAAGAAAAGTATGTAGAAACAAAAGAAATTTTTCAGTCTTCAAGTATGTTTACTATCTCACACAACAGGTATATCTTATAACTTCAGTGAAACTAGTTCAATTGACTAGTTGAATATTAGCATGAAGAAAATCATAACATTTAAATCAAATGAAAACTAGAACTGAGCACAGATTCATTCTTGACACCAATCACGTACAAGATAAAATACATTTTATGTTCTTTTTCATTTTGCAATCGGTTGATCTTTACCAGATACCTACTAAATGTGAATCAGGATGTGTCTGCGCTGATGGGCTATACGAAAATCTTGATGGCAGGTGTGTTCCAGCTGAGGATTGTCCTTGTGAATATGGTGGCCTTGCGTATGGAAGAGGTGAACAGATCCAAACTGAATGTGAAATCTGGTAAGGGTCACACGACTTTCTATTCCTGAACCTCTGTTTCACTGAGCCGTACAACTATATAACAAAGAATTCAGTTGATAGGAGAGTAGGAAATAGCAAAAGCTGAAAGCTAAACTGAAGGAATATAATGACGAAGCACTATATTCCTTAAATAAAGAGAAGCTTAACACTTGGCAATATTTATGTACAAATGAGTCATGGTCTACTAGTCAGCTGTACTGGCTTCAGGGATATTTCTTCCACCTCTATATCCAAGGAATAAGGGCATCCTTTGTAGGGCATATAAAGGTAAGCTATGTAAGGTTGAGGATTAACAGCTCCACAAGGATTAACAACTAAATAAAGATGAGGGTGCTGTCTTCCTTCTTCTCTATAGATATAAACAACCTCCCAAAAAGATTGCTTCCATCTCCTTAGCAGCATTATCAAGGTACTTTATTCATTTTCCAGTTTCTAATCTAGTATAAAAATCCACCAGCACCCAAACAGCACAGAACACAGATATCTGTTTTCATTAACAGCAAAAAGAAATGAGCTTGTATTTTTCTTTAATGGAAAAGAAAGAAAGAAAAAGAGAGTGAAGGTTTCTTTATCATGAATTAATTTTCTCAGCAATCCATTACTTTTATTTATGTATTTATATCTTACATTAATTGTGACTTGGTCACAGTGTACACAAGTCAATTAAATGAATGTCTTATCTATAAAAATGTATGTATGTAAGAAGATGTAGGTTAAGGTGCTACTCCTGTGAAATCTGAGTATAGTTTCTCTTCTCACTCCCAGCACTTGCAGAAAAGGCAAATGGAAATGTGTTCAGAAATCAAAGTGTTCTTCAACGTGTAATCTTTATGGAGAAGGCCACATCACCACTTTTGATGGACAACGTTTTGTTTTTGATGGCAACTGTGAATACATATTAGCTATGGTAACCTGGATCTTACTGCTTCTTTTGGCTATATCTTAGCATGAAGGAATACCTTGATTTAAATGGCTGGTGAAAATATCATAGGATGTATTTTATCCAATATAGCACCCGGAATCTTTCTAAACACTTAAGGTGATTTTATATGTGCAACCAATTTTAGATTAAATAACATATAAAGTCATAGATATGTAACATATTTTCTACCAGTCAACTACGTCTTTCAGTGAAGTGATGTCAGTTTGACCACCAAACCAGAGGTCATCACTGATACCTCCCAAAACAATGAAATAGCTAAAGCATGATACCCCAGTAACTCTTTCCTTTCTACCTACAAAGGTGTGGGTTCTGCAAGGAATAGAATGGTTCAGCTATGAAAGCTGTAAAATATTCTAGAACCGATCTTTTATTAGCCAACAGTGAATTTTAAGACATTCACAGATGGGCTGTCTCTCACATGAGAATGAGAATATCAGATAGAGATGGCTTGCTGTGCTGAAAGGCAGAATCACAGCCATGACACGTCTAAGCTTTCTTTACTTTGTTACACTTCAGACATAGAGTTTATTAGGTCTTTTTGCATGTATTTTTATTTTTTTTTTAGGATGGCTGCAGTGTTAATAGACCTCATTCCTCTTTTAAAATCATTACTGAGAATGTCATCTGTGGGAAATCAGGGGTTACATGCTCTAGATCCATCAGCATTTACCTTGGGGTAAGATCTTTTTCTGTTATCCAGCAGAATAGTCATTTAAGTCCATACTTGCTTCAATTTTGGAAACTTCAGATATGTCTTCGAAGTGGTGTCTTTATATGTGAAATTATGTGCTTAACCTGGAGCTTCATTGTTAATAGAAACTGCCATCATTTTTATCAGTTCTAATGTCAGTGTTTCAGTCCTCAAACTTCTTCCCTATGTAGAAGCCACAAAATTTTGAACCTTACTTACTCAACAGTGGGCTCTGTCAAAAGATTATTTTTTTCACCAAACTCAGTCTAAGAAAACACTAGTATAAAATTGAGGAATTCTTATCATGGGTGACACACAAAACCTCTCCAGATTTCTTAGTCCAGGTAATATCCACCAATTCAAAATACATCCAGATCGCTACTGTTTTACCTGAGATACATCTTTGAAATTAAAGTAATGAGCAATTATCCTCATTTCTACTGCTGTCTGACAGCTTCCAAAATCAGATAATTTTTGCCCTTGGCTGTACTTGAACAGTAACGCCCAGTAGTATCAGCTCATTTTAGTCTTTTCACTATCAGACAGAGAGAAGTATAGGGACAGATGAGATGTGTAGTGACTAAACAGTCACTACAAGCAGTACACGTTTGCCAGGTTACTGAATATTGGCAGTTCCAGCTCATCAGTGCAGTGCTGAAAAAGTTTATTGTTTGCTCAGGATCCAGCTTGATAAGTGCATTTTCCAGACAAACCTTTCTGTTTATTATCTAGACTCTGAAACACTGCACTACAACAGGATTTGTAAGAGTACACCTGAGAGTAGGAGATAGTAACAGAGCTCTAGTGTTAGATCTATTTTCTCTGTAACTTTTTATATTTTATTTCTAAGAATACATGAAGATGTACCTCCTGTACTCTATTGGCTTCATATAGATGCCCATACTATTTCCAACAAATGCTATTGTATGTAACAATGAGAATTAATGAGGACAGTTGTGTGTATATATATATATATTTAATATTTCTATGGAGATTTGCATATACGTTAAAATAAAAAAAGAAACAAAAGGCAATTATTTTGAGATAGGGTGACAACCCAAGGAAACTCAACTACCTTTTAAGATCTCCATCACGGATGACAGAAAGTTATTCAGCAGTATCTGGCTACTGTAGAATAAACAGGAATGACAAGATGGTCTGTAGCAGACCTTCTGTATCTGACCTTCAACATGTGTGACACAGAAAGTAAGAAAAATACTGAAACTTGGTAAGTTGTAACATACACGTAATTTTTGTTCCAGAACCTGACACTTGTACTGCGAGATGAAACCTTCTCTGTTTCTGGGGAAAATCCTTTAGTGCGATACAGTGTGAAAAAGAATGCTCTCCACCTGATGTTTGATATCATTATCCCAGGAAAATACAACATGACCCTTATCTGGAATAAGCACATGAACTTCTTCATCAAGATCTCCAGGGAAACACAGGTATTGCAGAATAACTTCCTCAGAAAACTATCCTTCAGTTCAGATTGAACTGCCAATTTGATGACAGTTGTCTTGACTCTCTATGATGACAAAGGTTTTTCAGAGATTCTACTAACAATTCATTTTCTATTCATCATTATGTCCGAAAAAATCTAACTTTATGTGATTACCCTTCTGCGTGACAGGAACCTTTTGAGTTAAAGAGCTTGTATTTTATACAACAACTGCATGTTTTGCTTGAATTTGATAAATGATGACAAAGACAAATTACAAATTACACTTTAGAAGAGCAGGGCATCCACTGATGAACAGGACCTCATGCACAAGGGGCTAAGAACATATGAGAGAGTATTTGTAGATTACAATCACCAGTGATGCACAGGAAAAAATGTCAGTAACTGAGAGGGAAAGTAACTTACCATGTTTTTATTTTATGCAGGAAACTATTTGTGGTTTGTGTGGGAACTATAATGGCAATATGAAAGATGATTTTGAAACCCGAAGCAAGTATGTGGCATCAAATGAGCTGGAATTTGTGAACTCTTGGAAGGAGAATCCTCTCTGTGGGGATGTATACTTTGTAGTGGACCCATGTAGTAAGAACCCTTACCGTAAGGCTTGGGCAGAAAAGACATGTTCCATCATCAACAGCCAAGTCTTTTCTGCCTGTCACAATAAGGTAAGAATACCTTACAGCTTCCTGTTAGGTACTTGTAGAAAGCAATGAATCCTAGAAAATTCATGACTTAATTTTCCGATGCAGGTGAATCGTATGCCCTATTACGAGGCCTGCGTTCGAGACTCATGTGGCTGTGACATTGGAGGGGATTGTGAATGCATGTGTGATGCCATTGCGGTATATGCGATGGCATGCTTAGATAAAGGTATCTGCATTGACTGGAGGACCCCTGAGTTTTGCCGTAAGTTTCTTTAAGCTTTCTTTAATCAGTTTAAGAGACAATTATTTTTATCATGAGTATATTAATATGGTAACAAAGGAAATTGCTTACATATGCACCTCAGAGGGTGTGTTTTCTGTATGGGCCAATAGTTGATTTCAGTAACGTGAACTCTGTACTCTGTACTTTTCATTTGTGCTAAATTAACCAAAATATTATGTCTGTTTTTACCGTGGAATAATGAGGAGATAAGTGATCACAGAAGGCAGCATATTTTTTCTGCTGCTACTGTATAGTGAATAGTCAGTTTGTAAGTAGATGGAATATGAAACTGTAAAAAAATGTTTTCTTTTAGCTGTGATGAATTCACTATCTGTGTGGATGTCAAGGGAATAAAGACAGCTGTGCTGGCTGGAACACTGTAAAACAGGAAAATATCAGTGTGTCCCAGAACACCATACATGGAGGAAAAGAGAGGATGAGTGTTATAAATCAATGCTAAGCTTGTCATCTTTGATGGTTTCTTTCACGCACTCACTATATTATACATTAGAAATTGTGGAAATGTCTGCATAGTCCGTTCACAGAAAAAGAAACTGACTCATCTCACTAAAGCATACATTTCATTTTACATCAGATAGTGATAATTCCAGTGACAAAATTTTTGATTCAAGCCATTGACTAATTTTGTCCTCCATTAAGTACTTTGAAAATAATGTCATTAATTTGCAAAATTCTGACTTCTGTCCTGTTTTTTGTCCTTTTTAGCTGTCTATTGTGAGTATTACAATTCTCATAAAAACACAGGAAGTGGAGGTGCTTTATCCTATGCCTACAACAATGACAACTGCACCTGGCATTACAGGCCCTGTAATTGTCCAAACCAAAACTACAAATATGTCAACATTGAAGGTAATTGAAGCTATGCTATTTCAAACCACAAAGCAGTAAGATAATTATTTTCAGTCATGCCATGGTTAAATAGTCGTGTTCTAATTGGTGTTGTCTTTAAAGCAGTTTTGCTGATCTTTACCTTACTACTACTGCTTTAGATGCATAATCAGTGTAATTGCCTGTACTATACCTAATTTTGTATTGACCTCGGATTAGCTTGAAGAGATATCCTCTGACATGCACCAAATTAAAAGAATTTTCTCTATTTATGTAAGAAATATATGTATTATCTGAGTATTATTTCTATTAGACAAATAGATATAGTTGGAGTAAGAAAAAAAATACTACATATACCGATCCTTCTGAGGATTATGTTGGAGGTGGTTGCCTAAATATATTAAGTTGCAATCAATACAATTTCTTCATAAAAGAAAGATTATTTAGATTATACACATAATATAGTCTACATGCAGTTCTCTGAAGAAGGTAACACAAGTTTCTCCTTTCTTCAGGCTGTTACAACTGCTCTCATGATGAATATTTTGACTATGAGACGGAAAAATGCATGCCATGTGGTAAGTAGGGACCTACATACTCATTGTCTTTTTGTACAGTAACTAAAACCTTGGTGTGTTCTCAAAGAAGTATTTTTCCTAGTACCTCTCAATTAACAGTGAGTATTCATCCTAGTATAACTCTTCTTCAAAAGAATCTTATTAGTGTACTGCTAATATGTAAAACTTTGGTTGATAAATAATGTAATGAAAATAACTAATTAAAATATGGATTAGGGTAAGGAATGCTACAATAGAGAAGCTGTATGACCCTGACTGATTTTAATCAGGAAGGTGAAAAATTCTATTAATTGTGTGAGTACTTCTCAAAATATGGGTGTTCCTGAAAGTTCATTGATGTTTTAATCTATATGAAGTAAAGATGAAAGTATAGGTCCCAGATACATTCAACGCCTTTCTTAAACAAAGAAAACATGTAGAAAGAAATCAGACCTAGCTAGTGGACTTCGCATAGCAATTCTCTTTAAATTGTTTGTTTTTGTTTGTATGTTTGTTTTAATTATTTTAACTTAAGATTTATTACCGTATGGTGTGCTACTCTGAAAACTTGTCTTACTAAATAATGTTGTGAATAGACTCCATCTGCACAGTTTGGATTTCCATGCAGATTTAAAAAATGACCTCAAGGACATTTTTTTTTTTCGTTTTATGGAATTATAGCCTGTGAAACTGGAATCTCAGCTGGTGATCTCATTTACACATAAAAAAAAATAAATAAATTCAGAGAGTGCCCTTATCCATAAAAGACATAAGAAAGGCAGCAAAAATATGCTCGTGTATTATTATTGTGAGGTGTATTAACTTTTTCATCATTGTTTAAGCCCCCCACTGAAGTAAGTAGTAGCGAACATTTTCAGGATGATTTCACTAAGTAACACAATCCTTGGAAAGATCTTTATTTTTCTCCCAATCTGAAATTAGCCTTATTTGGAATATTTTTAATATGTTTCCACTCACAAATTTAACCTGTTCTACCTTTATCCAACAGGATATGAAAGCATTAGTACTACACCTGAAACTTCACCTTTGACAGGTTAGTTAAGCAGTTGGCTAAAACAAGTACTTACACAGTGATGTACGTTGTTATATGTGTTTCTGAGATAACTAGTATCCTTTTTTGCTTGATATGATGACATCACCAGTTTCACATGCTTAAGATGCAATAATGAAAAACTACTCACTATTGTAATTATCACATTTTATTCTAACATGTGTTAGAAATCTTAAATTGGGAAAGGAAATTATTGAGAGAACAGTGTTCCCTGAGTACACTTAGGCACTTCCAGATATCAACAGTGAAATACCTCTCTAAGTCAAAAACAATTTCTGTTTTGTTTCTGATACACAGAAATCACACCAAAAAATCACCATAATTTTTAATGGTGACTGACCTTATAACACTGGGTCAGTTTAAGAAGGTCTTCATGGAAACTCATGTGTACCAAGCCCGAACAGCCTGATCCACAAAAGAAATCTGTATATACTGATCTTTGATTTGTTAGAAATTACAGTAATTTCCATGAAGATGAAAAGTATTGGGAAAAAGTTATGCTGATGGCTGTCTGAATAAGCTTCTGCAAAAATTCCTGTTCAATATATATACTGCAGATAATTGCAAAGGAATAGATAGAAAGCTTTTCCCAAATATTTCATTTAAAATTAAGGTAGTAGCTATTAATAATTGTTACTACAAGTAGTTGTTTAGTTTTTTTACTTGAAAAAAATAAATTTATATAGGCATATTTATAATAGATTATTAAGAACTATTTATTATCCTCTGATTTTGATTTTTCTCTTAGTAACAACAGTGCAGCCTAACATAACAAGAAGCTCTACAGCAGTCACATCACCCGCAACTCTGCTACCAACATCACCTGCTATTACCTCTTCTGCATCTACTGTATCAACTGAGACCATGAGTCCAACAATAACCTCAAAAATCACCATTCCAAGAACTTCATCAGCAACACCTCTTGTCACAATAAAGTCAACAACTGGTAGGTTGTTAGCGTTACTGTCTAAAATAAATTACACCAAACCCATTCTATACATAGTTTAGACATCACTCTACTAAGAAGCTGCTAGGTATTGCAAGCTGTCTCAACGTCCAAGCATAAGGCTGCAAATTATGAGGTAGGCAAAGCAGGCTTCGAGAAAGGAGTTTGCAAACCAGAAATGTTCAGAAGCGTAGATGGAAAGTGCCTGGAAAGAGAAAGGATATAGATAATAGTTAAAAATGCAACCAAAATAACTTACATGTGAATCATCAGAGAAGCACATTAGAAGTTCTATAAGCAGTGAGCCACCTCAACTCCAGTTGGATTTATTAGCTTAGTTTCAGCCTGTTCAGCCCGTTCTACAGTTAGTTCAGTTATGAGGAAACTAATAATAGGATACAACTTACCACAGACATGCAGTTCAACTAAAAATCTATCCTGGACCCAGGCTATCAGAGAAAGTGGAAATAAAAAGAGTTACCACAGGAGTTAAAACAAAACTTCAAGGGCTGCCATTGTGCCAGGTGACTTGAGCACCGGGACAAGTGAAGTCCTATGATATGATGTTATCTGATTTTGTAATACAAATTGAGAAGCTGAAACTGTGGCCAATTCAGAACATAATTTCATTGGCTAATCTTGTCATTAGCTAAGTCATACAGACTGTAGCTAATAAGTCATCAAAGCTAACTTCTTAGAAAAATTATATGAAAAATAATCTAGCACAGGAAAAACACACAAAATGAGATCAAAGAAATATCTGAGATGAGAAAACAAATACAAGTGGAAAATGTATGGCAAGATTATGAGAACACAAATACAAACAATTACACACAAAGCATTGAAAAGAGCAAGAGCAAAATTTGGGTTTCTGGAATACGGGTTTAAGCAAATTGATTACTCACATTATATTCTTTACTTTTACTCCAAAAGAACATACAACATTGGTTTTTACTACGCCAAGTATGACCACAACTGTCACTACACCCTCCATAACTACCTCAACAAGAAGGACCACATCCAGTAAGCCGATATCTACACCTACTGCCTCACCAACCACTGCTTCAACAGAGACAGAAAAAGTAAGGGTCACTACACCACTCTTCGAGACCCCTACAAAAAAGGAAATGACAACCACCTCTATATCTTCTCATACTACATCTCAGATTGCAACCTCCAGCCAGCCTGAACTAACAACAGTAGGTAAATACTGATTGATATCTGTCATGTGAAACCGTCACTCAAAAAACATGTTAATGGATTCCTTGTAATAAAAACAGGCATTCTTACTAGATGTCTTTAACATGGCAAGTAGGAAAGGGAATGGGTGTCTGAAGGAGTGTGACAAAAATAGATATTATGGTGTCCCTCAATGGAACAAGCATCAGACATCCAATAAGATCTTTAAACCTAACATTTCTCTTGGAAACCATATTCTACCAATTCCTCCAAATTAAGGCAAAATCACTTTGTGCTTCAAAGTGAGTTTTGAAAACCTTACAGATGGTGGAATGTGTGTTCCCCCATGCCACTGTAACAACGTCTCTGAAAATCATAAATCCTATCTATCACAAAAGGACTTACGCTTTGGGTTGTCAGGTACTCTGTAGGTCAACAAGCGCAGCCTCCTCTGATGCTGTATTCTGACACCAGAAGCTGGGACAGTGTGCAGGGAGAAGTCAGTTGTAGTGGGAGGGCGGGCACACACTCTCTCCCAGTCCACACATCTCCCATCCTTACTGTTGGGGTGCATACATCCAGGTCTTCCTGTGCCAACAATTACAGCTTAGTCTGAGGAAGCATCGCAACCCACTTTAACTAGGCACCTTCTCAGACATCAACCATTACTAAACGTCCACTTACCGTTACTTTACAGAGAGTGAGGGAACTGAAGCAACCACTCTACACCACCGAGTCTCAGTAGGTGAGTAAGAAGAACCTGAGAGCTGCCATTAGCCTACAACTCTTTCACTTACCCAGCTTTCCCATGGGATGCCCATGCCTAGCCCGGAGTGCCTTCAAGGGAGACACACACATCTGGAGAGGCTCTTCATCTTCCCTCATGAGGTCCAGAAAGAGGCAGAGGGTGCTGAATTGGCTCGGTTCTTGCCCTGCATTCATAGGGAGAAGCAGAAAGGGAAAAGTGAGGGCCAGAGCCACTGGGCCATCCCTCCCTCTTGCCCAGCAGGAGGCATCTGTGCCTTTCTTGTCCCAGTGCAAGCCCATGGCTTCTGGCACGGAACTGCCCACCTCTGTCACCTTCCCCTCTTGCTCCACCACCCTCAATTGACTTGTGCTTTCCTCCCGGTAGCTGTCACCCACAAAAGGCCAACTGTGCCACACAGTGTGCCACAATTCATCACGCAGAAGACCACACCTGTGACATTGGCCAGCAGTACCTCCCAGACCTCTGTTTCCAGAGAAGCCAGCCCTGCCAGCAGTCCAGAAGTCCCACTGACAAAGACGTCTCCGAGCCCCAGCTCTTTACCTGTCACCTCAACCTCATCTGTTTCTTCCTCCTCATCTGCCCTGCCCTCAACACGGCTGAGACCATCACATCCCGGTAAGGCCCCTCTTGCTCTTCCTGCTGCTGCTGCCTGCTCCTTTCAGCTCCCACCCTTCTCTTCGAACTGGCGTTTTCTGCACAGGTTTCACTTTTAGTATTAATTTCCTCTTCCTACTGCCCTTGCCATGGTACTCCTGCAACTCAGGCACGTCCTGGGACTGGCAGTCACACTGGCCATCCTTCTCCGCTGCTGCTTCAGGGGTTTGGCTCTGGGGCACAGGACTTCATCAGGGTACAGACCTCTGTGAGTTCCAGCCCTGCAACTAGTAATTGGAAACTAGTTAACACAACTCCTCCCCTTGCAGTGGTACCCTGAGAATGCGCAGCAGTGGGGAGAGAAGGCAGTGGAGAGTGGAAGATTACAACTCTGGGAAAATTTGGGGCGAGAGACCGAAAACAAGGATGCTCTCCACCGAAAGGAAGCCTAGGCCCCGACACACCCATGATAAAGATGGGCCAATAAATGCCAACTCCTTGTACCATACATAAAGACAGATGTTGACCCTGGGTGCAAAATTATCACCAGTGGAGGGTGGGCAAGAAGGTGCACACTCAAACTCCAGGGTACACTTCTCCCACTTAGACCTATGGGGCTACAAATGCCCAAGTCTACCTGGTGTCAAACAGGATACCTTCTTTGAGGAGATCCCACAAAATGCTTTGCCTAGGATCCTTTCCAAGACTCAACCATTGTTTTCTCTCATCCCTTTCTTTGTAGCAAGGGAGCCAACCAGAGCTAAGACTCCAACTAGTAAAGTAGTAACAGGTGAGTGCTCTGGTCAGGAGAGAGTAAAGAGTCACCCAGGGCATATGCCTGTCCCATCAATAGCATCAACTCTCCCAAGAAACCGTCCCAGCATGTTCTGAAACAGACACATGATAAACTACTTCTAAACATGTGGAAAAATGAAAGTAGAGATACTTCTTCCCTTCTAAAGAATTAAGGAAAGAGCAGAAAGATGAACTGATGGAGGGCATCCTAATAAATCATGACTACCTGGCCATGCTGGGGGGTAGTGGGATGAGACGGGACATGCTGGGAATCATAGATCTCTTTGTTATATTCTATAGAAAAAAGAGTCACTGAGGTGTGGTACTGCACGTATTATCCTTACCCCCAGGAGGAGATATTTACGTTAGAATTGCCCATTTCACTTCCCTTCAGCTCTTGCTCTAAAAATACCAACTGACTGGCAATTTCCACCTGACAGCCTCCAAAACTACATTGCCACCAGTGAGCACGGAGAAGACCACCCCGGCCACGTCTGCCAGCAGCACCTCCAGGACGTCCGTGCCCAGCGAGGCCAGCCCCGCCAGCAGCCCAGCAGTGCCAGTGGCCAGGACGTCGCCTGCCCCCAGCAGCCCTCTCAGCACCAGGCTGCCATCTGCCGCCCCTTCCACAGCCTCCTCCCCGTCGCCCCCAAGCTCCCGGCTCAGGCCCACGCCTACGACCCTGAGGCCCAAGCCCTCTCCCCCGAGGACCAGTGCTCCCACAGAGTCGCCTGCGTCCTCCGCACCCTCCACAGCCAAAACCAGCCCGCTGCCCTCATCTACGTCCTCCCCGCTCTCAACTGTGTCCTCAGCAGTGCCGAGCTCCTCACAGCCAGGTAAGGCTCCCTCCTGCCTTCCCTCTGCTCTGCTTGCCCTTTACTGGGATCACTCATGCCATTATTCTTTATATCCCTTTCCTCTCCCTTCACAACATTTATCACTCATCCTGATGTCAAATGGTGTGGAACAGCCACTGGCTCTGTCCCCTCCCAGCTCCCAGTGAATTTCCAGCCTCCTCACAGGCAGGGCAGCATCAGAAGTAGAGAAGTCCTTGACTATGTGTGAGCACTGCTCATCAACACCTCAACCCACAATGTTTTCTCAACATTATGCACATCTGAAATTGAAAACACCTCACTGTAGACAATACTGTGATGAAAATGGAGTGTATAACAGCTGAAAACCATGACAAAGACCTTCTCTGTTTCTCTGTCTGCTGTCCAGCTAGTGGGCTTTGGCTGGGCGAGAGGTAGGGAGGAGACAGAGCTGTCAGAGTTTACAGCAAGAGCCCAGCGAGCCATTCCTTACCGTACACCAAAACACTCAGCAAGACGATGAGGGTTGCAGGTTTCAGAACGAGCCGTTCCTCAGAGCCTGGTTGCGCCTGGGTGTGCTGGTGAAAGATGGGGAGTGAGGGGAGTGATTGCCTTTGCTTGACTTGGGGGTTGGTTTCTGTTTCTTGTTTTTCCTTCCCTTCTTGCATTGTCTGTGTTTTGACACTTGAGTTTCTCCTCTCTTTTGCCTTTCCAGTTGTCGGCTCCTCTCTTTCTGAAGGGGGATTGATAGAGAATGAGTGGGGCTTAGCACGCAGTTAGGATCAAATCATGAGAGTATGACCTTCAGTATAGCTTCTATTCCAGGCAGGAGCAGAGAGTGCTGAGCTGCTGGAGGGCAGCCTCGGGGCGCTGTCACCCTCTGCCACCTTCAGTCCCCCTGTGCTTTCCTCCCGACAGCTTCCACCCCCAAAGAGACAACGGTGCCTCACATCGTGCCGCCCGTGAGCACGGAGAAGACCACCCCGGCCACGTCTGCCAGCAGCACCTCCAGGACGTCCGTGCCCAGCGAGGCCAGCCCCGCCAGCAGCCCAGCAGTGCCAGTGGCCAGGACATCGCCAGCCCACAGCAGCCCTCTCAGCACCAGGCTGCCATCTGCCGCCCCTTCCACAGCCTCCTCCCCGTCGCCCCCAAGCTCCCGGCTCAGGCCCACGCCTACGACCCTGAGGCCCAAGCCCTCTCCCCCGAGGACCAGTGCTCCCACAGAGTCGCCTGCGTCCTCCACACCCTCCACAGCCAAAACCAGCCCGCTGCCCTCATCTACATCCTTCCCGCTCTCAACTGTGTCCTCAGCAGCTCCGAGCTCCTCACAGCCAGGTAAGGCTCCCTCCTGCCTTCCCTCTGCTCTGCCCACCCTTGCCAGTTCTCACTTTATTTTGTACAGGGTAGTGCAAAGCCCTTGACAGCCATTCTCTCTGCCTGCCTCTTTTGGCATTTTCTCTCTGTGACCTGTGTCCCCTTTTTGAAGTTCTTTATTCCAACTTCCGTTGCTCAGCTTGATATCAAATGGTATGGAATAGCCCGTGTGAATTTTGGCCACCTGGAGAATAAGGATTACAGAATCCTTGAATCCTAGAATTATTCAGGTTGGAAAATATTTCAAAGATCACCAACTTCAGCCTTTAACCTGGTACTGACAAGTCCACCACTAAACCATGCTACTGCCTTCTGCATCTACACGTCTGGATGACTACCCAGGACAGTGACTGCACCTCCTCCCTGGGTATCCTGTTCCACCGCCAAATAACTCTTTCCATAAAGAAATGTCTCTTAATAGCCAACCATAACCTCTCCCAGAAAACACTGTGGCCATTTACCCTCATCTTATCACATGCTGCTTGGGAGAAGAGCTTGATCCATACCTCCATACAACCTCCTTTAAGGTCATTGACCTTAGAAAGAACTGGCCCCAGCACTGAGCCGTGTTTGACACCACTTGTGACCAGCCACCAACTGGATTTACCTCCGTTACTCTTTGGGCTCAACACTTTTAGTCCATCGAAGCATAAACCCATCCAGGCCTTGGGATGCCAGATTCTTCAGGAGAAGGCTGTGGGAAACAGTATCAAAAGCCTTCCTGAAGCATAGGTAGACCACATCCCTCATCCACTGAGCACCTCAACTTGTAGAATGAGATCAGGTTCATCAAGTGGGACCTGCCTTTGATAAACCTATGGTGGTTAGGCCTGATCACCTGGGTATCCTGCAAGTGCAGGGTGATGGCACTGCAGATAATCTGCAGAGGGTGCTGAGTTGCTGGAGGGCAGCCTTGGGGCGCTGTCACCCTCTGCCACCCTCACTCCCCCTGTGCTTTCCTTCCGGCAGCCTCCACCCCCAAAGAGACAACGGTGCCTCACATCGTGCCGCCCGTGAGCACGGAGAAGACCACCCCGGCCACGTCTGCCAGCAGCACCTCCAGGACGTCTGTGCCCAGCGAGGCCAGCCCCGCCAGCAGCCCAGCAGTGCCAGTGGCCAGGACGTCGCCTGCCCCCAGCAGCCCTCTCAGCACCAGGCTGCCATCTGCCGCCCCTTCCACAGCCTCCTCCCCATCGCCCCCAAGCTCCCAGCTCAGGCCCACACCTACGACCCTGAGGCCCAAGCCCTCTCCCCCGAGGACCAGTGCTCCCACAGAGTCGCCTGCGTCCTCCGCACCCTCCACAGCCAAAACCAGCCCGCTGCCCTCATCTGCGTCCTCCCCGCTCTCAACTGTGTCCTCAGCAGTGCCGAGCTCCTCACAGCCAGGTAAGGCTCCCTGCTGCCATCCCTCTTCTCTGCCTGCCCTTCACTGTGAACACAACTGCCATTATTCTTTCTACCCCTCTTTCCTCCCTGTTCATCCCAACATTTAACTCTCATCCTGATGTCAAATGGTGTGGAGCAGCCCTTGAGTGAGTTTGGGCCCCCTGTGCTGGCTGTGTTCCCTCCCAGCTCCTTGTGCACCCCAGGCTCCTCACTGGCAGGGCAGCATCAGAAGCAGAGAAGTCCTTGACTCGGTGTGAGCACTGCTCAGCAGCAGCTGAAATTACAGCGTTTTCACAACAGAATGCCCATGCTAACTCAGAAACACTTCGCCACAGAAGCTACGTGATGAAAATGAACTGTATCACAGCTGACGACGACAGTGGCCCTCTATCTGGTGTCCATCAAGTGGGCTCAGGGTGGGCAGGAGGTAGGGAGGGGACAGAGCTGGCAGAGCTTACAGCAAGAGCCCAGCGAGCCATTCCTTACCGTACACCAAAACGCTCAGCAAGAAGATGAGGGTTGCACGTTTCAGAACGAGCCATTCTTCAGAGCCTGGCTGGACCTGGGTGTACTGGTGGGATGTGGAAGCGATTGCCTTTGCTTCACTTCAGCATTGGTTTCTTTTCCTTGTCTTTTTCTTCAGTTCCTGAACCATCTGTGTTTTGATGCATGAATTCTTCCTCCATCTTGCTTTTCTGGTTGTCAGCCCCTTTCCTCCTGAAGGGGAGTGAACGAGAGCGTGAGTGGGGCTTAGCCGGCTCATGGGATGAAATCATGATAGCGTGGCATTGTGGTTTAACCCAGCCTGCAACCATGCACCACACAGCCATTCAGTCACTCTCCACTCCGTCTCTGGGATGGGAGAGGGAGTCAGAAAGAAATGATGCCTGTGGGATGAGATAAAGAAATTTTATTACGACAGAAAAGAAAGGAAAAGTGATAATAATGATAACTACTACTAACACTACTGTGTACTAAACAAGTGATGCAAAATGCAACTGCTGACTACCTGCTGAACGATGCGCAGCCTAATCCCAAGCAACTGGTTCCCCCACCCCAGCCAGTCACCCCATATAACTGTTCAGCATGGCATCAGACAGGATGGAATACCCCTTTGGCCACTTTGGGGTCAGCGGTCCTGGGTCTGTCCCCTCCCAGCTCCTACTGCACCCCCAGCCTGCCCATGACCAGGACAGTGTGAGAAGCTGAAAAGTCCTTGGCTTATTGGAAGCACTGCCCTGCAACAATTAAAATATCAGTGTGTTATCAACACTATTCTCATCCTAAATCCCAAACACAGCACCATACCAGCTACCAGGAAAATTAACTCTGTCCTAGCTGAAACTAAAACATATCGCTGTCATTTTGGCTCCTCTTCCAGGCAGAAGCAGAGAGTGCTGAGCAGCTGGAGGGCAGCCCTGGGGCCCTGTCCTTGTGCCACCTTTGTGGGAAGAAGCAGGACGGGGAGGGGAAGGGCAGCAGCCACTGGCCCATTCCTCCCCCTGCCCGGCGCGACTCAGGGCTGCACACCCCTACCTTCCTTGCCTTTGGGGCTGTCCTGGGGCACCTGCCCAGAACAAGCGCTCCTCCTCTGCCTGCCCCTCCTGCCCTGCCACCCTCATTCCCCCTGTGCTTTCCTCCCGGCAGCCTCCACCCCCAAAGAGACAACGGTGCCTCACATCGTGCCGCCCGTGAGCACGGAGAAGACCACCCCGGCCACGTCTGCCAGCAGCACCTCCAGGACGTCCGTGCCCAGCGAGGCCAGCCCCGCCAGCAGCCCAGCAGTGCCAGTGGCCAGGACGTCGCCTGCCCCCAGCAGCCCTCTCAGCACCAGGCTGCCATCTGCCGCCCCTTCCACAGCCTCCTCCCCATCGCCCCCAAGCTCCCGGCTCAGGCCCACGCCTACGACCCTGAGGCCCAAGCCCTCTCCCCCGAGGACCAGTGCTCCCACAGAGTCGCCTGCGTCCTCCGCACCCTCCACAGCCAAAACCAGCCCGCTGCCCTCATCTACGTCCTCCCCACTCTCAACTGTGTCCTCAGCAGTGACGAGCTCCTCACAGCCAGGTAAGACTCCCTCCTGCCTTCCCTCTGCTCTGCTTGCTCTTTGTAGGGAACACAAATGCCATTATTCTTTCTGTTCCTCTTTCGTCCCTCTTCATCCCAACATTTATCTCTCATCCTGATATCAAATGGTGTGGAACAGCCCCTGGGTGAGTTTGGGCCCCTGTGTTCCCTGGCATGCCTGAGAAAAGGGCACCGGGGGATACCCCCCAGAGGGTGGTGGATCTTCAGCTCTGTTGCTGTCAGGCAGAGGTAGGGGTCCAAAACGAGAAAGAGGGGTAGAAGCAAGAGCAAGTCCCAGTTCAGCATCATGGGCAACCCCTCTCACTATCTACCTTGCTTTTCCAGGTGTCCCTCTGTAATAGGTTTGATGCCCTGGATCTTGAGGGATAGGTAGGCAACGATGTTGTGGAAGGCCCACCTACGAAGTTATGTAGGAGAGGCAGTTGGCATCACTCCTCATGACTGCCTCCAAAAAGAAAGAAAGAAGGGTAATTGGAGCAGGAGATTCCTTCTGAGAGGAACAGAGGGCCCGACATGCAGAGTTGACCCTCATCAAAGGGAAGTCTGCAATCTACCTGGAGCTTGGTCAGGGATATCACCAGGATGCTTCCCAACCTGGTGTGCTCAACATGCTATTACCCACTGCTGATCTTCCAGATGGGAAGCTGCCTCCTCTAGTCTGTGGGGAATGAAGAAGGATTGCAAGGCCTTGGGACGGTTTGTGAAAGAGCCTGGGGCACAAGTCCTTTTCCTCTTCCCTCCTTCCATTCTGGGGTGTTGACATGGGATGGAATAGAAGGATCCAGTCCATAAATGATTGGCTATGTGACTGGTGCTATGGGCAGGGCTTTGGGTTCTTTGATAATGGGTGGTTTTATAAGACTCCAGGCCTGAAAGTAATATGCAGGAAAGGTTTATCTCACAGGGGCAAAAGGGTTTTGGGATAGGAATCAGCAGGGCTCATTTGGAGAGCTTTAAACTAGATCTGAAGGGGGAGGGGGTTGTAGCTGGGCTTGCAGCGCCCTAGCAGTGATGAAGACTGTGAGACCTCCCACCCCCCTAGGGTGAAATCGGCGTGCTCAGCTCACTCCCTGAAGTGCCTGTACACCAATGCATGGAGCATGGGGAATAAGTAGGAGGAGGTAGAAATGCATGTTCAGTCAGGAGATTATGATCTGGTGGCGATTACAGAGACGTGGTGGGACAGCTCACGTGACTGGAATGTGGCCATGGATGGGTATGTCCTGCTCAGGAAAAACAGGCTGGCAAGGCGAGGTGGCAGAATTGCTCTTTACATGAGAGAGCAACTGAAATGTACTGAGTACTGTCCGGGGTGGATGAGGAGTGAGTTGAGAGTCTGTGGATGGCAATTAAGGGGCAGGCTGGCATGGGGAATACTGTTGGGGGTGTCTATTACAGGCCACCAGATCCAGATGGGGAAGATGGCGAGGCCTTTTACAGGCAGCTGGTAGCATCCTCATGAGCACAGGCCCTGGTTATTGTGGGGGATTTTAACTACCCTGACATTTGCTGGAAGGCCTACTCAGCCAGCCATCTGCAGTCCAGGAGGTTCCTTCAGTGTACTGAGGGTAACTTCCTGATGCAAATAGTGGATGTGCCAACGAGGAGAGGAGCACTGCTGGATCTTGTCCTCACGAACAAGATAGGGCTGGTTGAAGCAGGGAAGGTTGAAGGCAGCCTTGGTTGCAGCAGCCATGAGATGGTGGAGTTTAGGATCTCATGTGGCAGGAACAGGGTACCGAGCAGAATCACAACTGTGGACTTCAGTAGGGCTGACTTCGGCCTTTTCCAGCATTTGCTAGGGGAAATTCCATGGGATAAGGTACTTGAAGGAAAAGGGGAGCAAGACAGTTGGTTAGTGTTCAAGGACTGCTGCTTCCAAGCTCAAGATCAGAGCATCCCAACAAGTAGGAAGTCAGGGAAGAGAGCCAGGAAACCTGCATGGTTAAACAGGGAACTGCTGGGCAGACTCAAGTGGAATAGGAGAGTCTACAGGTCATGGAAGGAGGGGTTGGCCTCTTGGGAGGAATAAGGCTGTTAGAGGATATAGGGAGGTAACTAGGAAAACTAAGGCCTCCTTAGAATTAAACCCTGCGAGAGGAGTCAAGGACAACAGAAGGGGCTTCTTAAATACATTGCAGATAAAACTAACTCTAGAGGCAATGTAGGCCCACTAATGAATGAGGTGGGTGCCCTGGTGACAGAAGATAAAGAGAAAACAAGTTATGGAATGCCTCATTTGTCTCTGTCCATATGCCAGAGACTCTCCCGAGGAGCCCTGTACCCCTGAGGCCCCAGAGGAAGTTGAAATAAAGGAGTTTGCCTGGGCTCATGACAGCTGTGTTAAGGACTGATTAAGCAAGCCGGACATCCATACATCTATGGGTCCTGATGGGCTACACCCACAGGTGCAGACAGAGAAGGCAGAACTCATTGCTAGTCCTCTGGAGTTCTCATACACCCAAGTCCCTCCTGGAATGGGGGCCCCAGAGATGAACAAACAAATTTCTCTACCCCTCAGTAAGTAGGGTAAAGGTGGGCAAGAGGTAGGGAGGGGACAGAGCTGGCAGAGCGTACAAGAGCCCAGCGAGCCATTCCTTACCGTACACCAAAACGCTCAGCAAGACGATGAGGGTTGCACGTTTCAGAATGAGCCGTTCCTAAGAGCCTGGCTGGGCCTGGGTGTCCTGTTGGGAGGTGGGCAGTGATTGCCTTTGCTTCACTTGGGGGTTTCTTTTTCTTGTTTTTCCTTCATTTCTTGCACCGTACAAGCTCTGACGCATTCATTTTTCCTCTCTCTTGCCTTACTGGTACGTGGCCCTCTTCCTTCTGTGGGGAAGTGAGAGAGAGATTGAGTGGGGCTCAGCCACCAGCCAGGGTGAACTCACCATGGATAGCCTTCTCCTTGGCCCTGACGGCTTCCTCTCCCCTTGAGGTTCTGGGGGCATTGCGCTGCAGCACAGGTCTCTCTCTCGGAGCACACAGTCCTGGCTTCCAGCAGGCAGCTGATATCCCATGCCATTGTCCTGGGTCTGAGTGACACACATGGAGATGCTCCTCTTCCAGAGAGATGGAGAGGGTGCTGAGCTGCTGGAGGGCAGCCCTGGGGCGCTGTCACCCTCTGCCACCCTCAGTCCCCCTGTGCTTTCCTCCCGGCAGCCTCCACCCCCAAAGAGACAACGGTGCCTCACATCGTGCCGCCCGTGAGCACGGAGAAGACCACCCCGGCCACGTCTGCCAGCAGCACCTCCAGGACGTCCGTGCCCAGCGAGGCCAGCCCCGCCAGCAGCCCAGCAGTGCCAGTGGCCAGGACGTCGCCTGCCCCCAGCAGCCCTCTCAGCACCAGGCTGCCATCTGCCGCCCCTTCCACAGCCTCCTCCCCGTCGCCCCCAAGCTCCCGGCTCAGGCCCACGCCTACGACCCTGAGGCCCAAGCCCTCTCCCCCGAGGACCAGTGCTCCCACAGAGTCGCCTGCGTCCTCCGCACCCTCCACAGCCAAAACCAGCCCGCTGCCCTCATCTACGTCCTCCCCTCTCTCAACTGTGTCCTCAGCAGTGCCGAGCTCCTCACAGCCAGGTAAGGCTCCCTCCTGCCTTCCCTCTGCTCTGCCCACCCTTGCCAAGTTCTCACTTTATTTTGTACAGGGAAATGCAAACCCCTTGACAGCCATTCTCTCTGCCTGCCTCTTTTGGCATTTTCTCTCTGTGACCTGTGTCCCCTTTTTGAAGTTCTTTATTCCAACTTCCGTTGCTCAGCTTGATATCAAATGGTATGGAATAGCCCGTGTGAATTTTGGCCACCTGGAGAATAAGGATTACAGAATCCTTGAATCCTAGAATTATTCAGGTTGGAAAATATTTCAAAGATCACCAACTTCAGCCTTTAACCTGGTACTGACAAGTCCACCACTAAACCATGCTACTGCCTTCTGCATCTACACGTCTGGATGACTACCCAGGATAGTGACTGCACCTCTTCCCTGGGTATCCTGTTCCACCGCCAAATAACTCTTTCCATAAAGAAATGTCTCTTAATAGCCAACCATAACCTCTCCCAGAAAACACTGCGGCCATTTACCCTCGTCTTATCACATGCTGCTTGGGAGAAGAGCTTGATCCATACCTCCATACAACCTCCTTTAAGGTCATTGTAGAGTTCTATGAGGTCTTCCCCTGAGCCACCTTTTCTTCAGGCTAAACATCCCCAGCTCCCTCAGCAGCTCCTCACAGGACCTGTTCTCCAGACCCTTCACCAGCTTTGTAGTCGTTCCCTGGACACTCTCCAGGGCCTCGATGTCCTTCTTGTAGTGAGGGCCCCAAAAGCAAACCCAATACTTGAGGTGCAGCCTCACCGGAGCCGAGTACAGAGGGACAATCACTTCCCTAGCCCTGCTGGCCACGCTGTTTCTGACCCAAGCCAGGATGCCATTGGCCTTCTTGACCACCTGAGCCCACCGCTGGCTCCCATTCAGCCAGCTGTTGAATAATCCCCCGGGTCCCTTCCCACCAACAGCTTTCCAGCCACTCTGCCCCCAGCTGGTAGTGCTGCTTGGGGTTGTTGTGCCCCAAGTGCAGGACCTGGCCCTTGCCCTCATTGAACTTCATCCCGTTGGCCTTGGCCCATTGGCCCTGCTTGTCCAGATCCCTCTAGATCCCTCCTGCTCTCGAGCAGATCAACACTTGCACCTAACTTGGTGTCATCTGCAACCTGAGGGTGCACTCCATCCCCTCATCCAGATCATTGACCTTAGAAAGAACTGGCCCCAGCGCTGAGCCGTGTTTGACACCACTTGTGACCAGCCACCGACTGGATTTACCTCCGTTACTCTTTGGGCCCAACTCTTTTAGTTCACCAAAGCATATACCCATCCAGGCCTTGGGATGCCAGATTCTTCAGGAGAAGGCTGTGGGAAACAGTATCAAAAGCCTTCCTGAAGCATAGGTAGACCACATCCCTCATCCACTGAGCACCTCAACTTGTAGAATGAGATCAGGTTCATCAAGTGGGACCTGCCTTTGATAAACCTATGCTGGTTGGGCCTGATCACCTGGGTATCCTGCAAGTGCAGGGTGACGGCACTGCAGATAATCTGCTCCACGAGCTCCCCAACACCAAGGTCACTCTGATGGGCCTGTAGTTCCCCGGGTCCTCCTTCCAGCCCTTCTTGGAGCTGAGTGTCACATTTGCTAGCTGCCAATCAATGGGATGTCCCTGGTAGCCGGGAGTGCTGGTAACCGATGGAAAGTGGCTTGAGGAGCACTTCTGCCAGGACCCTCAGTACCCTTGGGGGGATCCCATCTGGCCCCAGGGAGACGCAGAGGGTGCTGAGCTGCTGGAGGGCAGCCCTGGGGCACTCTCTGCCACCCTCAGTCCCCCTGTGCTTTCCTCCCGGCAGCCTCCACCCCCAAAGAGACAACGGTGCCTCACATCGTGCCGCCCGTGAGCACGGAGAAGACCACCCCGGCCACGTCTGCCAGCAGCACCTCCAGGACGTCCGTGCCCAGCGAGGCCAGCCCCGCCAGCAGCCCAGCAGTGCCAGTGGCCAGGACGTCGCCTGCCCCCAGCAGCCCTCTCAGCACCAGGCTGCCATCTGCCGCCCCTTCCACAGCCTCCTCCCCGTCGCCCCCAAGCTCCCGGCTCAGGCCCACGCCTACGACCCTGAGGCCCAAGCCCTCTCCCCCGAGGACCAGTGCTCCCACAGAGTCGCCTGCGTCCTCCGCACCCTCCACAGCCAAAACCAGCCCGCTGCCCTCATCTGCGTCCTCCCCGCTCTCAACTGTGTCCTCAGCAGTGACGAGCTCCTCACAGCCAGGTAAGGCTCCCTGCTGCCTTCCCTCTGCTCTGCTTGCTCTTTGTAGGGAACACAAATGCCCTTATTCTTTCTGTTCCTCTTTCCTCCCTGTTCATCCCAACATTTATCACTCATCCTGATGTCAAATGGTGTGGAACAGCCCCTGGGTGAGTTTGGGCCCCCTGTGCTGGCCGTGTTCCCTCTCAGCTCCTTGTGCATCCTAGGCTCCTCACAAGCAGGGCAGCATCAGAAGCAGAGAAGTCCTTGACTCGATGTGAGCACTGCTCAGCAGCAGAGAATCACAGAATTGCCTAGGTTGGCAGATCTCCATGGTCACCTTGTGCAACCTCTGACCTAACACTAGCAAGTCCTCCACTAAACCATATCATGAAGCTCTACATCTAAATGTCTTAAAGATCTCCAGGGATGGTGACTCCACCACTTCCCTGGGCAGCCCGTTCCAATGCCTCACAACCCTTTCAGTAAAGAAGTTCTTCCTAACATCCAACCTCAACCTCTCCTGGCTCATCTTTAGCCCATTCCCCCTCGTCCTGTCACCAGGTACATGGGAGAGTAGAGCACCCCCCACCTTGATACAGCCTCCTTTAAGGTACCTGTAGAGAGCAATAAGGTCGCCCCTTAGCCTCCTCTTCTCCAGGCTGAACAATCCCAGCTCCCTCAGCTGCTCCTCGTAAGACTTGTTCTCCAGGCCCCTCACCAGCTTTGTTGCCTTTCTCTGGACTTGCTTGAGCACCTCGATGTCCTTCTTGTAGCGAGGGCCCCAAAGCTGACCACAGAAATCAAAAACTCATCACCATAGAAGATACTGTGATGAAAATGGAGTGTATCAATGATGAAAACCATGACAAAGACCTTCTCTGTTTCTCTGTCTGCTGTCCAGCTAGTGGGCTCAGGGTGGGCAGCAGGTAGGGAGGGGAGAGAGGTGGCAGAGCTTACAGCAAGAGCCCAGCGAGCCATTCCTTACCGTACACCAAAACACTCAGCAAGACGATGAGGGTTGCAGGTTTCAGAATGAGCCATTCCTCAGAGCCTGGCGGGGCCTGGCTGTACTGGGGGAAGGCGGGGAGTGATTGCCTTTGCTTCACTTTGGGGTTTCTGTTTCTTGTTCTTCCTTCTGTTCTACTCTCAGTTTGTTGACTCTTGAATTCTTCCAGTCTTTTGCCTTTTCCATTCTCAGCCCCTTTCCTGCTGAGGGGGAGCAAACAAGAGTGAGCGAGGCTTAGCAGGCTCTTGGGATGAAGTACAGAAATCACTTCTGACCTTCATTTTAGCTTCATTTTCAGGGAGATGCAGAGGGTGCTGAGCTGCTGGAGGGCAGCCCTGGGGCCCTGTCCTTGTGCCACCTTTGTGGGAAGAAGCAGGACGGGGAGGGGAAGGGCAGCAGCCCCTGGCCTGTTCCTCTGTTTTGCCCAGCGCAACTCAGGGCTGCACACCCCTAACTTCCTTGCCTTTGGGGCTGTCCTGGGGCACCTGCCCAGAACAAGCGCTCCTCCTCTGCCTGCCCCTCCTGCCCTGCCACCCTCAGTCCCCCTGTGCTTTCCTCCCGGCAGCCTCCACCCCCAAAGAGACAACGGTGCCTCACATCGTGCCGCCCGTGAGCACGGAGAAGACCACCCCGGCCACGTCTGCCAGCAGCACCTCCAGGACCTCCGTGCCCAGCGAGGCCAGCCCCGCCAGCAGCCCAGCAGTGCCAGTGGCCAGGACGTCGCCTGCCCCCAGCAGCCCTCTCAGCACCAGGCTGCCATCTGCCGCCCCTTCCACAGCCTCCTCCCCGTCGCCCCCAAGCTCCCGGCTCAGGCCCACGCCTACGACCCTGAGGCCCAAGCCCTCTCCCGCGAGGACCAGTGCTCCCACAGAGTCGCCTGCGTCCTCCGCACCCTCCACAGCCAAAACCAGCCCGCTGCCCTCATCTGCGTCCTCCCCGCTCTCAACTGTGTCCTCAGCAGTGACAAGCTCCTCACAGCCAGGTAAGGCTCCCTGCTGCCTTCCCTCTGCTCTGCTTGCTCTTTGTAGGGAACACAAATGCCATTATTCTTCCTATCCCTCTTTCCTCCCCCTTCACCATAACATTTATCACTCATCCTGATGTCAAACTGTATGGAACAGCCCCTGGGGGAGTTTGGGCCCCCTGTGCTGGCTGTGTTCCCTGCAAGCTCCTTGTGCACCCTCAGGCTCCTCACAGGCAGGGCAGCATCAGAATCACAGAATCATTTAGGTTGGAGGAGACCTACAAATCATCTGGTCCAACCATCCCCCTAGCACCAGTGTCACCACTAAACCACATAACAAGCACCACATCCAACCTCTCCTCAAACACCCCCAGGGGCAGTGACTCCACTACCTCCCATGGCAGCTGGTTCCAGTGCCTGACTGCTCTTTTTGAGCAGCAATGTCTCCTCATTGCCAACCTGAACCTCCCCTGGTACGGCTTGAGGCCATTCTCTTTAGTCCTATCGCTAGTTACCTGTGAGCAGAGGCCGAACCCCAGCTCCCCACGCCTTCCTTTCAGGCAGCTGCAGAGAGCAATGAGGTCTCCCCTGAGCCTCCTCTTCTCCAGACCAAACACCCCCGGTTCCCTCAGCCGCTCCCCACAGGCCTTGTGCTCCAGGCCCTTCACCAGCTCCGTAGCCCTGCTCTGGACACGCTCCAGGGCCTCGATGTCCTTCTGGTAGTGAGGGGCCCAAAGCTGAACACAGCACTCGAGGTGCGGCCTCACCAGAGCAGAGCACAGGGGGACGATCACCTCCTGCTCCTACTGGCTGCACCATTCCTGACACAGCCAGGATGCCGCTGGCCTCTTGGCCACCTGGGCTCACTGCTGGCTCACGTTCAGGTGAACATCCATCAGCACCCCCAGATCCTTTTCCCCTGCACACCTTTGCAGCCACTCTGCCCCAAGCCTGCAGCGCTGCATGGGGCGGTTGTGGCCAAAGTGCAGGACCTGGCACTTGGCCATGTTGAACCTCATCCCAGTGGCCTCTGCCCATCAACAAATCCTGTCCAGGTCCCTCTGCGGGGCCTTCCTGCCCTCTGGCATTCAACACTGCCCCCCAGCTTGGTGTTGTCTGCAAGCCTACCGAGAGTGCACTCAATTCCCTCATCCAAGTCATCAGTAAGCATATTAAAGAGGCTTGCAGCAGGCAGATGATATCCCATACCATTGTCTTGGAACTGAGAGAAACAGACAGAGATGCTCTCCTTCCATGGGGATTCAGAGGCTGCTGAGCTGCTGGAGGGCAGCCCTGGGGCACTTTCTGCCACCCTCAGTCCCCCTGTGCTTTCCTCCCGGCAGCCTCCACCCCCAAAGAGACAACGGTGCCTCACATCGTGCCGCCCGTGAGCACGGAGAAGACCACCCCGGCCACGTCTGCCAGCAGCACCTCCAGGACGTCCGTGCCCAGCGAGGCCAGCCCCGCCAGCAGCCCAGCAGTGCCAGTGGCCAGGACGTCGCCTGCCCCCAGCAGCCCTCTCAGCACCAGGCTGCCATCTGCCGCCCCTTCCACAGCCTCCTCCCCGTCGCCCCCAAGCTCCCGGCTCAGGCCCACGCCTACGACCCTGAGGCCCAAGCCCTCTCCCGCGAGGACCAGTGCTCCCACAGAGTCGCCTGCGTCCTCCGCACCCTCCACAGCCAAAACCAGCCCGCTGCCCTCATCTACGTCCTCCCCGCTCTCAACTGTGTCCTCAGCAGTGCCGAGCCCCTCACAGCCAGGTAAGGCTCCCTGCTGCCTTCCCTCTGCTCTGCCTGCCCTTTACTGGGAACACAAATGCCATTATTCTTCCTATCCCTCTTTCCTCCCCCTTCATCCCAACATTTATCACTCATCCTGATGTCAAATGGTGTGGAACAGCCCCTGGGTGAGTTTGGGCCCCCTGTGCTGGCCGTGTTCCCTCCCAGCTCCTTGTGTACCCCCAGGCTCCTCACTGACAGGGCAGCATCAGAAGCAGAGAAGTCCTTGACTTGGTGTGAGCACTGGTCAGCAGCAGCTGAAATGTCAGTGTTTTCTCAACAGTATGCCCATCCAAAATTGAAAATGTATCACTGTAGACAACACTGTGATGGAATGTATCAACACTGAAAACCATGACAAAGACCTTCTCTGTTTCTCTGTCTGCTGTCCAGCAAGTGGGCTCGGGGTAGGCAAGAGGCAGGGAGGGGCCAGAGCTGGCAGAGCTTACAGCAAGAGCCCAGCGAGCCATTCCTTACCGTACACCAAGACGCTCAGCAAGACGATGAGGGTTGCAGGTTTCAGAATGAGCCATTCCTCAGAGCCTGGCTGGGTCTGGGTGTGCTGGTGGGAGGTGGGGAGTGATTGCCTTTGCTTCACTTGGGGGTTGGTTTCTTGTTTTTCTTCAGGTCTTGTACTGTGCATTTTTATACCTGAATGTTTTCTCTCTCTTACCCTTCCAGCTGCTTTCTAGTTCCTTCCTGAGGATGAACAAATGAGGGACTTAATGAGGCTTAATATCCAGCTGTAGCGAACTCACTATAGGCTGGCCTTCATTTTGGTTCTTCTTTCAGACAGGAGCAGAGGGTGCTGAGCTGCTGTAGGGCAGCCGTGGGACACTCTCCTTGCACCACCTTTGTGGGGAGAATCAAGATGGGGAGGGGAAGGGCAGCAGCCCCTGGCCTGTTCCTCTGTTTTGCCCAGCCCGACTCAGGGCTGCACACCCCTACCTTCCTTGCCTTTGGGGCTGTCCTGGGGCCTCTGCCCAGAACCAGTGCTTCTCCTCTGCCTGCCCCTCCTGCCCTGCCACCCTCAGTCCCCCTGTGCTTTCTTCCCGGCAGCCTCCACCCCCAAAGAGACAACGGTGCCTCACATCGTGCCACCCGTGAGCACGGAGAAGACCACCCCAGCCACGTCTGCCAGCAGCACCTCCAGGACCTCCGTGCCCAGCGAGGCCAGCCCCGCCAGCAGCCCAGCAGTGCCAGTGGCCAGGACGTCGCCTGCCCCCAGCAGCCCTCTCAGCACCAGGCTGCCATCTGCCGCCCCTTCCACAGCCTCCTCCCCGTTGCCCCCAACAAAGTCCATGCCTACAGCCTTCATTCCCACTTTGACCTCCTCTGAGAGTACCACTTATTCTTCCCCCTCACCAAACACCACAGTTTCTTTTACTCCACGTGGTGAAACATTTTCAGTAGCACTTCCAACTGCTGTCTCTTCCAAATCCACCCCAGTTGTGATCCCAAGAGTGTTACCTACAACAACTGTGTTTCCTCCCAGTTTTGTTACCACTGCTTCTACAGAGACCCCTTCTGTTGAACAGACTTCTATCCGAACAACTGCACTAACTACCAGGCGTACTACATCGTCTCTTTCTGTTACATCTGAACTTTCAACATCCCTGTCTTCTGTTAGACCAGCTACAGTACCACAAGGTAAAGTATTTCTTTAGTTTATCCTACTTTGTTGCTTAGTACATCTTTTGGTTCATACTTATTAAGTTTTGGGACATGTCTTATTTTTTTGCTATGTCACATTTTGCTTGTACACTTTGACTGTATCTTCCTCTTTTATCATTACTGCATATTACTTTCTAACACCTATAGTTGTCTTGGTGTCGTTTTCATACCAGCAGGCTTCCTGCAGTGCATTGATGCATACACTAAGAAACACGAGTTCAGGCTGACAGGACATTTACCAGGGAGAAAGTCATAGAATCTATTTCTATTTAAAAATCTTATTTTAATGGTGTAAGAAAGACACCAGTTATTTGGACAAACTATTGCTTTACCTCATTCTACAGTCCTTCTATTAACTTTCATACACTTTCTGAAAATGCTTTTTTTTTTTCTTTTTGAATTTTTTGATACCTTCTCCACAGCTAATTTTTTTCCAGTGTTGGCTAGGTACAGTAATGGTCTTTTGCACCTCTGCGTAAATAAAACCTAGCAGTTTTGGACTGAAGCATAGCACACTCTTTACAATTCTTCGTAACTTTTTTGAAAGGGAGGTGCACAGAGCAGCATCATTCCTAATGGTTTGAACTGAAGCTTTCCTACTTTATAACCTACAGGGCTGGAGTCAGGAGCACTGGCGTGAGTGCACAGATACCTAGTAACAGGCAGTGAAGCAGTTCTCATTCAGCACTTCTAGGGTATGCATTAACCCTTCTAAGAATAAACTGAAATGAACGGTGCTTTTTTCAGTCTGTGAATGGAAGTAGAATTTCCTGTGTGGTTTGTTGATTTGTTATTTTGTTTTCGGTGGTAATGTTTTATGGATGTTTATATGTCTTAATTTTTTTTGTTTGTTTTTTATTTTTATTTTTATATTTATATATTTTTATATGTCTTAAAATTGCTGTTTGAAGACCCAGGAGAGAATTGACATCTCAATTTCAGCTACTTCCTGCATTCCCTTTTGGGTTAGTTCCACAAAGAAAGGAGAAATGATCTGGAAGGTGTACCGCAACCATATCATACTGCTTTCTCTTCCTGTAACTGTTCCTTCTCCACTGTCATGCACCACTGTCTCTATCCATTGTCCTTTTCATTTGTTTAATTCCTAAAGAAAGGGAACCTCACCTCCAACATATTACTGCCTTCACTTGCCTGATCTTTTTCAAGAGTTATGGCCTCATAGGTCTGCCCTTTTCTACACTGCTTGATAACAAGATTATAAGTATTTGTTTGAAGCATTCGATAATTTTCACTATTTGCTATTTCCTTAGCTGCTATGAATCTTCACACGCAGTCTGCCATTCCTTCACTATGATCAGAGCAACTGAACCATAAGCTTATCACTAACAGCAACAAAATTTGAACAAAGCAGAATACCACACTCAAGTCATCCCAACAGTCATCTGTCAAGTCTCACTGCACAAAACCGATTTACACACAGGATCCCCAAAAGTCAACTAAGGAAACTGTTTGCAGTGAACTGCTCTCAAATAGTGATGTGACTCAATGTGTGGCGCAATCACCTTAGCCCACCCTCCTGTCCCTGTCTCCTCCATTAACTTTGTCAGCAGAGAGCAGCTCATCCAGGTCAGCCAGCTCAGCCACAAGGAAGGTCAGAATTGTGCAGTGGGAGCACGCCCAGAAGCAAGCACTTGAATGCACAGTCTGTCCTTCATCCCACTTTACATAAATAATGCAGTACCAAACAGCTCAATTATATATTTAATAGTAGAAACCAGAATTGGATGAATGCACAAGCATCAGCAAATGGTGGTTTGACACAAGAAGATGGGATTCTTTCTATTGTGCAACTATTTTTGGCCCTTCTTTCCCTGCCTCCTCACAATTTTCACCTCACAGAACAGGAATACAATTAGGAACTCCCCTAAGCAGAAGGGCTTTCCCTCATGTTCCCAAATATATTTGTTTTGCTGCCTTCTTTGGCTTTTATTTGCATTCAGTTTTGAAGATAGTTCTTTTGAACTCTGCCTTCCCAACCATACCATTACCAGGTTAGGTCCTTGCTGTTAACAGGCACTGCCTCCTGGTTCAGTTCATAAATTCAGAGTTGTGTACAAATTCTCCTTTCTCTGCACATTTGTCTGCCCTCAACTGAGCAATTCACATACTTGTCAGTCACACAGATTAACAATACCTTTCAGTCTAGAAAGCAAGGTTAGAGCCTCTCATCAACTTTACAAGATACAGGCAGAGGACAGCACATTAGTGTGGTGTGCCATTAGCTGCCTTTTTCTAAACCCCCTACAGTATAACTGAGCCCCCTCAACAACGCTTGGCTTTCATCCATAACCTGCTTCAAGCTAGGAACCTGAATGCGCTCGACAGAGCATGCTGCAGGAGCAGTGTGGGGTGCATAAACTGCCTTCACAGGGTTCTTCATGTTAAGGGGCACAAACCACAATGTTTAACCTCTTCAGCTCATTTGAAAACTTCACTTTCATTCAACTTTTTGCTTCATATGATGCCTAGTGTCTTGCTTCAAGTCAGGAGATGACCAGAAAAAGTGCAAGATCAATACATAACACCATTACCTTCCAAGTAGCATTATGCGTTCTATTTAGAGATTTAAATTATGAAATTTTGGCTTACGTTATTATAAAATTTATAAAATATGCCTGGAAATAAATAAATCCTTAAAATGAGCTAATTAAGCATTTTTCAAGTAAGTCACATCTATTACCAAGTCTGTGAACCAGAAATAATTCTGCTGGAATTAGCCAGCTGATGGTTTTATTTGCATCTTTGCTTTCTCATCAGTGGATTAGGGCTTTTTCCTCCTGGACTTAATTTGCATTCCATTGTTAACAGATTTTTCTTTTTTTTTCTTTTTTTTTTTTTGTTTTGTTTTGGTTTGGTTTTTTCTTTTTTTCTTTTTTTTCCTTCTCATTTCTATTTCCAGCTGCGTGTATTTTCATAGCTGTCCTGCTATGTCACCATCTCACAGTTTCAGTTCCTAAAAACCTTCTCTTGCCATGTTACTTACTGGTGACTTGTCAATCCTCCTTCAGTCCCTCCGAAGTCATGCAATAGGAACGGTTTTGCAGGAACCTGAGTACAGAGGCTTTCGGCATCCATCAAAAGTCACACTAGAAGACTAAGATAAATTTTTATTTTTTAATGTTTGACAGAGAATTGCCTAAAAGTTGAATATGAAGAAAAAATAACTTACAAAGGCTGTTCTGCTAACATCACTTTGAGCCGATGTGAAGGATCATGTCCATCTTCAACAACGTAAGGATACTTGAGAGCTTCTGTATCATAAATACAGTGAAGTTCTTTCTTATCTATGAATACTGATCTTTGTCAACTGCCTCTCCTTTATAATTCAGTGAGAAAAAGCTTTGTGGTATTTATCTAGCAACAGTGTGGCACTATAGGCCAGGTAGCTAGAGCTAGCACTAATACAGGTCAATTAGTCTGTAGAGATCTACAGTTTAAACAGGGAATGTCTCCTCACTTAAGTTTTGTGTTTGTTTTTTTTTTTGTTTTAATATTTTTTAATACTTTTTTTTTTTTTTTTTTTTTTTTTTAGTCAGACTACCAATAACTACTTTCCAAAAATCAAGAGTGTAACCCAAAATATTTATCCTACCTATATCCTTCAGGTCATTCCCATTGCCTCACAATGTTCTCAGGTTATTTTACAGGGATGCTTTACAGCTACAAACGTGATGTCTCTGCAGTTCTGCTTGCTCAAACAGGGAATGACAGCTTCAATAAAAGTAAACTCTGCTTGCAGCACTATTAGAGTTCACATTTATTTGAGAAAAAAGTTAAAAGCAGTTGCATGCACTGCTGGGAATGAATATATTCCAGAATAGGAAAACAATGAAGCGTTTTGCTTTTACCATAACCAACTTAAATTAATCCTTAAGCTAAGAGCTAGGTGAGCTCAGCTGTCCCCCAGCATTTTGAAAACTGATGATCACCTTTGTGTCTTGAGTTTTCAAAAGGGCTGTTAAACCTGAAGGTTGTTTTTTTTGTTTGTTTGCTTGTTTGTTTTTAAGCTCTACCAAGGTTTATCACTATCACTACAAGAAAGCTGCAATTAGAAAGAAAAGTTTTGTTCTTACTGAAAATGATGCAGACTTTTCCCTTATTTACAGATATTCTTACCTAAATACCTTTTCCATACAAGCCCAAAGGATTGGCTTGTTCCACTTTTTATGCATCTTGCAGTGCCGGTTAATGGCACAGTGCCAGCTGGATGAACTGCTTCTGCACACCTTGCACGACTGTTCCATTCACAGAATACATTCCTGAACAAAACCTAAAAAGCTGTATCCAAGTCATAACCGATCCTCTCTCTCTTCCAAACAGGTTGAATGCTGAGACCATGGAGGTCACCACAGCATGCGGCTGTTGTAGGCCTCTTCGACTTTATAAGAAGGAATTCCAGCTACCATGTGAAGACCCAGATAACCCCCAAAAAAGGCTTGTCAAGGAAATCACTGTGTTTGGTGGCTGTGTTTGCAACTTTGACACCTGCATACAATAGCCAGACCTCCAGATAGCCTCAGATACAGATATATTTTTAATTTTATTAAATGCTAATTACAACTACATACTTCCACAGCGATTGCTCCTTGCTGGGAGTTCTTTTGTATTGATTATATGGTTAGCCTTGCAGAGGCTTCCTGAGCAGCTACCTGGAGTGTCAATGAAGTTAACTACATCATAAATTATTCCTGATTTTGAGGGGAGGGGGAAAGGGTAGGGAGAAAGAAGAATGGGCAGGGGTAGGGAGTGACAACGTCAGAGACTGTCTGGCCATGCTCAGGGTGATATTTAACTAGAGGCTGAACACTGGCCTGTGCACTGTGCAATAACAGAAATTTGACTTCCAAATAAAGTAGAAGGAATTGAATTTGTTAAATTGTTTCTCATTGTCTGGCCATTTTTTTTAACTGAAAATAGGGTGTTAGGTTGTACACTTGAGCTAGGACCTGGGGGTAGCCCGTCACTGTGCAATCCAAGAAGAGATGGCTGCGGTGAGCCGCTGCCTTTCCTTTGGAAGTGGGCACAGTGTTTGTGCTTGTTCGTACACAGCTGCTGGCAGACAGCAAGGTACTGTGTGACTGAGCCTTATTGGGAGAAGGCTTCTCCCTGCACCCTTAATGCATTTCTGAAGATGTAATTAACAGATGTTTCTAGGGGCTTTTGGACAAAGAAGAAATTTGCAGGGCAATTCTCTGGCAGAAGTTTAAGTATCAAAGAGTACTTACCAGACCATGATGCTCAAACAAGAGGCAGTTGCTCACCCAAGCAACTTCTACTTGCTGCTAGTAGTGAGTATTTCTTTAGTATTTTTTACTATCACCCATCTGCAATTCATTTGAGAAAAAGTTGCACAGAAGTTCATAATGCCCAGGGGCTTTTTTTTTTGTTTATTTTTAAGTAAGTTTTAGAGAAGTAAGAAGAACCTGAAGCATACATGCAAAGTTCGAGTGAAGCTATTTAGTTGTTCAGGTACTCTCTTCTTTTACAGCAACATCAATCTTTTACATGTCCTGCCTCGGTGTGATAGGGACGTGTGCTTTTGCGGCTTCTGGCTTACCCCATCGTTCAAATAGAGTAACATGGAAAGCCGTGTGTGAGATGCCACGTACATTGGTATTTGTACCCTGCAATGAATGGAAACAAGGAAAGAACCACTGTTTTGAAACAAGCTGAAATCCAAAAAGCAGCTGTGAACATAGGTTTCAAGTTATTATTCTGAGGAGTTACACCAGTTTACGGTAGCATGTACTGTTAATAGTGATATGGTCAGCTGTTAAACATACAAACATAGAGGAAGACAGGTTTTACATCAAGTTTTTACAGCAGAATATTTATAACATGTGACAAAAATAATCCATACAGAAACCCAAACTCAGTGGGGAACCAGAGATCTGCAGGTCAGGTAAGACTGAACCAAACACAACCCTGTAGTCAGTCATTTGTAGGAAAGAATTAACCATCCTACATCGATTGTTGGTCCATAACATTATATTCAGAACGAAACAACCATTCTGGGCAAGTATTCTTTATGCTCCCATTTCCCCAGACAAAAAAGGACAGTCTGATTACTGTTCTAATCATTTATTTAATCTTAATATGTTCTTCTGATGAATATAGTCTAATATATAGTCTTCTATATGAAAATTCTCCACTTAATTTGACAGAACTTTGTTTTATACAAATAAGACAATCACCATAAATGTTACATACAGGAGTGTAGGTCAAGAATGAACAAATGCTACCTGTTTTGCTATTCAGTTATTTTCACATGTCAATGCCTGAAAATACTGTACTTGAAAACAATAACACTGTTTACTGCAGAAATTACTTTGTCTGCTTGAGAGGATACATCACTTTGGTAAGTTAACCATCATTCACAAAAAAAAAATAATCAAGTATTTATCCTTAATTTGTTCACTGTTCTGCTCATGGCTTCACTGAGCTGACATCTAATACAAAACGTGAACAGTCATAAGCTTAATACAGTCACCACTGAAAAGATGCTTTCCCTTACCCCCCTCCTACGCATATTTTTAATGCACATTTTTATTTAGCACAGCTGGAACCAAAGCTAAGTGAACTAATATAGTACAGTGTGTCTCAAGATGTCCTTTAATGAGGGCACAGAACATACTCAGAGGAACAGATGTACAACAGGATTTGGAAAAAAATGAAAAAAGCTACTCCCTGTCTCTGCTAAGACTCCCTTTAGTTCAGCACATCAAATTTTTAACACAGTAGCCAACATGGTTAAGATCATGGGATTAGTAAAGATCATACAGCCTCCAAAGGACAGAATGTAGGTACTCCAGTAGTACTCCGCCAACTACCCAACTTGAGTGTAGGAAACGTGTATGAAGATTTTTCAAAGACAATATTTGTGATCAGAGAGTTGTGATTAGCTGCGTGGGAGGCCACAAGAGGGCCAATTGTTTAAGAGAACTTTTTTCAGAAAGACCAGGTCAACAGACAAGTTTTCAGACATAACATCCATAAATTACCAACCATTTCTGGAAAAAAGCAAAACAAAGCAACAAAATCACACACCACACCCAAACCTTTGTTCCTCTCATTTTTCACTGGTACTCAAGCACAACCATTAGCCTTCCACTGCACCGAACTGTAATCACCTAGTTCCATCTTCAACTCAAAGCACTGAAGGAAAGCAAGGCACACTCAACCAAGGAGAATCCTGTCCCCTCCTTTGCACTGGGCAGCAGGGCACGATTCTCACTGTCATCACGACCACTATCACTTGACGCTTTTATTTCAAGGGCAGACTTGGCTGTATGTGCTGAGACAACAGTCCCGGGCTTCCTTCAAACAACCTTAGGGGAATCTTAATCCGAGGTTCACTTCTCACGTCAGCAGCAGCTGACCTCTTGGTTCATCCTGACCTGTAGTACTGCCTCACTGACAACTGCCCGCAGTTTCGAACTGCACAACCTCACCTGCTCGTTTTGGCAGCCTCTGGTGCATCTCAAAGCTTCAAGAATGTGAGCCAAAATTCCGCCCACTGAGTTGTGCAGAGAGGCTGCAGAGTTTGATGATCTGGAACAAGGTACAGAGGTTTTGGTTGTAAAAACCACTATGTAAGCTGAATATTTTCAGCTTTTCTAGCTCAGTCTCAACATAGATCTTTACACCATGTTGGATATTTTTACCACCACTGACAGACAGAAAACTATACAGATAGCAGTTACTCAGCCCCTCAAGCTTTAACATTATTATACACTGGGGAAAAAAAATGTTTAAAATTAGATTTCTGTCTAGCAAAGTGCATGCCTTAGCCTTAAAGGGCACGTTTCTTCCCTGTTTTCCTTTTATACAACACCACACTGATGAGAACCCTTACTCTCTGCAGTTAGTTATATCACATCATTGGGACTGCTGCTTGCTAAATCTGATGGGTAGCAGAAAAAACAGAACAGAATATTTAACTTCGGTTTGACCCAACAAGCGTGTACTCATTCACTACCTATCAGGGAAGCTCACCTCATTATTTGAGATAAGCAGAAGGATTAAGAATAGCTTTTGTGTTCAATCCACTTTCCAAAGATCAGAAAACAGTAAGACATAAAGGATTATAAGATTAATACTTTAAGACTCTGGACCTGTATCATTTTTCAAATACAACACAGATTGGCGACATTCAACATAAATGTCCACTTAAATCAAACACCTTGTAATCTGCCCTTCCCATCCAGTACAAAACTTGTGGCAATGTTTAACATTACAAGGCTTTTAACTCTACATGTATATCTGGCATTAACCCTACCGAGCAGCATTACACTGGTTTCTTTCAGCTCAGAGCAGAGGGAGTACCTGCTAAAGGCAGTAAGAGAGAAACGTTACTAATCTTTTCCAGTTGAAACCCTTGGTCAGCCTATCAAAATCAACTTCCCTTTAACAAGTTTAAAAGTTTAACCTCTGCAATAAAAGGAGCACAAAGACAACCCTTCCACCCTTTGTGTAACATATTAAAAGCCACTTTTTATGTAAAAAGTCACTTCCCTGTACTGTACATTTTCTAATCACAATTTCAAACAAGGGGCAAGTCCTATTAAGGCAGGGAGCTGGTATTTGTTAACATTGCAGTACTCAGACAGTGATGTACAAGACATTTATTTGCAAGTATGATGACAATGATATAAATGGAAAAACAAAACTGTCATGGTTAGTATTAAAACTGTTCTGACAGCAATTCACATAATCTCTGAGATACAGCTTCTTTACTTGTTCGTAGTGTGAGCCTATACATCTGAAAAAGAACACAAAATATTTTTTTAAATATCATTTGGTATTAAACAACTAGTGAAAGTTAACCAGTTACTATTCACTTCTTTTGTTAGAGTTGGTAAGAAAAAGACCAAGTTAAAACATTCAGAAACAGGCAGTCACTGAGCAATTTAGCTCTTTCAAAGCATAGGATGGAGCAAGTCTTCAAACCCTCATTGGGAAAGTTACCATTATTCTAATGATTTTAAGCTTTACTGACAACATGATGTACAACATTTTTTCCTTTAAGAGGAATAAGCGTTGTGGAAAAGTCTAAAAACTCTTCATGTCCACTTGCTCAGAAAAAAGGGGACTTACTACCCAAAACTTACTTTTGGCCCTTAATTATCTTTTGATAAAATCTCTATCCAAATACTTCTGAAAATATTATTCCTCTGATTTAACAATTTTGTGTTCATTTGTGTACATTTTACTTTTTAGCTACATTATTCTTTTATTTTTAATTGGCAAAGGGAATTAGAGTTATTCTTATCCAAGGTGCAAAAAAATGAAAACATTAAGTATTTAGCCTTCAAGGGAAGATGAGAATCCACAGAGTCTGGAATAACAGAGTGATATGCACATGGAAAAGAATTTCTCTGAAGCAACAGCTTACAAAAATATGCCAGAATCAGCTGTTGCAATTTCATTTCTTATTAGAGCCTACAGTCACAATTAGCAATTACAAAATACACTTCTCACTAAATAACCTTAAGGAATTTCAAATATATACTTTTTTTTTTTTTTTTTTAATTATTTAGTGCAGACAAGAACTTGTATTTAAGCTGTAGATACAGAAACAGATACCTGTGCCTGGAGGTTGGGTTCAAGGCGCAGCAAGCATCCAATCTGAGTAGTTTTTGTATGTATGATACCAGCACCAACAAAGTTAGCAGGATTGGGATCAACCTCCTCAAGTAGGGCCGATCCAAAGCCAATTATCTATGAAAGAGACCCAAAAGATTTAAATGTCAGGAAAGCAGGACAACAACAACGAGTCTACCCAAGCACAGCCACCACTCATTAGCAAAACAACCAGTAGACTAATTTGAAGTGTTCAAGACATTAATGCACTTTTCAATATCAATATACAATACAACAGAAATTTTGAGTGAGAAAGAGTGATGCCTGATACTGAGTTGCCCCTGAATATGTTCTTCTGGCAAATTGCTGAGAAATTAGTTAGATTAAACATAAAACTCCCCTCTTTTTGATAAAGCCATTCCTGCCTTGCAGCAGTCACTTCTGCTTTGCCTAAGGCAGACAGCTCTACAAGAAGCCTTAGTGCTATTCTGTTTTCTTCTCTCACTAGTAACCCTAGAATAAATTAAGGCTTTAAGTTTCTTCTAATTCAGTTTTAAGCAGACTCCACATTTTCATAAATAATCATATTTATAAATAAATAAAACATAAATAAAATTTCCAACTGCTGTTAAAAACTACAATTAGTTCAAGCCATACTGAGGAACAATCCTTCCAACCCAGCCCTGCCAAAGGTCTGTTACACACAGACTTATGCTTTAACAGGATGATCTGATAGCTCTATCAACTAAAAGGAACAGAGCTTGCTTATACCACTATCCTTACGCTACAAGGTTAGAAATACTGTACTACCACCAACCTTTGCTTTTGTGATCTCTGCATCCATTGGGTGTTTTGCTTTAAAGATATTCTGTACTTCTTGTTTAGGACTGCAAGACAAGGAAAGATGAATACCTCATATAACGTGTAATACATACAGTATCGTTCAATAGCAACTAAATAATAATAGCAACTTAGGAAAGTTATTTTTATAGAAGTTTATAATTCTCAGGACTAAGCAAGAAGTGGGGCACTGTATCAGCTATATTCACAGTACACTGGTTTTGCTTTTTCTTGGCCCACCACAAAAGCCTTAAGCCCAAATACAGACACAGCCTTACTTGCTCAGTTGCTTCCAACGCTGGAAAAAGTCTTGAGAAGACATCTCTGTTGGCTGAAAAAATTTATTCAGCGTGATGGGTAATTTTACTGAAAGATTTTGGAATGTTCCCCCGTACCTGCATACAGAACAGACAGAACATGGTATGTGTAGTACAAAGTGCCAGCAGTTTCACAGCCTAAATAAACCAAGCAATTGAGAATGAACTCTGAGTTGCAGTTGTCTGATGATTAAAATCCAAGAACTGCAGATGATGTTATTTCTAAGATGTAGTTTTAATCCACTGACAGATTTATTTTATTTGTTCTGCTTAAACGGCACGTAAAGGCAAGTTGAAGGAATTTCTAATAAGAATATATTTCAACATAGGTTGCTATCCTTCTAGATAGTACCCCATCAAGGGACTGAAAAGATTCTCCTGTGAAAACACCAATAAAAACAGCTTAGACTTTAAAAACAGAATGGAGGACAGAAACCAAGATTTTAAATGATTCCTTCTCAAAGGTTGATGCTGAGTTGATATAACAAGATTCTAATTTTCACTACATACATTTCTTATCCAACTTTCTTTTTTTTTTGCAGAAATGTTCTTAGTTGCCAGAAAGTTACTGTATATATTCCCCATCAAGATGTCTTGAACAAATGCCAAGATGATTGTTTTATATGCATAGCAGAGATAGCAAACATGGAGACTTTTTTTTTTTTAACCAGTAGTTGCTTCTTTATGATATTTTTTCCTTCAACTATATTGTTACAAGTGGGTTTCCACCCTCCTCCGGTAGCTTAAAACTTTGTTAGGTCAAATTTTCAGGTAAATCATCTACCCAAGATAGCTTTGGATCTTGAGACTCTGTATTCTACAATTTAGTCAGAGGTCCAAAACAACAAAAAATCTTTCATTTAATTAATTCAATAGTATTGAACTACTTCGTTTTTACCTGAATTGAATGTTCAGGATTGGAGCTTCCATGAAGTCTGACACACATTCAATGTTCACAACCTGTTGAACCTGTGCACCTCCATCCACTGTGGGGTCAACAGGCTTTGTCTGAAGATTCAGGCATGAGAAGTGGCTAAGGAAAATCGTCAATGAACTGATAACTTACAAAAAAATTTGAAAGAAGCAAGTATTACTGGTAAACTGTAGGAAGAATTAACGCTGTGTCTGTTGATTCTCTGTATTCTACTGAAAATTCAAAGCCCAGGTCTTTTAAAGCTAAATTGTTTCTTTTCATATTGACCTGCCCGGAAGCAATAGCTCCCACAATTCTCAGTTACAGAAATTGTGCTAAAGGTGTTCCCAAAAACATTTGAGAGCATGCAGTCTACAATAAAAGACACCAGATTAGCTTATTTTGATTTGAACATTACAGTGATGCTGAGTCAAACACATTAGATTACATACTATCCCAGAAATCTTAATTTTGCAATATAAAGCATTAAAGGGAAAAACTGTAAAGGAAAAGCTTATTTTAAAGCACTGTCATCTTTGAGTACATGCATTCTTCTACCTACAGCTCAAGTCAGAAGTCATCTGCTAATGCAGCACTTGAAGAATATCATGTCTATATCTCAACTACCTCATGACAATGGAGAAAGCTACCAAGTTACATTACATATTTATTCAGAATAACACCCCCTTATTTCAAGTGTAAAAGGTGTTTCTGTAAGCAGAACTTTAAGGAGATTCTTCCATCACTGCTCAAGATTTGTTCTTTCTATAAGAAGTTTAGAAAGATATCAGCAAGTTCCTACTTCATGTTTGAGGACATGAAGTCCTGATCCAGCAAGTTTTATTACACTTATGTGTAGCATAAAACACAAACCCCAAAGAACAGGCAATTGGTACTGCATTTAAGGATATTTGGCTGAAGGTCATCTGAGCAGATTACTGTTGGAGTAAAATTCAAGAACTGTGTTGATGTCTTATTACCATAGAATATGAACATACGTCCTAGAAACAAAAGAAAGCAGAAGTTTTAGGCACACCGCATGTGATCATACTGGACTATTGTGCTTCAAGTATCTAATACATTGTTTTTCTACACTTCTTTGAAGCAACTTTTAAAATCAAGCAAAATTTACGTGCTTTATCTTGCCAAGATATTCACAGCTCAAAATAAAATAACACGTTAAAACAAACCAAGAGACCTCTGTGTCCCACTAATTATTTAACTGCCTGTATGAAGTCTTCCAGTTGCTGGAAAATGCTACCATCTCTGTAAAAAAGATTACTGCAGTACCAAAAGTAATGCAGAAGGGGTGAAGCAAGCAATCCTATTTCTGGACAGTGCTCGATTCCAAGCTCCTCATTAGATACTTTCACTGTCTTGTACATTAATGTATTAGGAGAAAAATGTCTAAAAAATATTGTGCTTCATAGTATTACCATAAGCTCTACCATAGGATACAAAAAAATCTGGAGAATGGTCCCTTTATAAAACTCTGGCTGTATGGGCCTTAGAACTATGCAGTAAGAAGTGGAACTTGGAACCATTTAGGCTCCCATTTCATCTCAGATACCAAAACAACTGAAAGGTTTAAGAAAAGAACTCACACAGATGCCAGGGACACACAAACAGCAAGGTTTAGAAAGACAGGTTAGGCCTGAAATTACATTCCCCTCTTCAGCACCCGAAAACTAAGCCCTATCCTCAACCTCGTGCTGATTTTGGGGTTAATAATGCAGACAGCCACTGTTTCTGAAAGCTTACCCAGGTTCTGTCGAAATTCAGATTTCAATCCAATTTGTAGCAACTGATTTTCAAATAAGACTCCGTTATTTTTACACACAAACCTAGAGGAAGAGAGGGCAAATGTGTTTTAAATTAAGACACACTAAACAAAATTCAGAACCACAAAATTCAGGGTTTACAGAGTGGATGAAGATTGTTGTTAACCTAGAGGGCATCAGTCTGCGAGAGAGGCTTTTGCAGAAAACTGCAGTTAAAAAGAGACAAATCCATTTTACAACCTAAATCACCACTTGCAGGACACTAAAATAACTGGAATTTCTATCTGATAGGATGCCTGAGAAACTACAAAGTAAGCCACAATATGCTACACACACACACACACACACACTATTAAGGACCAGGCAACAGACTAGGATTTTTCTTATTCATATTCTTGACAACTTCTGAAATTCATTAGGCTGGCGCAGAATTCAAAAGTTGGAAGCTTTGACTGTTTCAACCTGAAAGAAAAAAAGAGTTCCCTTGTTTTTATCAGTTCTGTATCACGTACATGTTGACTTGGGAGCTGTATTTTTTTCAGTCATTTTGAGAGAAGCACATTCTGTAGTGATTTCAGTCCTTCTGTCTGTCACCCTTCACTTAAAGTAGAAGAGGTGGTCAGCAAACATTGGCCTTTTTCATTCAAGGCACTTAAAACATACTTCCAAATATCAATACTTTTAATAGTTTACCCTTTTTTCCTTTTTTTGTGAATAGTTGCAAAGCTTAATATACAACTGTCATTGCCTTATTTTAGAGCACTTGGTGATAGCACTGACTCATAAAAGCCAGCTCTAAGCTGTGTTTTCACAAGCATCTCATAAAATGCACAGTATCTACAGACGTGTTCTAGTCACAAGTCTGACAGTATGTTTGTCTGCTTTTGCTGGTATTAACTCAATGTATACTATAGTTTTGCTTTGTAACTATATTCTGGAAGTTGCCCAGCCTTGCAAGGTTTTATTATTGCTTACTTGTGAAAAAGCTCATCAGCATCATGCACAGTATCAGCTGGTTCCTCAGAAACTACCTCAGATGAAGCCAGGTCAGGGCTAGTTCAGGCAGCACAAAGGAAGAAAGGTGGTAGCGACAGAGACAGCAGGAGTTAGTAAAGACAGCTTAGTGCTTAGTTACTTCTTTTACCTCCTTCCTCAAAAACGGCACTGCTGAGTTTAATGCATGAAAAAATAATTAGCTGCCCTAGCTCATTACACCTAGAAAGGTTTTAGGCAGTGATTCCCCCCCCCTCCCTCTTCTATCCCCCAGCCCACCCATCCCTGATTGTTAGGAACCAGGGATTCCTCCTGAAGGCAAGAGATGGCTGAAGGTGTTCAGTAGCTTAAGTTTATACGTCTTAACCAAACCCTTTTGGGTGGTTAATTGTGACAGTAGAAAAGTTTTAGTTCAAAACCATAAATGTAGATGTATATTAGCTACTGTGATGTGCACTTTGAAGCAGACACCTCATCAAATTAGTGGCATTTCTAACTACAACTGCACAATCAGTTAACAAGTATACCAGTTACAATACTCACAAGTATTTAAAATGTAGGCAAGAATATACGGGCACACAGAGAATGGCTTACCCAAGTGACAGATTAGAAGCAAGAGTGATGACAGCATTAAAAAGTGGAAGGAAACTATGAAAGACAACTTCTCAACAGAATTAGAGAAGTGTTTCATTACCTACAGACAGACAGACCAAGGGGTTGAGCAATGCTATGCTTTCTTCAGCAGAAAGAGAAAACTCTTTTCAGGCAACTTTTTAGAAAAAGCTCCAACAAACTTGTGTTGTTTCTTACAGTCTTGGTATCGTATAGTATTATGAAATCACTTATCAACTTTCAAGAGAAATACAGGATCAAGTCTTAAATCACTGCAAACCTGCAACAGTATATTGCCTAGTATTAAATTTTGATAAAACTCTCAATGGTTCAGGTAGATTAGTTTCACTGAGTATATCTTTTATATTAAGATACCTTGCAAATTTGTCATCACATCATTCTAAATTTGGTCTTTGACAGTAGTATCATGTACCTTGGCCAAAGAATTACATATTTTTAAAGATATACTGTGATCTTACATTATTTTCAACATTTTAGCCAAATAACATTTAAGTGTAGCCACAGTGGCTATTAATTTCAAAGGGATTAATAATTACTGCACTTGACAATACAGTTAGCAATATAATTAGGAAGATACTTGTAAAAAATCCCCTTAAAAAAGAAAAGCTTGTTTTGTTTTTCTTTTTACACCTGTTTGTCAGACAGTAGCAGAACAATTTCATTATATCTTGAAATTCTGAGAACCAGTATCTCTAGATATAAACCAACTCATTGTTCCAGTATCAGTTTTCCGTTAAGTATATAGATGCAAGAACACTTTATGGAAACAGGACAAGTCTAAACATATTCATGTCAGGCCAGACATCCCCCAAATTCAAGATAAGTAATTGAGATGCAGAAGCAGCTTAGTTTAACAAAGAAGTAAAAACCAGCATGAAAACTAGGCAAGACTGTGTGGCTAATATTCTCAGGCTCATAACTACAGACTAATTTTCCATGAGCAGAGGTATTCATTAAAGGTAGCATATCCAGCACAAAGTTCAGGAATACCTCTCTTGCTGCACAACTACCACCCAGGAATGCATTCAATAAACTGGAACAAAACCAGAAGTTATTGTTTGATTTCTTGTCTCTAGTCCTGTTTCAGCAGACAAATGCTTTCTCAGATACCTTGCAGGGTGACATAATTACCTCGCAAAGTTGTCGTCAGAACCAGGAGCAAGAGGTGCAACAGCAGAAGCTGAATCTGAAAATACATCCACCAGGAGGCTACCACTAGAGGAAGGTGGGGGAGCTGAATTGGTGAGAGGGGCTGCACCCAGACCCAGCAGATCCGCAGATGGAGAAGGAGTAGACTAGGGAAGACAAGATACTTTGGCGTTAATCTACAGCAAGACTAAAACACAGGTGACTTTTTTGCATAGACAACTAAGCTATGGCAAAGTGCCCCTCCCCTCCTCAAATAAAGACTGGAACAGACAGCAGAAGGCTTCATGAATGTAGTTATCCCCTTGTGCTTCAATTTAAAGTCATTTACAGATGTGGCTTTCTTTTTTTTTTCTTTGAATACAGCTATATCCATCTAATGGCTTTGTATATAAAAAAAAACTTGTATCTGCAATATGGTTCTGTGGAAACCAAGAGAAATTAAGTACCACAGGGAATACAATTTTAAGGTATTGCTTTTCATTCATGAAGAATCCAGCAATAAAGGCAGTGACTTTTACTTAAATTGACCATTTTTTAGTCCTCAGTTTTTGAAGCTTGGCAAAACTTAGAAACAATGCAAAACCTAGCTAGCAAAAAAGCAGGGTCTGTAGTTAGTTCAAGCTGCAAACACTAAAAGTACAGGTGAGATTTTAAAGAAAAAAAAAATGCTCAAAATGAACAGGTCAAGTAACCAGGACACAGAATCATGCACCATTAATAAAGGCCTCGTATGTGCCCAGGTCATGTGCAAGAACAAAGCACAGATTGTTAAATGAAGCATTCATGCATTAGATATTAGCATCTTAAAATACACCAGACATGCTGAAGATGTAAGTCATGAGATAAAAGAACAAAAATTTCAGACTCAGTTCAAATACAAACCAACTCAAAAGTTATCATATACTCCAAAAAATAAATTGGATGCAGGATAACCAGAAATTCCCTGGCTATTTGTTTTTCTCAGAAATCAGTTAATAAGAAAACTCAAAAACCAAGGAGCTCAACTCCAATTCAGAACATATTCTTGGCATCTATGACGGAGGTCATATCCAAACCAGTGCTGAAGGTAACTTAGCAGAATTTCTTACATTGCTGCACCTGAAAGTGAAGCTCATAAGACATAATAAACTTTTATCTATCAGACACCTTAGTCAATTTGGCATGCAAAGTTTGGCATCTCTTCTGCTGGAAAGGTGTTTCTGTCCATTAAAACATGCTGCATTTGGAACATGCACTCTAACATACTGCAGTGATTAAAGAATAAAGTTTTAAGGCAACTAGAAGGGAACGTGCTAAAATACTACTGCATCTCAACTGCATTTACAAGTTATGCTTGTCAATTAGAACAGCATCAAGTATTATGTTATGGGAATAATTCGTCCAAGCAGCATTAACTGACTTTAAAATGAGAAGTTTCAGCTCAGAAAAAACAAGACTCTGGCCCTGCCCACCATAACTGAACTCTAATAGTACTGTTGACTAAACAACACAACTTGGATGTCCTTAAATCAATGAAAGCATTGTACACTTCTAGTAAAGAACAACAGTAACCCAAAAACACAATGCAGAAGTAGGTAAGTTAGACAAAGCAGAAGCAGCTGATACTTTAAAAAGAGTAACTTGAATTTGAAGTATATTGATTTTATCATCTCGCCTTCACTGCAGCTTTACCAGCAAGGAAGTCTCCGTTTCTAAGGTTAAAGCAATGCTTTTCAAAGTTTTTGTTTTGTTTTTAAACGTATTGTTTGTTTAAATTGCAGACAGTTTGCCTCATTTACAGCACAGCTATGATTTTCAAAGGAAAATTGCAACCAAGCATATGCAGGGAATAGCTGTATGCTCCCCAATACTTTATAGCAAACACCCATAGTTTGAAATTTAAGACAAGAAGCTTTAAATTCCTAAAAAGCCACTTTAAGGAAATGAGTCTTTCCCCACTTTCACACCTTCTGAATAAGTGAAATAAGAACAAATTATAAACTCACAACAGCACTGGCATTGACTGAGGCAGGTTCAGCACTTCCATTCATATCAGAGCTCCTCTCCTTTTTGATCTCTTCCAGGTCAGTAACTGTGCCTGGACCTTTCTTCTTCTTGAGTTTAGCCAAAATAGAAGATTCCCTCTCTGGAAAGGGAGGCATTTCTTCTAGCACTGTGGCCTTAACATGGGGGGAAAAAAAGTATATTAGTTGTATTTACAGAACAAGCTAAATCAACTTCCCAGTCTTTGAAGATAGGTTCAGACAAAAGCAGAAATAATTACCTACACAGAAAGTGACTATGCAGTACGGTACACAGTGGTAGATTAGACTTGCCTTAAAGAGCAATTTTTTTTTTTTTTTTTTTTTTTTTTTTTTTTTAAGTTTTCTGAAGTCCTCCCAGAGCAGTTGTTTACAAGAACAGGAATATATTACCTGTTTGGTAAAGTGCTACTACAAAAAATGTGCGTGTGTGAGAAGAGATGATAAAGAAAAAAGCGACCATAGCAGACCTGGACTGAAACCATAGAAGGTTATCCAATGATGTAGTCTGACCTAAGCATTTATTAGCTGTCAAGACTGAGAGCGCCATGTGCTGGCCAAGTCCAAGAGCATCAGGTTAAAACACTCAGAAACTTTAGAGATGAAAAAAAAAAAAAAACCTGCACAGAAAACTACAAGTTTCCTGCCCACCAGGAAATAAGCAGGTTTCACACATCTTCAGAGAAGTCTGCATCAGTTTAGCATAAGCATCAAAAAAGCTTAGGATTAAGTGAGGACTTATTATTCTGTTTAGTCTCAAGTCATGCATGCCCTTTGTCAAGCAGTTATTTTAGCTGCGTTACTTCCTTTTGCTCACCCTTAGAGCTGCCATTAACTTTTCAATAATTGCAAAGCTAAAGGACATCGAGACACTGGACCAGCGAGTGGAGGAATGGAAGTGGAAAAGAGTTTCCACATCTGAGAGTTGTAAGACTTGATCTAATATGTACATCTTTGAAACACTTGTCAAATCTCTGAAAACCTAGAATGCTATATTAAAATACAAATGGTCATTTGTCTAAAGAAGTAACAACTTTGGTTTTAGCTCTAAATTCAATAGGGCTGTGGCTGAATTAGGCACAGTAAAAATGATCAGCACCCATGCTACGTTCTTAACTCTGTATTAAGATTTCTGATCCATCAGCTACGGTTTAGTGAAGTTTATTTATTGACAGAAGAAACAGCTGGAGTTATGCATAATAAAAAAGTTTCTGTACTTACCAATATATCAGTACTGGCAATAGTACTGAGCCTCAAATACTCAACAGCTCTCTGCTGCAGCTCAACATCAGCATTCTTTAGCTGACTGTCACTGCGCAATACATCTTGAATTGTAGTTTTGATTTCTGGAAACAGGTTCACAAACTTGATGTAGGTAGACAGAAGCAGAGCTCGGGTAGGAACACTACACAGATGAAACTTGGAATGTAGCAAGTTGAATTGGATAAGGGGACTGAAGAATAGGAAGAAAAATAATTTGTTAGGTTTCTTTTGACAGGATAATTACAATGTCATTACTATCAAGAGCTGACTCATTTGTTAACTGGCTTTTACAAACATTAAACAGATGGATTCTTCCCAAAAGAAGTACTACTACTTCAGTGAAATATTTTAAAAGGTGTTTTACCTTGATCTTGGATCACCTGCTATCAGATTTCCAAATTCTCCCAAGATGTAGCCACCTACTTTCACAAGATTCTCATGGCATGCTGGAGCTTGAAGGGCCTGTAAGAACACATGAATAGCTACTGACCTGCAGTGTTTCAAAAAAAGATCTTTTTCCATCTGTCACTCCCATGTCTAGTTTCCAACTCTACTTTCCTAGAAGAGCAGATCACAGGTCAAGGCACTACAGAACCAGTTATGAGAAAAGCACAACAGGTGGAACGATTTTACAGAAGAATCTCTATGCATTACTGGCCTAGGAGTGCTGCTAGGCCCACCTAGCAGCACTGGCGACTTTTGTGGACAAGCACAACTGCTTAGATTTCCCCTGACATTCTTGGAAGAATCAGAAGGCTGTTAATACACTTAGATTAAGTCTTGCAGGAATGTGCTGAAGTTGCTCAAGATATAGATATTGCCCCTTTTGAGCATGAAGAAGCACATAGCAGGGATGAGTTGTGAAAAATCAGCATAAACATCTAGGAAAGGAAACAACAACAAGAAAGTAGAAAGCCCATACAAACAACCCAAGTAAAGTCAGAGCAACAAGGCCAGCTATTTGACAGTGTTCTCCTTTAATAGTTCAAATTCCAGTTCTATCAGATCCTGAACAGAAGGAATGGTTACATACTTCCAGAAGGATTGCTACATTATTACTGAGTGTTTTGTTTTCTTGTATCCAGAAAATTTGGGGAAAAAAATGTAAAAGGTTTCAATTTTTACTACATTTTGAATATTGTCCAGGTAATATAGTTTCCTTACTAATCGCTCCAGTTATTCTCACCTCAAAAACAGTCTTTGCTGCATACCCTTGAACATCATCTCGGTTGATGACAATCTGAATAACTCGGTACCATACTTCTTCACTGACATAGTCACCGGCAATGCGAATCAGATTCAATATTGTATCCACATACCAGGTATAATCCACTGCATACTTCTCAGCTAGAATTGCAACTTTCAGTACCTGTATACACATAAGAGAATTAAGAAGGTTGACTAACTTCTACTATAACCTTGATAACAAGATTCACTTTTATATACACCCAGTGATACCATATGGTAGCCCAAAAGCTTCAGTTTCAGATGCATCTGCTAGCTGACTTGCAACCACAGCAAAGGCTAAAGACCAATATTGAGATTTGGTGTCAGAACACACCAGCTGCCAGGTACTTAATACTTTCCTAGTAACACATCTGAATATGCTACACTAATTGAGAAATTGAAGACCTGTGAAAAAAAAAAATTGGACACTCATGGTAGGCACAGGCCAGCTGCCTTTTCCAGGTCTCAGATTCCTATATCCTGAAGAAAACAATTTGCATAGAAAGAGATGTCCACATAACTTGGTCTCATTTATATTTGTAGTGGCATATTTTTTTAGGAGTAGTAAATTAACAGGATGAAATTCACTTTTGACTCCTAAGTCAGGATAGATAGCCAACATCAACAAGAAAGTACAAAAAGTAAAACAACTGACATCGTATTTTCTGTTCATTCCTCTGATCAAGAAAATGTAGTACTTAGTAAAGCTAAATAATTACTGTAAGCATAGATTTTGGCTACCATTCAAGGAATGCCATTAATTGGGTATTTCGCCTTTTGCACTTTTTCTTCTGCTGGGATGAAGGAGACAGACATCATGCCTCCCTTTTAGCTGATCATAAGGCATTGTCATGGGGAATCCTTAGATTGAAATAGCATCCTCAGAGCATACAAAGTTCTGTCTACAAATAAGTAGATAAAACACTAGTTTTTGAAACTATTAGACAGTTGACTTGAGAAGTACATAACTCTCAGACCTGCAGATCGTATTTGCTCAAGCACTGATAAAATTCACTTCACTATATGCAATGCCCTGTAACTGAGAGTAGCTTTTAGAATTCCTTATTTTCAAGTGTTTTTCTCCCCTCCTCCATTAGTTTAACCTAATGGAAAAATATTCTTTGATATTAGACTACAGCTTTTGTGTTTTGTTTTTTCTTAAACCACAGTCAAAAATCTCTACAACAAACAGTACCCCCAATTAATAAGTGATATATATGGTACCAAAGCCAGCTATGAAAAAATAAGGAATTACAAAAATCTCACAATTTCTTCTCTAATGGAATAATCAGCAGTCTCCAAATAATTCAGCATTTCAGCCACAATCTGTTGGGCATTGCTTCGGTCACACATTGCATACAGGAGATCTACAGCTCTTTGTCGTACGCTCACATCTCTTTCAGTCTGCAAAAAGACAAAAGCAAGGGGTCAAAAGATCTCACCTTTATTTAGAAAACATGCAACTTACTGTAGACATGAAACTCAGTAAAATTCAATTTAAAACAAATAAATTTTAATAATTTTTCATATGCACAATGAAGTTCTATGAATGAGATTGCACCACGTAACTGTCACCACTGGCCACAACTTAACTAATGATTGGCTGAGATTGCCGAATTCTATCATCAGGTTTAATTTTGAACTTGCCTCAAATCAACAGAAGCCCAGCTGAAACAGACGCATATTTTAAGGTTAGACAAACGTATTAACATGATACAGTATGAGCTTGGAAGGAAACAATACATGTAAACACTGAACTGTGCAACTAAATGTAAAAGAAAAACTGTCTTCCTCTTGGCTTCTGGTTTTTCACATAAACTTGACCTAAGAATTTGTCTTTCTGGTTTCTCAGCTTTTGGAAAACGGCACATGCTACAGTGGAAGCTGATCTACTTCACGGCTCCCCATCAGCTACTGCAGTGAAGGTAAAATGTCTGATACCAGCAAGAGAGTATCAGGACAAGGTCTTCCTCGGCATTCTCCGTCTTGTATTTCACCATTTCAGCTTCACTCTACAGGTGAGGAGGGTACCATACTGTTACAGGGGCCACAGGTACAAATAAAAGATTCACTTATAAGTTGCAGAAATAAACTAAAGCTGACCTCTATTGTTGCCATCACATCGTGATTAAGGAAAATAACTCCTTTGGTCCCCGAGAATAACTTAGCCTAACCAGGGATGGGGAGCTTGGAGGGAGGGAAGTTTGGGGGGAAGATGAAGGATGGGACGTGGGAATGGGAGAAGAGACTCAGAACAGACTGCACACTTAATATTTACCTTTAATGCATTGATAACAGTTTCTATGTGTGTTTTCACAGCCTCATGTGAGAATTCAGAGCTGGCAAGCGTGCACATGCTTTCCAGTGCTAGGTAACGCAAATTAGTTTCTCGGTGCTGCAAGAACTGACCTAGCTGGTTACAGGCACGGACTAGTAGATTTGGCTCACTGCACAGAACAGGAGAGAAAGTGAAAGGGTTAAAAGCAACAGATTTGAGTACATCAAATACAGAATATTATTTTCTGCAGTGCACATTTCTTAAAGTGCCTCAGGTGGTGTCTGCTAGAATGTTCTGCTGGTGAAATGAAAATTCAGATACTGTGAGCAAATCTTTGCCAATGGCTTTAAGTGGTGGGCTCAATACAAAATACCCCCAAAAAAGCAAGAAATAAAGAAATAAAAAATATTCTGACAGTGACACCATTCTTTAATGTTCAAACCCATTGCTGTGGTTGTGTTCCAACCTAGCGAGCAACTTCATATTCTGTTTAATCCCAGCTAGTAAAATTCTGTTCAGTGAAAAGCCTTGGCTTTTCATTTCGACAAATCCTGTTGCAATACAATTGTTTTCACAGCTTACCTGTCATGATGTATAATTAAACTTATCGCCTCAAACAGCACAGCATTCTTCGCATTTGAGTGTTGTACTTTCTTTGACTTTGGTGGCTCCTGTGCTTTGTTAAGAATAGTTTCCAGGCATTCTGTGAGACGACCACGTACCGCAGGGTCTTCTGGAGAAGAACAAGCCGTTGGACAACTTCACTTTGCTCAACACCCTAATTCCTATCTTAGGCCTTCCACCTTGCTAAATGCAGAGATTAAACTAAAATATTCTGGTACATTAAACAGTTCATCTGCTCCACCCCCAACCACAGTGTACAGTTAGCAGGAAGTCTAAACCACACTTTAACTTAAGTAAGAGCAAAATCCAAACACAATCTGCACTGGAATATATTTCAAGGCTATAATATAGTTGATAGCATTAACGTATGCTTAAAACAGCTGTTGCAAGTGATTTGCAAATTGCAAGATGGTTTGACACTTTAAAATTAAACAACATAATTCAAGAAAACATAATAGCTCAGAGCAATCTGAAATACTCGGAAGAACAGGCTTCTGTATCCTTGTCTTACAACATAGTGCTTGCACTCCAAGTTATAGTCACACTACAGCACAACAGCTCTTTGTAGATAATGCACTGTGTTAGAAATGACCACTGTTGTGATTTGTGCATTACCTGGAGGTGGATAGCACTGTAAGAGCCTCAGAAGTTTCACAGATAGCCAAGGAGCAGGAACAAAGTAATATGTATAGTCCTGAAGATCTGTTGATGCAGAAGTTACAATCTGTAAAATAAGCAGACAGCACCTCAGCTACTGAAGTTAAGTGACTTGCAATCAAGACCAGCACCCCAAGAACACTGTAGGTCACCTTTGACAGAGGCTTACAAAACTGTGTCACTGGAAATGTTTAATGAAGTAGGTTAATTAGGTGCAAATTGTCATACTATCAAGTATACCATCAGGTTCTCTAATCATACAGCAGCAGACGGAGTTTCTTCCTGAAAGCATGCTTGTTTTTCTTAAGAATGAAGGCAGCCATCTCATAGCATCTAAATGTTTAACTAGAAGCTTGACTTTCTGTGATTCAGCAATTCATAGATTCCACAAACAGAAAGCCTAAATAAATACAGTGTTATACTTGACTGACCATTGATAGGTGAACTTTGAATTTCAAATACAAGACTCTATGGAACACTGAACTAACATCTTCATTACTATTCCTGCTCCAAAGCAAAGAACCAATAGATTTCACAGAAGAGGTTTATATGAATAGAGAGAAGTGTGACAAGAATAAACTAGGTTTCAGAGGGAGCACCTCTTTTCGTGGATTTCTTTTCCACCTTTGATTCTAGGGTAAGCATGAGTCTGGCATTAGCTCTGCTCGAAGAGATTCCTGACTGATTCTTGCTGCTCCTTTACAGAACAACTATGCACTTCCCTCAGGACTCCCTTGCTTTTAAGTATTACACAAAATCTTCAGATTTGAAGAGAAATGAAGTATCTCTGAACTGTATGTAATTTATTTTGGATATAAGACTACATAAACTTAGGCTTAAAACATGTGTGAAGTATTATCTTCCCATGTCTTGAATACATTCCAGAGACTAAAATAAAATAACACAGTAATGTATGTTTTCCAGCATGGAGATACGAACTTGAAGATTGCATTTGTACAGAAATGTTTCTGCTCCTCTCCCTGCATTCCATGCTCCTGCTTCCCTACACCCATTTACAGAATATCAAATACTTCTGAATATTATTCTAGCAGCAGCTCAAAAGTGGAAATACGAAGACAACTCATCTTGTAAGAACCTTAAATAAACTTAAGAGCACAGGCTGTAATCTTCAAGGGTTCCGTGCAGAAATTTGCAGAACCAGCCTTTGATCCAAGTACTCCTTGGTGTTATAGTGGTGTTATCAACGGTCTCACTGGGATTATTCAATATAGCAGTAGCTGAGAGACCATTTTGCTACACACCCATGCAGTATAGCAAGGGCTACACCAAAAAAAGTTTGGGCAAGCTAAAACAGTTTTCTGTCCAGGTAAGCAACACACCTTAGAACAAAACCAGATGTATGAAGTGAAACCGAATCATCTTAACTGCCTATGGTGTACTAAACTAATCTGACATAGAAAGCTGAATAAAAAAGCAACAGTAAGCTAATCTGACCTAGAAAGCCAAGTAAACTAAGCAACAGTAAATTATTGTCAGGGTTATCATTGGACTCACTCTGCTTAATCTAGACACCGCCAAGGAGACAGAAGTTTTAAACTCTTCTGGGTTCTTCTGTGCCAAAGTGGTGATCAGACTTGTAGCTGCAGTAACCACACCCTAAAAAGAAAAACAAAACCATACAATCATTTTAATAAAAGCTTAGGATGCTGTTTATTAACACCACTTGAAGCAACTTTTAATATACAAGAAAAACAAAGTTAATCCCCATGACAAAGGCCCATACTAAAAAGCCATTTATTTTGCCAACAGCTAGACAAATTACAAGTCTTTAAATCTGGATAGGACCTTCAACGACATGATACTGCCATGTGTACAGAGCATTTCATTCTATTTTTGTTTTAGCTTTGTCTCACGTTTGGGTAGTACATCTAAAATCATATTTAGATAGCTATACTAAAGGCTGGATGCAAATTGTCTTCTTACACAAGAGAAACATGAGAAAAAAATTAGATGCAGCAGCTCATCCAGAAGAAGATTCTGGAAGGCCAATATGAAGAGAGGGCTTTGTAAAAGACAAATGTTCTATATTCCTAAGTACTAAATTGCTTCCATTACTGCTGAAGCGCAGGTCTAAATAGACTTCTTCCTAAAGTAGACAGACAGGAAAAATACAGAACCTCTTATCTAGAAGAATAGGGCTTTTTTGAACCATCAGAATAAGAATGACAACACGGATACCACAGGACAGTGAATTTCAAGCGCTAACAAGTAAGGTTGTAGTCCCAGTTTAATACTAAGACAATCGGTATTGCTGATACATACATATGACTTAGGATCACAAGGCACAGGATTAATTTACAGTCAGACCAAATAAAGAACTTGTGCATACCATTCCTTTTACTTCCAGAAAAAATTAAGGTAAGCAAGACTTTATTAGAAATGAATATATACAGCAATTAACAAGAGAACAACTTTTCCTTCCAACTCTTTATGCAAGCCTTAAGTAAACAACAGCCCAGCTGGTTGAAAAACACTAGAGGAAATAAATTCATAACATACTTAACAGCTGAAGTGGCATCATTCTCTATATAGAATAGGCCAAAGAAACATAAGTAAGTCAATTTACCAAGTGCTGGTCATTGAGGAGATGTACCACTCTGGACGTCCAGTCTCCCATGGGGACAAGGTCAGGAGAAGTTCTATACAAACGCAGCAAGCATAAGGCAGCACTCTGCTTCACACTATCCATAGTATCTCTGCAAGACATAACCAATATATCTTAAACCCAAATTAAAGCCACAGCAATATTCACAGGATAGTACCATGTTAATCTGTGCACTAGCGTGGTAGCAACTTTTCAACAGAAGTTTGCTAAGTAAGTTCTTCCTGTGTTACAGTATTTGTTGTTAAATTTGGCCAGTAAGTTTAACTATACAAGTTTTCAACCATTACATATCCTTAGCAGCCTCTATAATGAGGCTTGGCTACTTAGAGAGACATCTCACATCTTTTCATCAGATCTGAAGGTTCATCATCAGAGCTCCTAATTGAGTCAAGCTCTCACTGAAGTACCACAAGCACAAGCTTCTTTCAGACTCAAGTCAAATATGGACTCAAGTCAAACAGTTAAGATCCAACACATTACGTATCTGAGCACAGCTGGATCTCCTGATAGGTTCTGCATGTCAGACATGAATCATTAACTACTCAACAGCTAGCATGCAAGTTAGCTGTCTATTACCAAGCACACAACCCACGTGTCTGTTCATCTAGCCATCCATACTGCTGGCACGGGAATTGACTGTTTTAGGAACAGCATGCTACTACTCCAGTTCACTGAGCTCCTTTTCACAAAATAGGGAATTAGTGGTGGTGTGTTTTTTGTTTGTTTTAAATATATTGCATTTGTCATAACAGCTAAAATACATTATGGAGCATTAGCACTGAAAGTTTTAAGAGGCAGTTTAAATTGTGTGATCTTGGTTAAATATTCAGAAACTTCTACAGGAGTTCAGTCGACTTGTTCTTTATGAAGTTAATCAATTTCTCATGAGATCATGTGGGATCACAGTTCAAAACCAAAACCCAAACACATCCCCCCCGCAACAGCCAAAACCCTCGCCTCAAACTTCTTCAAGGCCCTGAAGACTGATCTCAGAACATAAAAAAATCAAAGTTCAAACAAGCCTGAACTGAAGGTGCTGTGCTCTGACTGATGACCCTATATGAAATTTTTGGAACTTAAGGGTAGCTTATTAAAGCTGTGACTCATCATTACAGTGTTCTCTCTGCTATGCTGCATGGGGAACAGCACCCTGGCAAAGACACAATAGGACAGGACAGCAGCAAGCCTGCCTGGGCCCCAGAATGCATCTTCAAAATAAGTTTCAAAACAAAATCGTTACAATATACAAACTATACAAACTGCAATCATAAGCTTTATTATAGGTTTAGTTAACTACAGTTCCAGACATTTACCTAGTCTGTTCAGAGACTTCCTATCAACAAAAAGAGAAAGTTAGAGATCTGGCTGTGACTACTTGCTACTTACTGGAACTGCTGTTCACATGGTCAACAGAAGAGGCAAGAACTGTCACTCCACAGAATATTCTCACATGCTTTATAATGTCAGGAATATTTTTAAAAGCTTTTATAACAGGATTTATAGTTCAAACCTCTATTTAGGTACATTTATTTCTCTTTCCTTCAAGACAGGTAAGGGAAGTAAAATAGACATTTCAGAGGCATTCACTACCACACATGTATATAGAACAAAAAAATGTTTGCTACACAAAGCCTATACAAGATGTTGACATATTCTTAATTTCTCATGTTGTATTTCTAGACTTATACAAGGAATTCCACGCTCAGGTATACCAAAATATCTGCAGTTATTGGAGACTGTCACTATCTGTACTGAAAGCACAGTAGCTCAAAGCATGGGTTCAGCCACTTCTGTTGAAGTGAGTCACTGAAAAGGTTTACTGGTGTTTTGTTTGAAGGAGGCACATCATACCTACCCAGCTACAAGTATTTTTGGAATTTCTCCAGCAAATGCTTCTGCCATCTCCCGGCTACCCACGTTAGCAATACAATGCAGAGCTAGCCCCATGAAGGTGGGGTTGCGGCTTGCCAGATCATTCTTGATCGCGTTGTTTATTAAACGAATCAGCTCACTGTTGGAGTTCACTAGTACGGAGATGAAGAGATATCCCTGTGTTTCAGGAAAAAGGAAAATTGATTTTAGCTGACATGTTATGTTCTCTTTTAATGCCACAACTAATACTTTGAGACATATAGTTCTTGTGCAATACCAAATGTATGTGCAGAAAGATATTTAGATACCAGAGTGAAGGCTAGAAGGATGAAGTGCGGATTAATTAGTTCAATGTTTCTGTAATTTATCATGTTTTAGAGAAAGATGGGTCAAGGCCTATCAATCTCTTTCAGCACATACTCAAAATATTATTTTGGATGAAAGGGATACTTGAATTGTATGCAAATGAAGAATTTGGCTTATTGTTTAGACTCTAGGAAGCTACACTTGTGTGATAAATATGACCTTAACCTATGAAAATTTAGAGATTCTTTAGAGATTCTGAAAATTAAAGGTTACTTGCCTATTCTGGTTCACATATTGTACAGCTAGCCAGTACATAGTACTTGCAGTGGAACTCATACTTGCATTATAGTTTGTTATTAGTAGCTAATGTTTCTCTGAAGTCTCTATTTTTACCTGCTTGCAAGACTCAAGGCAGTTACCTAGCAGGAGTAACAACCTTACAGAGTATATATTTTAGCTGTTACAATTAGTGGAATTTATTTAGACCGTACAGCAACACCTCTTAAGTCACTTAACAAAGCAAGATTCCTTGTGCACAAAGGTGTTTACATTTTTAAAATCACTGCTAGATTCAAGACAAGGCTTTCATTTGAGAGAGGGAGGAAAATTGTTTTGCAGGCTTTACAGCTGAAGCAGACTGTTAAAATGGTTTATCTTTTGCAGGGATGGAGTTACTCACAATTTGCTTTTCTGTGTATCTATTGGAACTGAGCAGGTTAACAGCCTCCATGTGACCAAAGTCAATGTCATGCCCCAAGAGAAAGATGAAAAGCAGCTTGCAGACATATTTTTTCTTACTGTAACCATCCAGAGCCTTGTCTCCTAGAAAGCAAGGAAACAAAAAGCAATTAAGTCTGCGTTGTTCCTATACCTGCTTTCCCTCCCAGCCACGGGGAAGGTTCCACTGAAATATCATATATCTTAAACACAGTAACAAGACATAGGTGTACCTAGTTAGGAAGATTGGCACTTGATTCACAATCCATTACACTACAAAATAGAAAATGCATTGGCATTCAGTGAACAATAAATGAAAATTTAATGTACTGTTGGGTTTTACAATCTCAAACGTATTGTCCCATATGCAACATATATAACCACATACAAGCGTACAATAGAGGCAGATCACTATTTCCACAATTTCAGCAGAAAGGTAAGAATTCAAATTATTGCAGTACTTAAATTTCACATTTTAAGTTGTTATTTGAGCTTTTGTTCACTCTACTTTGAAAAAAAAAATATGCAAGAGATCCACACCTCTGACCTAACTGGGACTAAAACTCTTTACATAATTTTGTGCAAAAACCAACACGAATGTTTTTCTACATACATGACAGCTAGGATTTTTTTTTTATTTAGATTCATTTTAAAAGAGAAACAAAATGTAAGCATAAAATTGCAGTTTTAATATGGATGGAGGTACCCTTCAAATCCTAGCCTTTAGACAGCGGTTGATCTTACAGGATTTGGGTTGTTTCCTTTTTTAATGACAGTGTACCAGTTATGAATAAAAATAAGCTTTTTGAAGCTTGAAGCTATTTTTATGCTAAGCAAAGAAAAGCTGCCTTCATGTCCATACTGTGGAATCCAGCACGTCACATCTCCCTTAAACACAGGGAGCAGCATTACCTAAGATACTCATAGTAATGAAGTCCTGCCATACTGGATCCTGTCAGGAACCTCTCACTGCAGCCAGCTCTGCAGAAAACTGGCCCAAATCATGCTTTCTTTGAGTCACACACACAGTTTGCTGCCATAAGGCTATTTTGCTGCTGAGTCAGCAGCCAAATGAATCCTGGCCTGTTTGCTTTACTAGATACCCGAATTAACATTAGACATAACAGAACAAGATATCCAGATTAAGAAAAAAAAAAAAAAAAAAAATTTCTTTCCTTCTTCGGAAGTAATATGGCCCAAGGGAAAAAACATACCCAGCCATGTACGTCTATTCACTGTTGCTATCAAACTACAGCTTAAGCAGCAGAATAAAGCTTTCTGCATTTGCAACTTGGGGAAGGAATACTTCATATTATATTATTTTCCTGATAAGAGGGTACTCAACAGCCGAAACCTCCTCCCATTGCATTATTGTAAGGGAAAAGAACCGTGTAAATCAAAGACATCCTACTTATGAAAGGCAGAATATATTAGATATATATACACATACACACAAAGGCAGAGTGACAACTTTAACTTTTAAACATTTTTCAGCTGCTACCATAAGAAAGGTTTCCACAGGCTCTTAGCATTAGATTTTCAATTTGTATTCTGTAAGAGATCTGAAAGGGAAAGAAAGAATCAATGCATAAGCCAGAGGGGCTTTATATTACTTCGTGATAAGCACACGCCAGCTAGTGACAAACCAACTGTTTCCAGGTGAATGATTTAAGGAACAGGTGATGCTGGATCCCATTACCAGATACAATTATGATCCACAGGAGGGGACACTAAACACCCTGAACCCATTTAAGCCTCTGTTCCCCTAGTGGCTGAGATCTATGTAATTGAGGACTTGCTATGGTATTTAATAGCATTCCTATCACTAGTTACTTCTCTCAGAGATACAGATAGACCAAAAGGTGTCAGAAAGTAGCTTCATATCTACTTTACCATAAGTGGAAGAAACCTGAGCCTGCAAGACCGAGTCCAAGACTCAATTGTTGCTGCCTGTTAGTGCAGCATTATGCAGAAGTTGCAGGTATAAAACCCATTCTCTAATTTTGCCAAATGGCTCTGCTGTTGCCTTTTGAGATCAGAAAGGAAGAGGGAGTACAGAACACTGCAATCCAATTGTTTAAATTAAAAACACGAGTAGAGGAAAGTATGCATGCTCAGAACTGGACAGATTTTCGCAACAAAGTATTTGTCGTGACTTGGCAATTCTTTTTTTTCAGGTTCAGGATTCAGGTATTTAAAGAGTTATATTCTTCCAAGCTACCAGCATTGGTAGAGCTCAGATTAACAGTGGCCTTGAATTGTAAGGTATTTCAGGCATCTTTGATAGCAGTTATGCTCTGCAGTCAAGGCTCAAAATGTTATCATCCTACTGACAAAGAAAAAGCAGCTTTCTTCTGTATCATGTGCTAACTGAGAACAGTGTTGTAAAATTGGTACCTGAAACACTTTTCCTTAAGACAAGAAAAAAATATTTCATGCCTACTTTGAAAAGCCTCTGTCCCTTATACACAGCACAGGCAATCTGAAAGTTGTGATTAAGAGGAAAGCTTAAATTAAGCCAAGTAACAGACATTAGATCTCTCTTTAAAGCTTTATTAGTCCCCAATATGTTATTTCCATCTACTACCACCCCCCCTTTTATTTAAATGCCATTTAATTAGCTGTGCAATTCAAAAAAAGAGCATTGCAGCCAAAGGTCTCACTGCATTCATCTAAATTCAACTGTGTTTTGAAGAAGCCTTTGCTTCAGGTTCTTACTGAAATTTTAACTGTTCAATTCCTCTCCACCCATGTGGCATTTACTGAGTTTAAAGGCTCTATTTTAAACATCACTAACAAGTCATCTTGCTGAAGTCCATGCAAAAATAGCACAGCCCTTCCCAGCCCCAAGCAAACATCCTGAAAACAAAAGCAGAAGGAAGTTTTGCACATTCTGTGTTATCTTTATTGCAATACACAATCATTTCTTTCAACTCAGCTCATTTTTAAATGCTTCCACGAACATTTGCAAGTACTGCAAATCAAGTCAGCAGAAACAGGAAGGATCCAGAACACACATCAGCAGGTTTTGAGCACAGTGGGCATTTCAAAGACTACTTGCTTTCCCTGAAAAGTTTGCTAGATCTCTTTCAGGCAGCATTCCAAGAGGGAAGAATAAGGCACAAATGCTTTACAAGACCTTTTGGTTCCCAGGCAGCACCTTCTGTCCATGACTTGGATAATGAGTTAAAACACAGCATTTGCTTTTGAATCTTACTCTGTACACTTAAAAACCACCCTGCTACACAGCTACAGAGCCTGCTGCCAGCCGGAGGGGGCGGGAAGGCAGTTTGGTCCTGTAGGGTGCTCACTGAGGGACAGAGTGAGGAAGCCTGGCAAGTCTAGTCCCACTAGCAGCCCAACGGTCGACTGCTATCTCAAAGTCTAGATATACCGTAGAGTTAGAACTTCAGTTGTGACCTATACAAAACACAGCAGCTAACATCCTGAAGTGCTCCTCTGCATTCAGTGTGCTTCCTCCTTAGATGACTTCAGCTGTGTAACTTCAGACACTGACCTGTTTGTGCAGCTGGCACAGCAGTCCAGCAGGTTACCGTAACAGAAGGCCTGCTCCTAGCTTGAAAGCCAAAAGATGAAGTTGTTTTTTATGGATGTACCTAAACTTTAAGGCATGACAAGATTCGTCTTCCTCTGAACGTGATACAGTCCAAGCCCTCTAACCAAAAGGCTGAATATTTGTGACTGACAACTCATACCAATCCATAAGGTGGTATTTAGCGACTGCTACTACCACCAAAACAGGATTACTACAGCATCCCTACAACTCAGTTGATACTTGAAGCCTGGTTTTGCTTCCAACAATTCACTCTGTCAGTGAAGACACTATTATTTTACTGTCAGATTGTCTCCCGCTTGTCTAAGAGGCGTATGAAAGCAGTGTGACTAAAACACCAGACCCATCTTAAATAATGGAAGGCTGCTTACACAGCATGGCAGGAAAGCAATCCACTGTCACACAGCTTGTTTAAAACACATATTTAGAGGCTTGGACTTTTTACGGATTACTGTGTAGTTTGGGACAACTTGCTCAATCTTGGGAAAGCAAGTAAGCTGAAGTTAAAAACAAAAACGGATATTACAAACTGACACTGGTGTTCCTTCTTCTGCACAAGCCAAAGCTTAGATTCAGTAGGATGTCTTAAATCCAGCAGCTACTCCTTTAACACAAAACCCATTAAGCAACAAGAAAAAAAAAGAGCCCCAGTGTCAGCTGTGGAAAAAAGAACAAGCTTGAATCAAACAGTAACCAAAGCCCATTTGCCTGCAGAAACAGCATATAAATCTGTGGGCAGTTTCACTAGTATACAGGTTTTGCTTTGAGAGATCAAAATTAAGCAACACATCAATAAACCAGGTATTTTTCACTCAAGAAAGCAGATGTCCTTTACAAAGCAATTAATACTCTGACAGCTAGACTTGAAGTCTGGCTCAAGCATGGGAAAAAATAGTTTTATAATCTGAAAACTAAACAAATGGATTTATTTTTTTTTGTTTCACACAACTCCTACAACTTCTGCTTTATTACACTCGTGTAGTTTCTTTATACAGCATTCATCTTATCTCAGTTAATGCAGAAGTATTTAAAGCAACCGTCAAGGACACACTGACCTTAACAACACAGCTTCCTCACACTGAAACAAGAGACAAAGCCATTTCAAGTACAGAGATCCTGGATTCCTCCTGAGCTCAGAGCACAGAAGCCAGATCCAAGCCCAGCATCAAGACATACACTGCACCAGTTCAAGAAAAGCATGGCTTTTCCACAGATGTGCAGCATCATCCCAGCCTGTTGAGCACAAGGGCATTTTAAGCAGCAGCTTAACCCAAACATAAGGTGGGCAACAGGCTTGCCAGCTACTTCTGTGAGAGTAACAAGAGTAGTAATATTCACATGCTCATAGAGAGAGCCTGTCTTACCAGCTACATGGAGTGAGGGTCTAGATACTGCCACAGAACATGCAGAAGAGTAGAGAAGTCTAGAGGGAGGAAAGGATACCAGCCTCTTATGTTGGGCTCAAGCAAGAACATATCTGTGACAGGAGACATGACTGCCAGCTGTGCTTCTCGCAGCCGTCCCTTTCTGT